AAATCCTTAAGTGACTGACACACTGATTAATCACGATCCTGCTCAAACCACTCAACGTAAGAAGCTCAATTTTGGCATACAGGTTGATTCTAGGGTGTAGAGGTTCGATAAGAAGGGATTTTTCGAAATTCCAGTTCCAAGAGGGTGAAACCACCCATCAAATATTACAATATTTTTAATTTAAAAAACGGTCAAGTTTCCGAAAAAACGCTCAAACACGTATATTTTATTTTGTTTTTTTTACATTATTTTAAGATTTTTTAAAAATGTATACAGGGTGTTTCGAAAAATCTGGTCATTGATTAATCACGATCCTGCTTAAAGCGCTTGACGTAAAAAGCTGATTTTTGGAAAACAGATTGAGTGTAGAGGTTCGATAAGAAGGGTTTTTTCGAAACTCGAATTCTAAGGGGGTGAAACTATCCCTCAAATATTAAAATATTTTTTATTTAAAAACCGGTGAGTTTTTCGAAAAAACTCTTAAACACGTATATTTTATTTTGTTGTTTTACATATTTTAAGATTTTTTATAAATTTATACAGGGTGTTTCATAAAATATGACCATTGAGTAATCACGATCCTGCTTAAACTGCTTGACGTTTAAAGCTGATTTTTGGCAAACGGATTGACTGTGGGGGTGTAGAGGTTCGATAAGAAGGGGTTTCTCGAATCTCAAATTCCAAGAGGGTGAAAACGCCCCTCAAATATTACAATATTTTTTGTTATTTAAAAAACGGTTAGTCTTTCGGAAAAAACGCTTGGACAAGCATAATTTATTTGTTCTTTTTTACATATTTTGACATTTTTTAAAAAATCATTCAGGGTGTTCCAAAAAGTTGGGCGATTTCTTAACCACGATTCTGCTTAAACTGCTTGACGTAAAAAGCTTATTTTTGGCAAACGGATTTTTCGAAAGTCAAATTCCAACGAGATGAAACTAACCCTCAAATATTACCGAGTTATATAATAATATCGCCATATTGTTTTTTCTCATGCTGACATAAATGTGAGAAAATTTTATCCAGTTTGTATGTTAATGGAAATTCTTGCTTTGCTTTATCATCACCATTACAAATGATTAATTCGACGCGAACGAAATCGCTGGTACACGCTAGCAAAACGCTAGTTCTAAATAAATTATTGAATATAATTTTTTTTAACATTTAATAATTTTAAAGCAAGTGATTTGATAACTATTTTAGTATAATTAAAAAATAAGTTCACAAAGTACATATATCATTAATGATATTATTTATTATCGTACAAATATATTAATTATTCTTTAATAAAAAAAAATCGATCATATATTAGCATTATGAATGAAAGGATTTAAAAAAAATCTGCTGTAATATACACAACCAGGTGGATTATATTGAATAAAATTCTTCTTTTCTATTTTGAACCCTTCTTGCCATTATCAAGCTAGATTTACATCCCTTTTTTGATAGTGAAAATTTAGGGTGCTTTTATATAGGTTAAATATACCGGGGCACGTTCAAAATTATACCTTGTAATCGAAAAAAAAACGGTGTCAAAGAGGCTGGGGAATTTCACTCGATGATAATTTTAGAGAGGTCAATCTCTCTCGACGCTATTTACTAGGAATTGGCATAAAAATTGTCAAAAATTAACTTTTTTGTTTATACAGGGTGGCGCCTCTCATACGCCGCGGCAGCTCCAACGAGAACGGTAGTGAACGAAATAAAATTTTGGCAGCATATATAGGTTAACTGAAAGGATTTTATAAAAATATATAGAATTATACAGGGTGTCCCCAAAAAAAATTACACATCAAAGTTGTGTTTTTTCTAATGGAACACCCTATATATTAATTGATTTTCGGATTCTAGGAAAAAAATAAAGGTGAGTTTTATTAAAGAAGCATATACCCAAAATCTAAGGATTTTGAGATATTTCACATTTTGTGAAAATGAAGAGTAAATTTTAAATTTCGATAACAAGCTACCTAAATTTTAGTTGACCTTGTATAGCCTGATATTTAATTACACTAATCATCGTATGTTAAACCGAATTGAAATTTGACCCGAAAAGTTATACAGGGTGTGACAAAATTAATATGGAACATTAGTCACTTTTAAAAGCAAGTTACTCCGTTATTTTAAATGGAACATCCAGTATATTTTGCGGCGTTCAATGGGGAATTTATATATCTTCAAAATATTATTAAGGTTGCCTACCCCTCAGTCAAAGATTTTCCTAGATATTTTAATTTTTATGATTTTGCGTCAGTAGATTTTTATTATTTGAAAAAATCTAGGGTGGCTGTGATATACCTTTTGTTAATTTAACAAAAATTAAAGATTGTTGAGTAAAATACTCAATGGTAATAAAAAGATACACGTTTAAAACATATTTTAATTATTACAGAATTAAAACTAGATATAAACCTATAATTATGTGACAAAAATTAGCTAAAATGAAATCAAATGCTCAAAATGCTTCCTTTCCTGTTAACTGCATAAAATGATTGTCTTTTCAAAAGGATCTTTTCATTTCAAAAGGCATTATGTGGAGTTCTACCTCGAAAAGCAGCTACAATAATTTTTCTCATGTTGTCGACAATAGTTGATCGAGTTTTGTAAAACATTCTTTTAACATATCCTCACAAAAGAAAACGAGACTAGATAAAATCAGGATCATTTCAGTATTCTATTAATTGGTGAATGCACACTGCATTCACCAACTAATAGAATCATATCAATTCTCTCTGATGTAGGATAAGCTTGAATTTTAGCCAAATTTCTGATGATATTTTTCGTGTGATATTTTTATTCAAAGTTTAAAAAAAAAGATCTAACTATGTTTTCAACTGTTCCTCGTATTTTAGGACACTCTCGCTTATCTAGGCCATTACTATTCCCATGTACCACCCGGGGGATGTATAAAAGGGTTGAAAATAGTGCCTCGACCCCCTTTTTGCATCTTACACAACTAAAAGAGAAAAGGGTTGTAGAAATACGCTGCTATTCAGATCTTTATATCCTACAAATCTTTGTTTGGTCCTATTTTCATTTTTCAGACAGGACACTTGCGTTAGATTTGCGCAACGTTGTCAAATCGTGCAGGGAATTAAGGATAAACGTGGCATCTATGTATGTAAATATTTAGATTATTTTTTAACACCCTTGATAAATAAATAAATAACTATGTATTTTTGTCTATATCAGAAATCAAAATCATTAATTTTAGTAATGTGATTGCGTAATGTTGAGTTGTGTTCTCATCGTGAAGGAAAAAGGTCTTTTGCTCAAGGTTTTTCTCACGCAATTTTGTGGGATTCCATGTAAAAAGGTGCAGGGTTCGATTCCCATGGCTAACTACACGACAAATTGGACATGAAAAGGGGGAAATAAAGATTACCAAGACGTTTTTTTTTATTTGAACGTGCCCTTTTTTCAGAATTTTGCGAATTTAGTCAGATAAGCTACTATATCTTTGACAGTTTTTTTTAGATTTACAAAATATTTGCACTTACTTTATACAGGGTCTCATTACTCATGTTTTACTGTATATGACTGAGAAGAGATATTATACAGTATGTCCCCGGATTGGTCTTTACAAGAGGAAAACTTTTTTATTATTGACATTTTGTGAAAAACGCATTCTTTATAAAAAAAAATTGCTTGTTCTAGAATGGTTTATCCCGTTTATACTTTATTATACAGGGTGGTTCGAACTGTATTCCTGAAACTTCGGCAGCATATTCTGCAGATAAAAATAAGTAAAAAAGTTCATATGTTTCGGAGATACAGGGTGTAGAAGTTTCATTTTTATTTTGATTTTTTAAACTAATTTTAAACTGTTTAAATTAATCATAAATTTTTCTGCAAAAAAATGATGATAAAAGAGTTTCTGTTGAACTTTTGGCACAAAAACATTTCAAATTTATCATTTCTAATAACTATGTTCAATTTATGTCAATGATAATTTCGATTCCAAATATCTCGAGAACCATTACTCGTAGCGATTTTTTCCAAGAGACCTTTTTTACGTAAAAAACTTCGTAAATGTATATTTTTTAGTCAGCAGTTTTATACAGGTACGGACAAAAAGTTATTACTCTTTAAACCAGTTAAAAATATGTAGGTGGCGCCCTCTACAAGTAGCAGTCGTATTGACATCAAAATCAAATTTATCACGTCAAAAAACTTCCAGACACCAATTTTCATCCAAATATTGACGTTACTTCATAAATTATTTGGAAAAAAATCGAAATAAAAATGAAACTTCTACACCCTGTATCTCCGAAACTAAGCATTTTAGGATATACATTTATATGACCTTTTTTTACTTATATCTGCAGAATATGCCGCCGAAGTTTCCGGAATACAGTTCGGACCACCCTGTATATTTTGTTCAATTATATGTATCTTTCTTTTTTTGTAATATTAAACATTTTTTTTGCTCTAGAACAATTAATATGTAATTAGGTAATAATAATTGGAACACGCAACACCCTGTACAAGCTGTTCTCTGAATTAACAAGAAGAAAAAAATTATAATGATCTGTCTATAAAACCGTGACAATATGCACCTGTACATCATTCTTCATACCTGCCATCTGAAGAAAGTTAAATTACCCATTATATAGGTCATCAGTAGGTTTAATAAATACACAGGGTGTCTCGGTATACCTTGGCAGGACACACCAATAAATAAATAACATCGGTATAATTATCCATGTTTATACAGGGTGTTTCAAACAAAACATATGCCATTTTAAGTGTATTTGGCACGGAAAGTACTATTTATTTATTTCACAGAACACATAAACAACAAAATAATTGATACATATATACACAAATAATAAAAGTATTTTTCCAGTCCTACCTTACATTTGCCTATTTTTATTAGTTTTATTAGTTTAATGTTTTGAGTAAAATCTCAAATGAATTTGATAACCTAAAAATTAATGCTGACCGGTTTAAATGGATATAACATCTTTTCTTCAATGTAATATTTGTTATTATTGTTCCAGGATTAAGAAAGACATAGATTCGGATGTAGATAACAGTGATAACGAAGATACAGACGAATCTCTAGCAGGAGAAGACCTACAACATAACAGCAAGTCAAAGAAACAATGTAACAAGGGTCGCTGGAGTAAAGAGGAGGTCTGTATAAACTTCTATCGTTTTTAGGACATCCTGTATATATCAGTCATCCAAGATGATTAATCATAAATAAATAAAAATTAAAATCTGATTAGAAATCTAATTATTATAGATACCGTTTTTTTCTAGACGTCTAGAGCTCGACCTCGCCAAAATTATCATCGATTCTTCTGCGTCTTGGACGCCATTTTTTTTTCGATAGTAGATACGGTATAATACCGCTTTCAGAAGAACATGAAAATTAAAATAGTCATATATACAGGGTGTTGATGATACTTGTACATAGACTTTCCTGAATTTCTGATGTTTTTCTTTTGTCTGCAGGATGCCAAATTGAAGCATTACGTTGAGGAGTACGACGAAAAATGGGATCTGATTGCTGAGCATTTTCCTGACAGGTCTGACATTCAGTGTCAGCAAAGATGGACCAAAGTGGTCAATCCGGAGTTGGTCAAAGGACCGTGGACCAAAGAGGTAAGCTAATGTCCATGGTACTAAAATTACAATAATGAATTTCTATAAGGAGTAAAGATTATTTGGTGTGATCTATAGGTATATGTATTCTCTGAAATAATGGGACTTACTAAAACAATTAAATCAACGAATTGAAATTTTAAAAGATGAAAAAAAATGGAGATATTATTTAGGATCATGTTTGTTCTTCGAAAACTAGTTGGACCGGTGATCTAATCATTGTTAAACACGATGAGCCATTACGTAGAGGTTTTGACCTTGGCATTGTTGAATAATCTTGAATGAAATTAACAACAGAGGTTACATTGTGATTTAGAATAAGTAAGGTATGATGAAATTTCGCAAGGGCCATGGATAATGCTCAAAGAATAACAAATATTCTGTGTAAAGCACCGTCTACACTTAACGTTGTAGCTGTTCAGTCAAAACGTATCAAATTAAACCTTAAGTTGTTTTTTTTGTAATATTTTTAAAAAACAATCATGATATAAGGTTAGTTTAAATAAACAGACTATTCAAAAGTATTTTTTAGTGCTCGAGAAGATAGGTATGTTATTTAAAGAGAAAATTTTAACGTCTGTAGACAGGATGCCCCAATTCGATGATTATCTATTATTACTCATTCCCCTACTTCGCTAGATCTGCCCATTGGCTATTTTTTCAATTGTACCATGTGGAAGTAGGTGTTTTTTAAACGTATTTCGACATATCTCATTATAGCTTCAGAAGTAGCAATTTGTGTATGAACAAGAAGGTTATACAGGGTGTTTTCTATGCACCAAGATATGTTTTTTGATGTACAAACAGTTTTATTTATTTCAGCCAGTATATTAAGTAAAATAACGTATAAAAATAGGATTTTTTGTATATTTTTACTATGTGAATTTTATGGAAAATATAGAGAGGGTTGAATGGTTTAAAATATACAATTCTCACTCTTATTATTCAAGTGTAACAAATATTCTAAAAGGACGGTGCTATACCGATAGCTACGCCACCTGTGTTTGAGTTTTTTCTACTGGCATATGGCGTCACTTGACCACATATTTGGATGTCACACTGTAATAATTTGCACTTCCGGCGTATTTGGAGCCACATTTGGCTTTTTTTTGAGTGTGGGAAGTTGTTTGTTCCATATATTTCAATATGAATTAGTTATTTCTATTATACAGGATGGTCCGTAAAAACTTTCCGGAAACTTCGGCAGCATATTCTGCAGATAAAAATATGTAAAAAAGTTCGTATAAATGTATGTCCTAAAATTCTCAGTTTCGGAGATACAGGGTGTTGCATTTGAAATAACAAAGTTTTTATGTAAAATAAATGGTTACCCCTGTATAAATTTAAGGAAGCAATAACATTTTTCAGTAAAGTTTATTTCTTTGCCTTTAAACTCAGCACAAGAATTAATTCTGAAAAGTAATGTACAGGGTCTTAATAATCAATTCTCTTGTAGCATGCATATTTAAATATCTTTAAATATCTCAAAAACCAATGAGTTGAAACATATTTAACCTTTATAATAAATGTCTTTTTTTGGGCCCAAGAATCCAAAAATGAAATAAAATACCGGGTGTTTCGTAAGAAAAAATATAACTTTGGTATGGATCTTAGTTCTGAGACACCCTGTTTATTTCAAAATAATTTCACTCACATATACCCATAAAATATTTTGTTTCTACATCTTTCCGTTTTCGTATAATCAACCGAGGCGAATGACGTGCGCCACCCTGTATGTGTATATTCATATAACGCTAGGGAAATACGGAAAAAGTCTAAGCAGGGTAAAATCATTTATCTCATTGTTTAGAGCGTATTACAGAGCGAAACTGAGATTAAATTATACTGTACATTTCCTTTCTCATCAGTAAATAGCAATAAAATTATTCCAATCAACACAGGGAGTAGATTAGTTGAAATTTATGTGATTGGTGTCTGCCGCTAGGAATCAGCGGAAGTTTACTTTCGGTAAACAACTGAGAGCGAATTGAAAATAAAATAAAAAGGCAGAATGTTTGGAATATTTTTCTGGCGCTAATATTTATACGTAACTTTAGAGCGTAAAATCGCTAGACACGTTTTTTTCGTCGGCAACTTGAAGCCAACACTAAACCTAATTATCTGACGTCACAGATTACCGAATATTCAAATAACGATACCCCTTTTTACGTAGTCTAATTTAATTTATATTAAACATTTTCTATAGGTGGTTTAAATTCAACATTCTGTACAATATTTAATATGGGTCTCTTAAAAATTCGTGAGATATTTTATCATATGAGCATAAAATCGCTAGACACGTTTTTTTCGTCGGCAACTTGAAGCCAACACTAAACGTCACAGATTACCGAATATTGTCTAATATATTTTAAGTGTCTTTTTATATTAAACATTTTCTAGGTGGTTTAAATTCAACATTTTGTACAATACTTAATATGGGTTTCTTAAAAATTCGTGAGATGTTTTGGGGCTTTTTTGACAAAAATACGTGAAATTTAAAAACTGTCCCTAATTAGGACTACCTTTGTGACGTCACTAATCATTGTCTCAGGCCTCTATTGCCGCGTAGGTCACGGTATAGGTTATACAGGGTGTCCCAGAAATAAGTGCAAGTATTTTAACTTGTAGTATAGTTCAACCCCAGAAACACGCCAAAAAAAATTTTGAAAATTCGGAATTTTTTGAAAACTTTTTTGGATTTTTTTTAGTTTTTATTAAAAGAAAATAATTAAAAAAAAAAAAAAAAATAAAAAAAAATTAAAAAAAATTTTTTAAATTTTTAATTTTTTTTTTTAAATAATTAACATTTGCATTAAAAGTACTTCAAAAATTTGATTAGTTTATATATTATTTAATGTGGCCTGAAAAATAAGGGTAAATTTCAACAATTTTTACGTTTTATTTTTTTCTACTTAAAATTTAAACACAGAATTATTATACAATAATGTTTAAAACGAGTATAGACATGTAGAGTCATCTGAAAGCCCTAATGGTAGTTTCTATATGCCTGGGGCTATCATACAGGCCCCAGACCGTGAAGGAAGAACAAAGGAAGCGTACCCTAGCCCGTGGGGATGGTCCGGTTCCCATGGTGACGATGTTTTTTTAGTCTCAGGCCATTGGCCGTATACAGGGTGTTCCTTTTTGCAAAACAAAACAACAAACTTGTTCAAAAAATCAAAATAAGCAACGGCATGTTTTTTTTTGTGAAAGCGTTTCGAAATTGACAGTTTTTGGTTTCATTCAAACATTCTTTTAGGCACTAATATCTAAAAGTGCCTAAATTCATTTTGCAACTTGTTACATAAATAGCTATATTATTATTTACAGGAGGATGAAAAAGTTGTGAAACTGGTCAACGTATACGGGGCGAAGAAATGGACCCTTATAGCTCGACATTTGAAGGGCAGGATAGGGAAACAATGCCGGGAAAGATGGCACAACCATCTCAATCCCAAAATAAAAAAATCGGCCTGGACGGAACAAGAAGATGAGATCATTTACCAGGCCCATCAGATGCTGGGCAACCAGTGGGCCAGGATAGCTAAAATGTTACCGGGTATGTCAAAAATTAACTACATACAGGATTTTTTTCTTACTGAATTAATAGGTTGTAGTAATAATATATTACAATGTTATTTAATAAAAATAAAACAAGCTGGAGAAGAAAACTTGGAATGGACACAATAATGCTTTATTATATTTTAAATTGTATAATCGCAAACCAAAGTAACTCAAAATACCACTGTGGTCATTTTTAAGAACGTTTGTTTATACTTTTTTGGACTTGAACCATTTTATCGAAAATATTTGAAATTTTAGATATAAATTGGTTCATCGGTACATTCTTCTTCGTCGTTAAGGGATTTGTTGACTTCACATTGTCTATTAATAGTGTTTTCTGGATTTTTATAAAAATTATGGTATATAGGCTGGATAAAGGGAAGAAGATCTTTCATGTGTTGCCTTTTAGAGTGTGTTACTTTACGCCTATATAAAATGATAAGATTTTTCTTCCTCGTGCAGTTTTATTCAGATTAAAAACATGCCAGATATCTAAGTAGTTGTAAGAAAAACAGGCTAACTTATTGATGTAGTAATAGTGAAAATAATGATAAATCAAACTATCCTTTCAGAATCGATAGAATCAGACTTCTGAGATGGCTGATAATCTGATTCGCTTGGTACAAATGGTTCAGACTTTGTTTCATTGTCATCCATTTTATCAAAAAAAAAATTAGCTCTAAACTTTAGCACGTCTGTTAAAATCGCGCACAGCGTTAAATTTTATGGACTTGATCCATTTCACTACTGAAAAGAATCAACAGAATATTCAGAAACCAAACAGAAACAGGCTATAACTGCTTATAATGCGTGAAGATTGGAAAATGCGTGAAGAGGAAAAAAACAATATTTTATAAACTAATAAAGACCATTATCTTAAAATAGTAGGAAATTGGACTTAATTCATTTTAATTCTGACCACTCCAAATAACTATAACGCGTTTCTGGCTTATTTCAGGAAGAACGGACAACGCTATCAAGAACCACTGGAACTCGACTATGCGAAGACGGTACGAACAAGCGGAGGGTGATAGTCGCAGGGGTAAAAACAGGAAGAACCAACGTAAACCCGACTACAAAGTCATGGAGCAACTCAGGGCGATGGCGGCTCAAAATGCCGAACTCAGAAAGCCGGAGATCACCAGCAGTTTCTACAACGAGGTGAGTATTATTTAACGGGTCTGTTATTTCACCATCCCGTGTCTGTTATTTGGGAAATAACAGTTATTTGTAAATAACAGTTACTGAAAATTTGCTTTCGATAAATAACTGGGTTGGAAATAACTCGCGATGTAAAGTAGAGTTGCTATTTAGCATCGTGATCTGTTATTTAGAAGTAACAGATTGCAACGGTTGTTAGTTTTAAGAAATACACTAAAGAATAACAGTGCAATGGCTCGGGACAAAAAGACTGGTTGGTATTTAACGATCAGTGATTGAAAAAATATCAGTTTGCTCTGTTATTTATAAATAACAGATACGCCAGTAACTGTTAATCGTTAATGACAGTTTCTAGAAAGTGACCGAGATTTACAAATAACAGTACAAAAACTTGCGATTTTAAATAGTGTTACTATTTAAGGATCTGTTGTTTAGAAGTAACAGTTTGCAATAGTTGTAACTTTTAAGAAATAATACGAAAGAATAACAGTGCAATGACTTAGAATAAGATTTTTTTGCTCTGGCTATTTACTGAATAACAGATACTTCAGTAACTGTTATTTCTAAATAACAATTACTAGAAAGTAATTGATGTTTCGAAATAACAACTACATTTAGTAAATAACAGGTATAAAAAATAACAGTGTAAACACTTTTCCTGTAAAAAATACTAGTTACTCGAAAGTAACAGATATATACAAATAACAGCTTTTTCTTTCAATAAATATTATTTATGAAAATAGATTTTGGTAATAGTTCTCAACATATACGTTAACTGATTTAAAGTTAAGTCAGTTTCGTCAAACTCTTGTTTCCTTCAGGATTGGGTGGAGATGTACGACCAAGGCAGCAACCAGTCCAGCATAGGAGGCCTATCAAATGGGGCACCCACTCCATCACCGGGAGCTTCCACGGCTTTTGACAGAATCCATCCTTCTCCGGCACACTCCAACATCGCGGAGACTCACAACTACGCCCTGTCTTACCCCAGTCAACCCTCCCCAGTGAAACTCACCCCCATGAGTGACGATCCCATCCCTGACTTTGATTTGGCCCTCTACAGTCCCTTGAAAGGAGCGAAACACTTTATGAAATCCCGTGTTGAACTTCCGACGTACGCACAATCTATAGCTATCCTTGCTGCACCTTCAACCAGGTCATCTACCCCTCCCATTCTAAGAAGGGGTCCCAGGTCACGTAAACGAAGAGACAGTGATGAAATTGACAAGGAAGAAGCCTCTCACCACGACAGGCGTCTGACGCAAGACGTGACCTCGATGTTTGAAGGTGGTAAACCCACAATCTTTAGTCCGATCCGTATGGGCAATAACGGGGCTTCCCCGATTGAACAGTTGCCGTTCAGTCCTTCCCAGTTCCTTAACAGTCCTAATATGTCGCATATCACCTTTGATGTCACACTCAGTTCGACCCCTGTGAAGAAAGGAGGGGTTATGACACCCAAGAAGGACGTTCGAAAAAAACCGGTAAGTTTTTTGGTCTTAGATATATTTCATACTTTTTTGTACTAAAAAAATTGCCCTGGATACATTTTTAAGCGTTCTAAATTTTTTCCTGTGATCATCAAATCACGTTTAACGACTAAAAACCTCTCTTTTTTTTGAAACTGAAAAAACTTTTTTAGAACTGCTAAAACCACAATTGAACTATAATATCTGTTTATAACTGCTAAGACTATTTAGATTCACAAAAACTCCTCTAATATCAATAATACCTATATGAAACCGACAAAACCTATTGCAGTTCTCCATGAAACCTTTATCTTCACTATAAAACAGCTAAAATCATTTTAGAAGCCTCACTAGCATTGTTAGAACTACTTTAGACCCGCTAACTTTTCGCTAAAAGCGATAATTTGTTTTAAAATTAATATAGAATCCTTAAAATATTTTAGAACCTTTCCTAGAATTAGTAGAGTAAAATATAATTTTTGTGAAAACGTCAAAACAAATTTTTAGAACCGCTAAAGTTGTTTTAGAGCTTTTTTGAAGTGGTAAAGTTAGCCTGGAACCGCTAGAAACTCTTCTAGAATGAGGAAAGTGGCTTTAAAATCGCTAATCTCATAATAAAATTCACTACAGAATTGCTAAAGTTGTATAGAACCGCTAAAATTAGACAAGAATTTTTGAAGATTTGTTTTGATACGCCTCTGGAATGATTAAAACTGCTTTGAAATAGATAGTGTCAAAATAAAACCTACCATAGGACCGCCAAAGCGTTTTAGAAGCTTTTCTAGAAGCGCTAAAGCACCTTTCGCGGTTCTAGGGTACCAGTAGCAGTTCTGTAGCAGTTCTAAAAGTTCTTTAGATGTTTTAGAGTTGCTAAATTAAACATCTTTAGTGACTCTAAGTTATATTGTAAATAACCACAAAAAACAAATGTTATGAAAGAATTAAAACATTTTAGAACTGCTAAAGCTACATTAGAACCGCTAAAATTGTTTTAGGAACCGCTAAAATTCGTATAAAACTATTGAAACTGTTTAGAAACTTCTCTAGTACGATTAAAACCGCTTTTGAATCGCTAATACAACCGCTAAACTATTTTTAGCGGTTCTAGAGTGACATTAGCGGTTCTAACTAGATTTTATTCCTTTAGAGCCGCTTCGAAGAGGGTCTTAGCGTTTACGAACTCATTTTACTTGTTTTTGGATCGATTCTAAAACATTTTTAGAGGTTGTAATGCAGTTAGCGGTTCTAAAAATGGTTCTAGAGGGATTTAACGTTATTTTTGGACCGATTTTGACCGTTCTAAAGCTGGTACTATGGAAAATGATCATGTTTCTTTGTTTATCTGTCAAGGATCGGGATTATAGTCCTCTTAGTACCCCTCACGGGCCTTGTATCAAACCAGACGTCGGACCTTCAACCTCTGATGCATCTTCAACGCCTAACAAGAGGTTATTTTTGAACGAGGACACGCCTCGCACGCCTACACCGTTCAAGAAGGCTTTGGCAGATCTGGAAAGGAAGTCCGGCCCTGTTTCGAACATGCCGGACACGCCGTCCAGGCTGGAGGACATCACGGAGATAATGAAGAAAGATCAGGACAGCTCGCAATATGAGACCGATACGAGTATGGTGACCACTGCGACGGTAAGTATATCGACCAGGTTCTGTAAAATATACAAAGTGTTTTTCAAAAAAGGCTCACCCCTGTAATTTTTTAATTTTTTTCGGTTAAAAAAAATACGGGATTTGGTATATACTGACATACAGGCGAGTCATTTTTGAAAAACACTTGGGATTTTGTTTTTATTTTAATTGAATTTTTTGAAAAACTAAGATAAATTTGGCTGATATGATAAATACTGGGTGTTTCTGAGTAAGTGTCGAAATCACCCAGTGAAATACCGAACACTTATTCAGAGACACTATTTTATAATATAGAATAACCTTTTGTGCCTTTCTATGCTTTGTGTTTGTTTGGATATGTAATAACTCTTTCGGGTATTTTCGTGAACTTTCGTAACCTTACTTTAAAAAAAAACAATGAAATAATATAATCTGATCGGAAAAAAACCGGCGTCAGCGATGGCTTCGAAATGAAGATCGCTGTCTGTTTTATATGTAAAATTATATGGTGAATGTCATCGATCGCCGTTTTTTTTTCGATCGTACGGTATAATACAGTGATATTAGTGTGGTTGAAAGGATTTTTCTTATTGTATTCAACGATAAAAAGGATATATCATTCTGTGAAATTATTTAATTTTTAAATTCTTGATGGTGTATTCTTTTTTCGTTGACTAATACATTCTGCAAATTCTCAACATTTTTTCGTTTAGCTTGTCATTTCGTTTCACACGAACCCCATCAAAATTTGCCGGATTTTTGGTGAAGTTATATAATATGCAACCAACATTACACCTAGTCCTAAAAATTTGCCCCTTGATTGTATTGTAATTTAAGTTAGCGTCTCCTCTTTGCTGTTAAGGCTAATCTGGATGGGACCTACTCTGCTTACGAGGAATACGAACCGCGGTCTTCGGCCTTACAGTCGCGTCTCGAGCCTGGGTCCCGACAAACGTAAGCCTGTCATTTTTGTCAGTCTTTTGCATTTCGTGACTGTGAGTCGCATCTCTTACTCACGTGATATCCGATCTCATCCGGCCTCGAATGAGCGTGTCTCAATCAAATATATTATAAGAATATATTTCTAGTACCGCATTTGCACAATGAGTGGAAAGTGAAGCCAAAGAAAAGAAATAGAAATATCAATCTTGCATACGTCTATCCTTTTCGTTGAACAGCACGCGCCAAATAAAACAATCTGATTCGTCTACTTCATCGATGAACGCTGTCACCTGCTTCTTTCAGGATTAGGTGTATTACTGGTTGCATACCTACCGGCTTCATGCTTTACAAGCGTTATTTATCTTTTTTAAAGCGCGTTTTTTCTCTTTTTTGGATTGACTTGAGGTCTGGTTTGCGTTTTTCAGAACGACAGCGGCTATCTGACAGGCAAACGAAAAGTGGTGGGAAATGCAGCAGACAAAGAAAACGTCCTCCCGAACAAGAGGGTGCGGAAGGCGTTGGCGCCATCTTGGGCCTCCACGTCGATGTCGTCGTGCGTGTCGTCCGATATGTCATTTGCCGTAGAAACGCCGGTAAGTGTCATAAAATAATTAAGCATTAAAATAAAGTCAAAGACCTCTAACTTAAACAAGACAAAACCCTAGATCATATATATTTACGTGGATAAATCAACGCCATAAGTTTAGCATTAAAAAATACGTCTCCAACATCACGACATGCCATTTTCAAACCTTCTTTATTGCACCTATGAAACGTTCAATAGGGTTGTCTTTCTCTAGGACCTTACTTTGCGCAGGCGCATTAAAAGTTGCACGTATTTCCAAAATAATCACAGTTTTATTATACATTGTTATGGAAACCTACTTTTCATTGTCATCATATTGTCATAATTGGTCATAATCTTATTCCCATTGTGTAACGACGCTTGTTTTTTGCGTTTTTTAATTTAAAAATTGTATTAATTACTCTTTTATCGGCGGCTTTTATATAGCCAAGGAAGCAAGTGTGTTCAGTGAGAAATTAATTTTAAGTTTGTGCAATCATATTTCTATTCTTTTTTTCGTTAGACTTAATCTTGTACAATTCGCACTAAAAGAGGTTCTAAAAAGAACAATATCACAGACACAAGTATCACAACAACAATTCATTTAAACCAAAAACTCGTAATACAAAACTAAAGTTTCAAAACGAATGACAACGTCAGGAAATAAAAAAAATATGAGGCAACTTGGCGTTTTTTGCAGCAGAGCTACCACCTGAATCCGCAGAGGGAAATTTAAATTCCAGTGGTTGGCAACGATTAATTTAAAAATTGCGCCCTTTTACGTCACTAAAACTTTAATTGGTATTGCCTATATGTATGATTTTAAACAAATGGAGTGTTGTGTCTCCTTCTTAGTTAGATGTCTTTGACTTTTTTTATGGCGTTGATCTCTCTTTTGACATATTTTACTGTTAATTACAGAGCAAGTCTTTAGGAGACGATACCTCCATCTTGTTTTCCACGCCCCCGTCCATAATGAAGGACTCCCTAGGGGTGACGGCTCTGGATTACGTGCCTCCCACGTCGTCCTCAAAGGTACCGAACAGCTGGTTTCAATTTGGTGACTATTTTCCCTCCTAACCTCCCAAAATTAATCTCCCCCAATCTCCTACCACGACGCCTTTTTATTTTTATAAATTTTCCGTACCTGTTGTGCGTAAATGGCACTAGTACTTACATATATTTTAAGAAGACATACTAACTAGATTTACTAAAGCACAATAACCGTATATTTTATGAGGCATAGATTGATTATGTTTGGTCTAATTTAAAAGTATATATTTTTTAATTCGTATTAAAAAAACGTCTGTCATAGTAGGACTAGAAATAATGTTTTAGTTTCAAAGTTTAGCTTATATAATTCAGTTGACATAGCAAAACGCTAAATTATATAGGGTGTTTCTTGAAAAAAGTGCAGATGTTTTAACTGGTAGAGGTAGTTTTATTTTTCGCGAAAAAAAAATGTTGGAAATAATTTTTTTTATAAAATTTCCAGAAATTCTACAAAACTTTAGAGATGTAGGTTCCTTACATTTTTTTTAAATGTGGCAACATGGGGAGTGGAGTAAATCTGTGGTTCTCAAAACGGAGATTTTTTTTAGAATAGAAAATTAATATTTATTCAATCTATATCTGCCATTTTTAGGAATATTTGTACTTATTTAAGGGACGCCTTATATACAGGGTGTCCCAGAAAAAAGTGCAAGTTTAACTGGTAGTATACTTCAACCCCGGAAACACGTCTATGAAGTTTTTTTCGCGAAAAAAATGTTTTTAAAATTCGAAATTTTTTGAGAAATTTTTTTAGTTAAAAAACATAATTTCTTGATAATATGGTAACATAGGTATTAAATTAAATTTACAAGAAAGAAAATCCAGAAAAGATCCACTAGTTCTCAAAATTTTAGCAAAAAATCATTTTTTTTTTGGAAATTTTCAAAGTAAAATAACTCCGTTATTTTGGACTTATTTGAAAAACGATAAAGAGAAAATATGTTTCCTTTATCGAGATCTACCACCCTTTAAAATACTTGCACTTATTTCTGGGACACCCTGTATAATTACCATAAATTTTCTGTGCCATAGATGATGAATTAAATTAGACTGACAATAATTGTGCCTAAACGACATAAGAATATAAATAATCATATCACTATAATATATCTCTCTATATCATAAACACATACATAATATACCATTTATTTTCAATCTTGCAAACTGCATGATTTCTTATGTAAGTTTTGTCTCTCTATTCGCAAAATATACCAGGGATATTTGATAAGTATTTTACTCTCAGAAAAATAAGTACACATAGAACCGTCGTCATCAATTATTATTATTTTATAATTATACTAGCGTGTACCAGCGACTTCGTTCGCGTCGAATTAATCATTTGTAACGGTGATGATAAAGCAAAGCAAGAATTTCCATTAACATACAAACTGGATAAAATTTTCTCACATTTATATTAGCATGAGAAAAAACAATATGGTGATATTAATATAACTTGGTAATATTTGAGGGGTAGTTTCATCTCGTTGGAATTTGACTTTCGGAAAATCCGTTTGCCAAAAATAAGCTTTTTACGTCGAGCAGTTTAAGCACAATCGTGGTTAAGAAATTACCCAACTTTTTGGAACATCCTGATGATTTTTTAAAAAATCTCAAACTATGTAAAAAAACAAAATAAATTATGCGTGTCCAAGCGTTTTCCCGAAAGACTAACCGTTTTTTAAATAACAAATATTGTAATATTTGAGGAGCGTTTTCACCCTCTTGGAATTTGAGATTCGAGAAACCCCTCCTTATCGAACCTCTACACCCCACAGTCAATCCGTTTGCCAAAAATCAGCTTTAAACGTCAAGCAGTTTAAGCAGAATCGCGATTACTCAGTGGTCAGATTTTATGAAACACCCAGTATAGAGGGATAGTTGAGGGATAGTTTCACCCCCTTAGAATTCGAGTTTCGAAAAATCCCTTCATATCGAACCTCTACACCCTAAAGTCAATCTGTTTTCCAAAAATCAGCTTTTTACGTCAAGCGCTTTAAGCAGGATCGTGATTAATCAATGACCAGATTTTTCGAAACACCCTGTATACATTTTTGAAAAATCTTAAAATATGTAAAAAACGAAATAAAATATACCTGCTTAAGCGTTTTTTCGGAAACTTGACCGTTTTTTAAATAAAAAATATTGTAATATTTGAGGGGTGGTTTCACCCTCTTGGAACTGGAATTTCGAAAAATCCCTTGAGCTTCTTACGTTGAGTGGTTTGAGCAGGATCGTGATTAATCAGTATGTCAGTCACTTAAGGATTTTATATATTAGTATAGATTGTATTGATATTCTAAAAATCATATTTTTATACACACTATTTTTTCTTCTTTATTTTAACTGATGTTTCTGTCAATACGGCAACATTGCACACGTCTAAACAGAAACGTGACCACGACTTCCGTAAAAATAGGGGCCGGAGTCAAGGTTTTGTGACGTCACGACATTAGTCGACCTTATTATATGTTTTCATATGGTTTTACATGCATATTAGCAACCATTTTTACTTATTTTTCTGAGATTTTAACATAAATACATCGCAAAAAACAGCTGACAGATGTCGCTTTAGTACACTCCTGGTATATTCTGTGGTCTCTGTCTAGTCTGTGCTGCCATCTTGTAGCATTAAGATTGACCAAAGCATTCCTTTCACCAAAAAAACCTTATAGTTTTTCTTTTCTCTCACCCTGTACATGCGCCTTTCCTTGTCTAACTTCTCTCAAGAAAGAATAATTAAACCGCAAGTATTATTTAATTTTTTTTGACTTGATAATTTGTTTATTTTTCTGTATTTTTTCGTTTTTTATCGGGCAAGCCAAAAAAGTGAAGCGCCTCCTTTTTTATTATTACTTTATATTTTTAATTTGTTTTGTTATTTGTGTTGTTAAATTTAAGATGTTGGGCGTATTCTAGGTATATTAAAGGGTTATATTTAATTTTTCTTAATTAGAATAAGCGTTATATGTACTTAGCTGTTAAATTCGGGCTAGTGAAGTTTTTTTTTTAGTTTTATTCTGTTTATAATTGACCAGTTATTGCCAAATATACAATTAGTCAAAACAACAGTCATTGAAGAATATTTCTTTTGAAGAAATACGTGAATTTATCAATATAACTTTAAAGTTCACTATGCGACCACAACCTTCTTAAAAGTAAGGCCCGATACAACGATTAATGACGTCACGATAATAGTCGAACTTATTGCATAGTTGTCTATGGCTTTTACATGAATATTTGTATTGATTTATTGTTTTTTATGACATAAATATGAAATAATTCATAAACCATATTATTAAAACTTACAATTTACTTTTTATCACCGAAATTAATCTTCTAGCGTCAAACTAGTGAAGTTTTTTTTTTAGTTTTATACTAAATTTATTAATATAACTTTATAGTTTACTATGAGTTCTCTTGACGTTTTTTTTTACCACAGCCTTCGCGAAGATAGAGGCCCGATATAATGACGTATGACGTCAAGATAGTAGTCGGGCTTATTATTTAGTTGCATACAGTTTTTACACGAATATTAGTATTAAATGGTAATAAAAGTCACTCAATTGAGTTCCACCCTGTATATACTTGATTTGACCAAGTCAAAATAAGATATTTTAAGCCAAAACTAATATCACTGAATCAAAGATTCATTAAACCTATTTATTCTTAACTTATTCTTAATAAATTTTAGAAAAAATAATATATTTTCTTTTCTGTTATTTTAGTTATTTTTTTTGTCTGTAAAATTTAAAAACAACCCTTGTAAAAAGAAACCTAGAATACTGCCCGTGTTACCAGATGAGCACAACGTATAATTATTGTTATATAATGTTTTTTTTTAATTTCAATTAATTTTAGTTTTATACAACAACTGTAGATATCGACCGCACTACGTGTTTATTTTTTTCTATATACTATTTCTTTTTTTTTCGATAAAAAATCATTGCACATCATTCTATTAGGTTTAAGTACAATTTAAAATGATTTTAATCGTTTTTTTTTTGGAAGAAGCAAGCGAGAATAGTTTATACCGTGTTGGCAACTGTTACTTTTGGGTCGGCATTTACATGTGTGGAAGTAAATCGCATAGGGATCTTATTAAGTCGGAGTGAGAGAAATGCGACGGTGTATTGTTGCGGCGTTGCCTGTACATCTTTAAGTAAAGTAAAATCACCATCGCAAACCGCTTATTTTTAAAAGACTTTTTCAAGAGATAACTAGATAAAATCATTAGACATGTTTCTGAGCATCTGAAATGGAATTATAAGGATATCGTTAAGGTGTCATTTTTTTATAACGACAAAACGTTAGTAATAGCGATAATTTAAAAACTGAACTTTTTAACACATAACAGGCCATAACTCAAGAACCACTTTAGATATTGAAACTTTTTATTATTTTCAAGATCGGATATTTTACAATATGTTTACATAAGATAAATTCGATAAGGTTGTTTTTTCCATTCAAAAATTATTTTAAACAATCCATCCATTTACTTTTAGAGCATGGCAATTTTCAGCAACTGTGTAATTTTTTTATTGATAAAGATTTTCATATACTGTCTACAAAGAAAATACAGCAGAAATATTAACAAAGTTCTTGAAAAAACTACAATCTATTCGAGATATCGATTTTTGAATTGAGAGTTCTAATAGCGCGACCACTATCGAACACCCACTCTCGATTCCACTTATTTTTACCAAAAATGCAAGTGTTTCTAGCTTGCACTTAAAAAAAATTCAAGCTATAGGGAAAATTACAACGACTCGTTAGTAAATAAACAAATTAAGTGTCACGAGACGTAATTAAATCGTGAAGCTGAACTTATGACGTTCACCTTTTACTAGAACTTTAAGTACTGACAGAGGTATTGATTGGGTCGACCGGTCAACTGCGACAAATCTGCTATATCCCCTTCCACGTCTCTTAGCGATGTGCACAGTTTCTCGGTTTATTTAATACGTTTGGCAACGTGTTTACTGTTTAATGTTCTCTCTTTGTTCAGTACATTATAAACGCATTGTACTCTTCTGACATACGGAAATCTCGACCCAAGACTAACCTTTGCCAGCCCTTAGTATTCTTTTCAGTGTGCCAATTTGTTCAAAATTTTTATACCGCGTGATAATAAATACCTTTATTTTGTAACGTTTTCTCTAACCTATACATGCATGATATTATTTTTTATTATATTAAACAAATATAACTTGTAATACGATGCCTTCTATGATCGAAATTAAGTAGACTTTACTTTGACAGTTTTAGTTGGTGATATTTTTGTTACCAACTAAAATTTTTTTTTTTTTTTTCGTATCATAAGGTATCTTTATGATTTTTTTTTTAGTTTTGTGCATGTAGATTATTTTGTAAGTTTGTTAACACTGAATCACTAAATTTAACCTAAAAAAAACTAATAATATTAATAATCAAATTGAAATGAAATTACTAAAAAGTTATTAACCAAGTAGTTAAGTTAATTTTAATGGTAATCTCAATTTAGTGGTTCATGCATTTTTGTATAATTTTATTTCCTTATTTGGTCTTAGCTTGTATAACGCTTCCTTTTGTAAGACAGAATTGTTTATGTTTTTTTTAACAATACAAAATAAAGGTATTTCAAAAATGAATGTACTGTTTTTATTTTTTAGTTTAACCCTCTACTAGTCCTCTACCTTTTTAACAACTACTAACATCGTTTTTTTTTTTGAATATCTTTAAGCTTATTCATTCATAACGTCGAAATAAGTGGAATACGTTAGTGGTTTCAGACAGCTTAGAAGTTTATAAACAATTAATAAAAAAATAATAAATGCCGAAAAAAAACGGAACACACAAACATAGGAACGCACAAACAATATGAACTGATCTCAGACACACTCTAAAACTCATATTTGACATAATATAATGATGACGTAGCATTGAACGAAGGCTGAACACTCTTTATGTTTTTAAGTACCTATAAAGTATAATTGAAACCACTCATTTATTTCTCTGATTTCGAGGTCCTTGATGTGGCTTTACAACATACAATTTTTTTTTGTCAAGAACACAAGAGAATGATGAGTTATATTTTTAAAAAAATTTTCGTCGTTTCTTATACACCGTGTCACAAAAAAAACCGGTTAATGAGAGAGAAGAGTTATTACGTTATATTCCAAGCAAAAACACTACAAGTATTTGTGAAGATAGTTTATATTTTTCTTTTAGACCCGTAGAATTTTTTTGAAAAAAAAATCCATTAAAATTAGTGATATAATTTTATTTTCTGTTATAACCTTTACTATATTTTTTTCTGCTTTGCTTGCATGCTCTCATCACCACAATTCTCACGTTAGAATTCTAGACCACAAATACCGTATGATCGAAAAAAAAAATAGCCTCACAGATACCTGCGGAATGATAATAATTGGCGACAGTTTTCCACATTTAAAAATAATTTTAACTCAATATAATAATAAATTACAACCTTCTTAAGGCGGTAAACGCCATTAAAAAATAATGAAGAGTAAAGTAAGCGACGTCTAGCGCTTGACCTCGCCAAAATTATCATCGAGTATCGTTCCGCAGCCTTCTTTGACGCTGTTTTTTTTCGACTGTATGATATTACGCGACCTAGGATTTGTATTATGTATTATTGACGTATTAATCCTGTTTTTATTATCCCTCCTTATTCCACGCCTCTTGTTATATTCCTCACACATTTTATTTGTTGTTTGTTTTTTTTTCTGTATTAACACAGTATATTTTGGACTACGTGACCAGACATTTGTTTAAGATTTATTAGCTTTTTTGGGGGGTTCGTTGAACGACTATTAGAGGCACAATTTAAAAATATCAAAGTTGTATTTTTTTAAATGGGACACCCTGTATATTATTACATTTTTAATTTCTACCATTAAAATAAAGGTAAATTTGATTAAGGTTTACCACACTTAAACTTTACCGTTTTTGAAATATTTTCAATTTTGTTAAATTGCAGTAACCATTTTAAAACTTCATTTCTCCAAGGGTATCGAAGTTTTTAATACTAAATATTTACTGAAGTTTATATATATTGATCAGTTATTGTGTTGCAATAATAAAAATAGCCTCCTACAGCGTGTCTAAAAATTTATTTTAAATAATTTCTGGCTTTAATCGGCAATAACTTGTTTAATTTAAATGGAACACCCTGTATATTTTAGGGGAATCAGATGCACAATTTAATTGTCTATCAAATTGTATTATACCATTTTTTACCTATCTCTTCAAGTTTTCGTAGAAAATGCATTTTCTTATAATTTAGATCTCATTTATCAATATACCCATGGAATATTGACATTTTAGATTATTTTTAATGATGTAACAAATTTTTAAAGAGTGAAAATTAAAAAATAAAATAAAAACTGTTTAATATTTGTTAAAGAGGACCAATTAATATGATTCCAGTATTCAAACTGCATTAATTGGCTGTTTGTGTCACCTTAAAAATGTTATTTCATTTTTTGACGAATGATTATTTATAACAACAGAGACGTTCATTTTCATAACTTATTATTATGTTGATTTCTGATTCATATCTACATTTATTTCGAATAATTTATTAACTAACACAATTAAGTACGTAATTAATTAATATTTGGGCGGAAATAATAGTGGTATATTTAATTAATGGTATACTCTTTTATAAAGATTTAAATAGTTTTCTTTTTGTATACAAACGGGTTAGTAATATTATCGTTTTTAGCGCCTGTATATTTTGTACATTTGTTGCTGTAAAAACAATCTAAAATGTCAATATTCCATGGGTATATTGATAAATGAGGTCTAAATTATAAGAAAATGCATTTTCTACGAAAACATGAAGGGATAGGTAAAAATGGTATAATACAATTTGATAGACAATTAAATTATGCACGTGATTCTCCTAAAATAGACAGGGTGTTCCGTTTAAATTAAACAAGTTATTGCCGTATTTAAGAGGATATTTTTGATTTTAATTTACAAACGAATGCTTTAAATCTACATAGAGTTTTGTCTATGCTTGATGTAGTCTATAAAAGTGTACTGTCGTAGTAGCTCTTGTATTGTATCTCCTTGTGCTCTTCCCAGCCCGCTTCTGCAGCAAGGGGTGCCAATAACGTCTCGGAAACCCGTAGCACCGCAGCCAAGCGGATCACTTTCGAGGAGACGCGACCTAGGGCCCCCAAGGTGAGACTCTAAACAAAAGTAGCCCCCAAAAACCATATGTGAATGGGAATTCTTTTCAAAAAATTGCTTTATCTTTTTTTTAATATTATGTAAGGAGTTTTTTTTATAATATTACTTAGAGTTCATACCGGGTGTTTTAAATTCGTCTTTCACCAATGGGTAAAAGAGACAGGGTGGCTAAAAAAAAACAATGTTGACGGTCTCAGAAAAAAGATACGCCTCAAGTGATTTTTGACGCCACCCTGTATCTTTTACCGTTTCCGAGAACCTTAAAGTTGACAGGCGAATTTTAAACATCCTGTATACAGGATAGTCAGTTAAAAAGAAAAAATTATATCAACACGTTGGAAGTTGAAAGTTTCAATTAAAAGCAGAACAGCACGGGGGAACATATGATTTCGACAGACTTGTTTTAAAAAAATGTTGCTTAACGTTTCGGAAAGTTTATCTCGTTTATCTAAAATACAAAGAATAAAGAAAAAAACTATTAAAAATATTTAAATTCAGCTAATTTAGTTTTTTAAAACAGATACACAAATCTAAGATTTGTGAGCATTCATGGGACACAGGGCACAGAATAAATTTTAATAACGCCAAAATTATAATGAAAGAAGCGATAGCCTCTTAAAGAAAAATTAATTAAGTAATTGTTATCAGGTAGTAATTGTTAATTTTGAAGTTTAAATATCAAGTTAAAAATGTCATTTTAACAGAACGTCAATGGTTTTTGTAGACGTATCTGTTTTAAAGTATAGGATTTTTTGGAGACTTGTTTTTGATTTAAAATTACTTGAAAACTGTCGTTCATGTCATATATTCTTTCGCTGGACAGACTATATAGTTCTAAAATGTTAAAAATATTTAAAAACGACCTATATATGTAACGAAAAAGTGCCTAAAATTTAGAATTTTTGGTAAAATGTTAGTTTTTGGTGTTATTTGATGAATTTTACTTCACAGATTGATCGTTTATGGGCTATTATTGCTTGCGGACGCACCCAAGACCAGTTGGACCTCACCGAAATGGCTCACAAATTCCTCAAAAACAACGGTTTGAAACCGAGATCCCTTAATTTTTAGTATATCCCTATCGATAAGATACTATATAAGCTAGCTTTAAATTTTGAAAATTAAAAAATAAACTTTAATAATATTCTTTAATTATATTTAATATTACTCTCGATGGTCTTTTAAAAGATCTTGTACAGGTAGATTTAAAATAGGACTATTGTACAGTGTGTCCCCGGATTGTCTTTAGAAAAGGAAACACTTTTTTATTAACTTTTTTGAGAAAAAATGCATTCTTACCGTTTTAGAGTAAAATAAACAAAAATATTATGAAAATACAGTTGAATTTAATTGTTGCAAAAAATATATCTTGTAAAGACGAACCGAGGACATACTGTATATATTATAAAACTTATATACTGTGTTTGATCAAAAAGTATGTACCAGTAACTGTCTGGTACTAAAACTATATTATTTTTCTGACTTTACACGGTATACACCGTGGTATTGAATGAAAACAATGTCACAGTAGCCTAGTAAACACTAGCTATAGTAAATCTCAAAGTAAAATATGATTTCAACGACTACCGTGACATCGTTTTTATTCAATCGCTCGGTACATAGATGCAATAACCTTAAAAACGTTCGTGTTGCAAGCTGAGAGCCTTGCAATGACACTATTGACGTAGAGGTATGAATTCTATACAAACCTAGTAATATACCGTGCTGGCAACTGTTACTTTTGGGTCGGCATTTACATGTGTGGAAGTAAATCGCATAGGGATCTTATTAAGTCGCTACGGTGTGCTGTTGCGGCGTTGCCGATACGCTCAAGTAAAGTAAAATCACGATCGCAAACCGCTTATTTTTAAAAAACTTTTTTTTCAAGAGATAACTAGATAAAATCATTAGACATGTTTCCGAGCATCTGAAATGGAATTATAAGGATATCGTTAGGGTGTCATTTTTTTATAACGAGAAAACGGCAGTAATCGCGATAATTTAAAACTCAACTTTTTAACACATAACAGGCCATAACTCAAGAACCACTTTAGATATTGAAACTTTTTTTTATTTTCAAGATCGCATATTTTACAATATGTTTACATAAGAAAAATTCGATAAGGTTGTTTTTTCAATTCAAAAATTGTAAACAATCCATCCATTTACTTTTAGAGCATAGCAATTTTCAGCAATCGTGTAATTTTTTTATTGATAAAGATTTTCACATACTGTCTACAAAGAAAACACAGCAGAAATATTAACAAAGTTCTTGAAAAAACTACAATCTATTATTTCTAATAGATTTCGAGATATCGATTTTTGAATTCAGAGTTCTAATAGCGCGACCACTATCGAACGCCCACTCAATTCCACTTATTTTTACCAAAAATGCAAGTGTTTCTAGCTTGCACTTAAAAAAAATTCAAGCTATAGGGAAAATTACAACGACTCGTTAGTAAATAAACAAATTAAGTATCACGAGACGTACTTAAATCGTGAAGCTGAACGCATGACGTACACCTTTCCCTAGAACTTCAACTGCGACAAATTTGCTCTATCCCCTTCCACGTCTCTTAGCGATGTGCACATTTTCTCGGTTTATTTCATACGTTTGGCAACTTGTTTACTGTCCTCTCTTTGTTCAGTACATTATAAACGCATTGTACTCTTCTTACATACGGAAATCTCGACCCAAGACTAACCTTTGCCAGCCCTTAGTAGATACGGTATTTTTATGTTTACAAAGAAAAAATGGTGTGTGATATATACATAAATATAAATGTATGTAGTTTTTATTTGTCTTGCAATATTTGATATATGCAAATCTATTTGTTTTAAAATTTTATTCCTTATATACTACGTGTTGTTTTTTTAAATTTATAAATATTAATGGTAGAATATAGTAAGTAGTGCTTTCAGCAAAAAGTAAGTTGCTAGTCCCCAACTTTGTCGTTTAAAAAATATTCTGTATGTTTAAAAATTTGATTTCTTTGCATGTGTTTCTTTTTCTATACAGGGTATTGAAAAAATGCAGGGCCAAATTATACGGGGGGTGATTATTCATCAAAAAATATGAAAAAAAGTTCCTATAAACATGGGTTTGCAAATGCTACAGGATGTTAAACTTTAAAAAATAACATCCTGTCATCTTTAACTATGCATTTTCGAACCCCATGTTTATAGGAATTTTTTTCATATTATTTTATAAGAAAACATCCTCTGATTTGGCCCTGAATTTTTCGAACACCTTGTATATATGTCGCTAGAATAATTTATTGATTTATGTAATAATCCAATGAATTATTTGTTGATTTTACAATTAGAGAGTTATATACGGCCTATTAAGTATTATTTATAGGACTTAAAACAAAAATATAGAGAGGTTTTAGGTGGTTGAGTACAAATTAGCTTGTATCAAAGTGTAAATATACATGTTTAAATATATAAATGTTCTTTAATGACTTGTTAAAGTTCATTATAAACAAATATGACGCATTTTTCAACAACTGCACTTATTGTTTATTATACAATACTTGTAAAACAAATACTTCTAAAGTTTTCGATTACAATTATGATTAAAAATACTTTTTAAATAGATTTAATAACTTTTAATTTTCAGATATATGTTGTTTTTGAAAAATATAGATATTTTATTGCTAATTTTACAGGTTTGCCTATATTTAGTTTGTATGTGTAGTGTATGTTTTTTTATTTAAATTTTAAATTGTAAAATTTTTTCAATAAAGTATTCTTCAGATGCTTTTGAAGGATAAGGGGGAAAAACAGACAATGTCACAAAACTGCTTATGTGGACATCGTTTTTTATATTCGATTACTTAAAAATTCCAGTAAAGTGGACATATCGTTGGTTTTTTCCTCTTACCCTTCATTCATATTGTTTGTTTCTTTAGACATCGTGTAAATATCAAAATTTAGCCGGTGAACCACTGAAAATACAAGTTAGATATAAAAAATCAGAAAAAAATGAAATAAAGTTATGCGCGTGTTTTTTTTTTGACACCGTGTACATTAAATTTTTGAGACGCTGTATAGAATATTATTAGTTTCTTTTTATATACTGCCGATGGCGCAAGATGTAACCAAAAACCCTAGATTTATTCATTGGCAGCACTACTGTTGAAGGAAATTGTTAAACGTCAATAAATACCGTTGTCGTCGCAAAAACCATTATTATTTTGCAATTTTTCTTTGCATCAATCGATTCTAAACAATATTTTCTTTTTTCTACACCGTAGCATAAGAAATCGAAGCGTATTTTTCCTACCTCTATATCTCTGATATGTACTTAAATACCCTAGAACAATACGTTGGCAGCATTGATGTTGCAGGAAACCATATGTTAAACGTCAAGAAAATTTACTTTTTTTAGCGTTGTCGTCGGAGAACGAATATTATTTTTGCAATTTTCGTTCGCATCCAGACAATTCCAAAGTATACTTTCGTATTCTAGCTTGTATTTTCGTAATATCTCCGTATAATGCGTTTGTCGTACCGGTACGACCCCATCCTAACGACCAGCAGTAAATGACAAAAATCTAACATTTGACAGGGAAATCTAGGATGTGAGATTTATCATCGTTTTCTTCGAAAATCTAAACGAAATTTTTGACGATATTAAGATGGCAGACAGTAAACTTGCTATTAACAGACCGAGTTCAGCCAGTACTCCCCCAAATTGTGCAATATGCTTAGGATCGTGCAACAACAAATGTTTCTCCGACTCGTGCATGCACCAATTTTGCTTCCAGTGCCTCTTGGAGTGGTCCAAGGTAATTTTTATTTAATTTTCTTTAAAATACAGTTTACCAACTACGATTTACAGATCAAAGCTGAGTGCCCACTCTGTAAACAAGCCTTCAAATCGATAATACACAATGTGAAATCAAACGAGGAATACGATGAGCATGTAGTGGAAGCACCAAGGAACGAGGACCTTAGGTTGTTTACCAACGAGGAGTTTTTATTTCTACCATTGTCTCTTACTCCTCAGAGACATGACACGACATTTCATGTTAGGTAATTAGAAATATTTTCAGTTTTTCTAAATTTAAAGCTATGTTAAACATAGATAAAATGCTATAGTAAGTCTTTAATATAACAAATATATTTTTATATGTTAGAACTACATTTACTGTCGATTCGAGAGGCGAACATGCAATTCAACAAATGCTGTTGAGTCATCCGTTGACTTCTGGAAGACTTACTGTTGACACAGGTTTTCAAAGGTATTTTTTTAAGTACTGCTAGCCAAAATATAGTTATTTAGATAAAAGCCTAGGCAGTTCTAAACAAAATTTATTTTTATTTTTAGGTCTAGGATATTGCATCCTAGGATTAGTTTCAGAAGATCGATATACGAACAAAATCTTTGGGTAAACGGGGTACCGGACATAGCGACGCCTTATAGGGAGTGTTCTCCCACTTTTTTTAGGTATATATTTTGAATTTAATTCGTTTTTAAGTGATGTTAATATTTTTTATTGTTCAGAAATAACCCAGCTGCCAGACAAAGACTTGTTCCCTGGTTAAATCGCGAATTGAACGCCCTCCTTTATGAAAATACCCAGTTAATAATGCATGTGGTCGACCTAATCCTAGACCACCTGCTCAGATATCACATTTGCAGCAGAACGTTCAGAAACCTTCTGAGAGACTACCTCGACACTAAAACCGATCATTTTATACACGAATTCTATAATTTTATGAGATCGCCTTACGATATGTTTGGATATGACAGAAGTATAATTTATACATCCAGGTGAGTGAGATTGCTTTTCCTACATCTCTGTTGAATGTGTTGTAATCTGATTAATTATAGACCTACCTCACCCACACCAGTTCTTGAAGAGGACACTGTTGAAGTTTTCGATGATAACAGCAACGATAGTGATGTTGTTTTTGTTGGTGAATCAGCCCACAGAGTGCCTGCAGAGCCTGTCACTATTAATTTGGTTGATACCGATTCTGATGAGCCTATGATGATATCTTCGTGTAATGAGGTAAGTTTGACTCTTTTGTAGCTCTTTTTAGGGTTCCATACCTCATAAGTGTGTCTGTCTGACTGTCTGTGAAGACCAGGGTTGGGTAACGACGCGTAGATAATTCATTTTCTACGTGCATGTAGAAAAGTGCGTAGAAAATGTAGAAAATTAAGTTGAAAATGTATAAAATCTGAGAACAGGTGCAAAATTAATTCTATATATTTAAAGCCATTTTTTTTCTATTTTCTTTAAATTCTATAAGTGTTTAATTAGTTTTTAACTTCCTGAAAATAAGAGAGAGTAATTGATCTGAAGACTATTAGAACATTTTTTTCTGTTTAATCTGAAGATCGTACAGAAAAGTCTGATTTTTTTTTCTTTGAAAGTTTTTGTTGTTTCTTTTTTTAAATTTTACCATAGAAAGCTTGTGGTTTAAACTATATGTATAGTAATAATTATTGTAGTTTGTAGTTCTTACTTTCATTAGGTTAGACCTAATGCAGGGTCCTGGTGATTTTGCCACTGCAGGGACCTGGTGATTTTGTCGCTGCAGGGTCCTGGTGTTTTTTCCTACTGCATGGACCTGGTGATTTTGTCACTGAAGGGCCTGGTGATTTTTCCTACTGCATGGACCTGGTGACTTTGTCACTGAAGGGCCTGGTGATTTTTCCACTGCAGGGACCTGGTGATTTTGTCACTGAAGGGCCTGGTGATTTTTCCACTACAGGGACCTGGTGATTTCGCCACTGCAGGTACCTGGAGATTTTCCCGCTGCAGGGTCCTGGTGATTTTGCCACTGCAAGGTCTTGGTTATTTTCCCACTGCAGGGTCCTGGTGAATTTTCCCGCTGCAGAGACCTGGTGATTTTGCCACTGCAAGGACCTGGTGTTTTTCCACTGCAAGGACCTGGTGTTTTTCCACTGCAGGGCCTGGTGTTTTCCCACTGCAGGGACTTAGTGATTTTGTCACTTATGGGACCTGGTTATTTTGCAACTGCAGGGACCTGGTGATTTCGCCACTGCAAGGACCTGGTGTTTTTCCACTGCAGGGTCCTGTTGTTTTTCTCACAGCAGGGACCTGGTGATTTTGTCACTGAAGGGACCTGGAGATTTTCCCACTGCAGGGTCCTGGTGATTTTTCTCACCGCAGAGGCCTGGCTGGCCTGGTGATTTTGCCACTGCAGGGACCTGGTGATATTGGCACTGCAGGTACCTGGAGATTTTCCCGCTGCAGGGTCCTGGTGTTCTTGCCACTGCACGTACCTGGAGATTTTCCCGCTGCAGGGTCCTGGCGACTCTGCCACTGCAGGGACATGGTGATCTTCCCACTGCAGGATCCTGGTTATTTTTCCCATTGCAGGGACCTGGTGATTTTGCCACTGCAGGGACATGGTGATTTTGCCACTGCAGGGATCTGGTGATTTTTCCACTGCAGGGTCCTAGTGTTTTTGCCACTGCAGGGACCTGGTGTTTTTGCCACTGCAGTGACTTAGTGATTTTCCCACTTCAGGGACCTGGTGATTTACCCACTGCAGGGACCTGGTGGATTTGGACCTGTTGGATACTATATACTATCCATTTGTTATATAATAATAATAAATAACAATTAGAGATATCTTTATTAGTTTATTTCTTGTACTTATCGTTGTGATTGAAGTATTTGAAATAAATATAAACTCAAAGGAAGGTTTACAATACATAAAACTAATTTTCTACGTCTGGACATATGAAAAATGTCCAATTTTCTACGTGTAGAAAATACGGTAGGAAATATAAAATTTTCTACCTACCCAACCCTGAATCTGAAAACTAAAAATTTGTAATTAAATTAAAAAAAATATTTTGATTTTAGATACCGATGCCCATTTTGTCGCCATCGAGAAGGAGCCCCTCTCCCGAAGTCTCTCAATTGTCACCGCAGCCTTCAGTGTGTTTACCACCCAAATTACGGTATAAACACGAAGCCATACTGGAGAAAGATAAAAGAAGGTAAGCTTTTCACAATATTATCTCTTATTTTGATTAAAACCTCAAATCATCCTTTGTGTATTTTTAATTCATTTTTGAAGTGAAAAAACTATTTGTTACACGTAAAAAAACTTTTTTTACGTGTATAAAACTTTTTATTACTGGTAAAAAACTAATTTTACGTGAAAAAAATTTTTTGTTACACATAAAAAACTATTTTTTATGTGTTAAAAAAATATTTTTTTTAATTATTACTTTTACAACTGCTTGTGCTTAAAAGTGCAATTTAAAAAAAAAGACTACGAAAATAGGCAACAAAAAAACGAGAATTGCTCACAAAGATTCAAAAACAACATGATATTACACAAAATAATGACTGACACTAGGATAATTGTCAAATAATAAACGACAACCTTGCTGAACACGACGCAATGTGACCAACTTAGCGATAATAAAATTCGGTTTAAACTAATTTTTGCAGCTTTAATCTAAATAAATTATCTCTTACAATCATTTGCTCTATAAAGTAAAACGAAGAGCCGCTCGGTATCTGAAATTATACAACAAATTTAAACATTTTTGCCGAAATTTCATTTAGTCAGGTTTATATAGACTTTAATGTCAATGTCGATAAGATTGATGGCGTGCATCGGAAAATGTTTTGCGATTACAATACGTCCCATAGAATAAAATATGTATTCTCGTTTCAGGTGGTTGAAAAAAAGGCATAGGCGTAGGTCCTCGTCTATCAGTTTCTCTAGTAGCAGCAGCGATACTTCGTGTGAACGAGACAAAGAGTCGTATAAACGCTACAAAAAGAGGAAGATGAAAAGCAAGCATAAAAAACGTTGCTTGAGCCAGAACGCTTTCGATAGCGACACAGAGGTAAGTCGGAATAGTTTATTTTGGACCTCTTATCACTTGAACTCCCTGTATAAAACTAAAAAATTCTAAAGTATTTTTGATTTTAAACTGTAAAGATGCTTAACTGTCAAAATAAGTAAAAGTTACGGGAAAATAACTGTAGAAAATGCAGTTTTTAAAAGTAGTTCATTTGTACCGTCCCATATTTTACTGAAAAATACACTTTTATAACCACACGATTAGATTTTTAGAAAATGTGAGCGATGGGATCGTTATAGGACGGCTAAAGTTACAATTTAAAATTATTTTCAAAATGTACAGAGTGTCCCAAATAAAGAAAAAATATCAAAGTTGTAATTTTTTAAACGAACCACCCTGTATATTAATACATTTTTAGTTTCTACGATTAAAATAAAGATGAATTCGATTAAGGTTTACCGCACTTTAATCTTACCGTTTTTGAAATATTCACGATTTTGTGAAAATACAGTGACAATTTTAATGCTTCATTTCTCTAGGCCCTTTTAAGTTTTTAAAACCAAGTATTGTAGTGAAGTTTTTCTATTTACCTAAATTTTGTGTTGCAATAATAAAAATAATACTACCGTCCGGTGCACAATTTAATTGTCTATCAAATTGTATTATGCCATTTTTTACCTATCTCTTCAAGTTTTCTTATAAATGCATTTTCTGTAATTTAGACCTCATTTCTTAATATACTACCCATGGAATATTGAGATTAATTATTGAAAGTAGTTAATTTGTACCGTCTCGTGTGATTTTCAGGTTAATATCACTACCAGTGACTCGGAAGACGATGACAACAAACCGTTGATGGACATAGTGAAAAGAAAATTGAAGAAAAAGAAAAGTAAGAAGAGCAGTAAAAAAGAGAAGAGGAAAAAATCAAAGAGCGAGGAGGGTTACCGGTCGAGAGAACAGCCTAAAAATGAGGCTTCCACACAAATACAGCCGATGGATTTGTCATTTGAATCAGTATCCAATTCCAGGTAAGTTTTTGTAATAATTTTTTAAACATGTTATTTCGTTTTTCCAAAAATCTTGTATGGGTATTTCGCCACTGCAGTGCAAGAAAATCTACAAAATAAAATAGTTATTTTTTTGTTTAACACTTCTGCGTTAAACCTAAACGGACGCTGCTTGTCAAAAGTTATGTTTACAGTTATACAAATTTGCCTAACAAATAAAAAAATACTTAACGTTTCGGAAAGTTTATCTCTTTCCGTCGTCGGAAGCAAAAAAATACAAAGAATAAAGAAAAAAAAATATTTAAAATATTTAAATTCAACTTCTCGAGAACACTTTAGTTTTTTAAAACCGACGTACTGTTAAAATGACATTATATCAAGTTAAAGTTCAGAATTAACAATTACTACCTGATAACAATTACTTAATAAGGTAAAACCAAAAAGCCCCAAACTTTCTGTATGATTATTTTTAAATTTTACGTATGTTATGTTTATTTATGTTATGTTCTTTAAAATCAAAGAAGCGATTGTTATACATTACTAACATTTACAGATGCATGACCAATACATTTATTTTTATTAGATCGTATTAAAAAAGCCTCTTTTATTTTTCTTTTAGAGGCTATCGCTTCTTTCATTATAATTTTGGCGTTATTAAAATTTATTCTGTGCCCTGTGTCCCATAAATGCTGATAAATCTTAGATGTGTGAAAATCTCCCTTTCTTAAATAATCTTTATGTTCTTTAATTCTAACATTTAAGGGTCTAGATGTCGCACCAATGTAAAATTTATCGCATTCACATGTTATTTGGTATATTACATTTTTTGTTTGTTGTTCTGTATTAATTGGTTTAGTATGTGAAAATGGATCTAAGTGTATTTTGTATTTTGAAATACCAATATAGGGTTTTTTGGAGAGATGAATCCGCCACATAGGTATAGACATTTTTTATATTTCGTTTTTGTATTGTCATCGTTTTGAGTTAGCAGTATATGCGTTTATTATTAATATTTTTATCAGGTACAAGGCAAAGCCGATGGATTTGTCCACGGAGACTCCTAGTTGTTCGAGGTAAGTGGAATTTTTAAAAGTAGTTCAAATGTACCATGTTTTAATTTATTTTTTTTGATTGAAAAAAAATTAATGAAGGAATATAATGCTATCCATGTATTTATTCATGGTAGACGGACCCTTGACAGTTCTGTTTGACGGTTCATTTGACACATTTCAAATTTTGTGGATTTGTCTTGTCTTTACTGAGTTAATTTTGTGTAATTTAGTATTTATTCTACAACTAGTAGTTGTTTAGAGGTAGTAAATTTAGAAGGATTTTTTTTGTGACAGAATTTAAATTAACAGGACATTATTGCGATTTATCGAAAAAGACTATAATAGATGGTTGTGTAGCGTGCGGTAGATCTCGGACAAAAAACGAGGGAAATAATGGAATAACTTTTCGCTAGTAAGTAACTATATAATATACATACGTGTAGTAAACCGATCGTTTATGAAATTCATTTAAAATTAAGTAATTACATATTTTTTATTGCATTTTTGCTTTTATTTACTATATGTCAAAGAATTTAGATACGTCAATTTGACTTACCGGCTTCAGTAGCGTATTGGGATGTTTGTGTTGATAAATAATTACTATAACTTATCTATTTTTATAACAGTTTTAATAACCAACAACGTTTATTGACAACGTAAAATAAAACAACAAATTATTGAGTCTACCCAGGCATCATATTTTTTACACGTTTTGAATAAAATTAGAACGGCACTGATAAACCGGAATTTCAGTCGGCCATTTTAGGACCCCGTCGCGTTCGATCTAGATAAGGATTTTTGATATACTCCTTAATCTTTTTGTTCAAATTATTTGACGTTAAAAAGACAAGAAAACATATTTATTAAAAGTAGTTCATTTGTTCCCATATATTGGACTGAAAAAAATCATTTTTATATATTTTTCTTAGACATTCCGGTTCTTCGACTATATCTTCGAACGGTACACCTGAATCGACAAAATCGAAGAAAACCTTTCAATCGGCCGTGCAAAAGCTCAAATCCGAACCTTCCACTAGCAGATACCACGTGGAAATACCCAAGAGTACCAGGTCCAAGGTGGAGCTCACCGATAACGGAGCATATACGTCGGTAAAAATCGAAACTTCTAGGGATCCAACCGGTGAGTAGACTTGGCAACTCTATAAAGGAGTTGTGTGGTTTTATTTTCCCTGATTCTACAGACTGTACAGACGATCTGGCATCGTCCAGAACGAAGATCAAGATCGTGAGGAACGGGAGGAATAGTCCGAAAAATGCGAGATGTAAGTCTGAAGTTCAGGAGTCTGACAGCAGTACTGACGACTACACAAAACCAGCTGTCAAGAGTGAAATAAGGTAATTTTTTTTTCAGAAATTTACTTATCCACGGAATTACTTAAACTAAACTCCCTAGATAATACTATCTACGGCCTAGGGTGCCTAAACATTATTTTAAGTCACTAGATAATATTATCTAGGGATTAACTATACAGAAGCGACAGTAGCATTTTTTCTAAATTAATATATTTACAATACTTTTTTTATATAACACAAAAACTAAATGGTATTCCATATATTGTTATTTTCCTCTCAATATCAACAAAATTAAACACGTAAAAACTGTTCAGCCATCGTTCAACGTTACGTCATCATTATTTGTCAAATATGAGTTTGAGGGTGTGTCTGAGATCAGTTCATATGGTTTAGAAAATTTTAAGTATGTTCCTATATTATTTTTTTCGGCATTTATTATTTTTTTCTTGAACCCTTCATCAGTTACGATCTTTTTAGATCCAATAATCAACAGTAATTTACGGAATGCCGTAATGACGTTACCAATCTGTTTCATCTGGTTGGCAAGTGATTGAGAGAGTTCGACTATACATAATATGACGTCACGTTGAACTATGGCTGAACATTCTATACTTCAAAAAAGTCGCTTCTGTATAGCTAAGGTAAAGTGGCGATGCTTTAACTATTTGAATTAGATTTACAAAAAAAAGTGACATATGTCATTGATTATCTAGAGAAGTGAAACACGAAAATCCCGGACCGAGTACTAGTAAGTCCTTGCCCCTGGTATTTAGAAGAGAACATAATAAATGGTACGTTTTTGGTGAAAGCGACCCATCATCCGATTAACATTAAGTCCAATTAAATACAAAAAAAAATACATTAATAAAAATATTTTTTCCAAACAATATTTTACGGACTATTTTGTAATTTTTAATGTTATCCAGGCCTTACATGTGAGCGTTGTTTTTTTGTAACTTGTAAATATATACATAAGTTGTATTATACGGGCTGCCCCCACCCAGATGCGCTATTTTTTCGGGACGCCCTGTATATACTAATAATATACGGTTCATTATGCTTTAGATTTTATTTTATTTTTGTATGATAGTTATTTATAACGATTATTAGGAGTAAAAATGTAAAATTTCGTAGTGCCCTAGATAGTTTCTAGGTTTTTTTCTCCGATACAGTATATTTATGGTATTTTATTCGAAGTAAAAATAAACGTTTAAAAAATGGGGGTATTCATGGGGGTAAGGGGGCGTTCATATTTTTTTTTCAGAGATTTGACGCCTCCTAATAGACTGTTTAAATACTGATATTTTTGCAAAAAGAACCTTTTTTTCCTGTAATTTCATTCTATTAAATATTCTAAGCCATTGACTTTTTATTTATAAACTTTATATAGCTAGCTAAGCGTCATGTATATTTACAACTATTGTATAATCAAAAATTTGCCAAAAAAAAAATAGGAAATAAATATTTCAAAATAAGGTAATGTTTTTTTTTCGTAAAATAATCCTTGTTTTGACCGAGAAAAAACGGCATCAGACTAGGCACAGAAGTAAAGATTGCAGAGATTTATAAAATGACAGCGTTTTATATGATAAAGTGTAAAATTATATGGGTATACCCTCGATCGTCAATTCCTAGCCAACTGGAAACATTTTTTTCTTACTGGGTAATTCATATAATACAGGGTGAGTCAGTATTCCAAAAAAACTCCATATCAAATATCCTATTGAGTTTTTCAGTCTGTTTTTGATATAAAGTTATAGAAATATAAATTTTCTTAAATATATAGAGGGGTTCAAATGTATTTTGACATTGAAGTTGCATTTTTTGGCTGTATATTTTTACCCAGTAGATACTTTGTAATCTCACATCTTTTGTATCATTACATAGTTTTTATCAAAAAAAAACATACTTATTTAGTTTAATGAAATTATATTTACATAATAAATAGACATAATAGCTTTTATTTCACTTGATACTAAATAAAAATACCTGGTATGTTTTTTTCCATATAACAGTGATTTCCAAATGTAAAAAGTTTAACAATTTTTAGCTTAATAAGAAAAACAATAAAAAAATTATACAATACAGTAAAGTATATAATATTGACTGAGAAACCACTGTATATAATATAACTTGTTATAACTTTGTATAAGTTTTTAAGGACAATTCGAACTGTTTTATAGCTTGGAATGATAGAATTTAAAAATACTGTTATACTTTACAGAACTACCACCTCGACTGCCGAATTTTAGCAAAAATCTACTTAATTATAGCATTAGACTTAACAGAAAACTATTAAAACACTTAACAAACCTTTCATATTTACAGTACATAAAAAAAAAGACAAATGTTGCAGTCGAGTTCAAATATGTGATAAAATTTCTTTTTAAACGCTCAAAGATGATCTGTTGTTCAACCAAAACTGGTGTGCTGATATGGCCATGGTAATCAGATAAAGTAAGGCAGCAATCCAACAGTTATAAGCATTCTGAAAAGGTTTATGTTTCGTTAAAAATATGGGTGTGTTCTTTGAACTTGAAACACTTACCTGCTGATAGCCTCTGGTCATTTGGCTGTAAAAATCGTCTAGGGTCTCGTAGGAGTGGACTTCTGGAAGGTCCTCAGCCAGGGCTACGGCTTCTATATAATAGAAGACTCCCATAAGGGCCTAGAAAAGACTTGAATCAAAAAAGGTTTCGTTAAGTTTAAAAGGCGATATTTTCGTTACCAATTGCACAATACCCCAAGCACTGATTATCAGGCCGCATAGAGACAATTTTGGTCCACAACAGGCCATTTTAAAAGACTATAAATTATTTTAAGACTTTTTAGGAGTTATTAAAAATCTATCATGTGATTATTGACAAAAATGTGATAATTTTGACGGAAAATGTCATGGGATGTTCAAGGACACAAGAATATATTGCTGTTCTTGTTTATTTTTATTGTTGTCTTTGTCTAATAATTAACCATAGATTATAATTCGATCACTCTTCTTTTAATTGTTTTTCAGGACTCTGGTCCTGAGTGAGTTCAAGCCATTTAAAAATAAAGAAGAAGAATATTACTTCTAATCTGTGGTTACTGTTCTTTTAAGCCCTGAGATATGAAAAAGAAGAAGAACGCCGGTGGCGCCATTTTGGAAAAAGTGAGAAAATTTTGAACTAAAATCCCAAGGTTGCCAAGATATTAACGAAATCCTGAAATAAATCCAAATCAATATTTTTGTAAGTATAAAACAAATTGAATCTTTACAAAATCATGATAAATCTAATAACATATTATACATACTTAGTTTCAGTAAAATAAATAATACATTTTCTTTTAGACAGACATTATTTATGCAGCAAAAAAATACACGACTCTGTTTTACATGTGTTCAATCTGACAACGTTGAAGTGAGAAACTTTCAGTTGTTGTTTTCAGCTAGAGGTTATGTGTTATGTCGTTCTTACAATTTTTCTGATTTTTTAATAGAAAAAGTGATTTTGCGATGTATTATTTGAGTTTATTTTGTTCCTTAAGGCCTGTTTAATCTCCTGAAAATGTAAGTACTTATTACTTTGCCTGTTTTCTATAGATTTTTTCACTTGCAAATATTTCAATTACATCATCATTAAAAGTATTAATATTTTTGCAAATTTCATAATTTTCTTTCTCAAAATCGAGTATATGGAAATATAGATACATTCCTTGATGTCTCTATCGTACATTAAAAGTAAATTTACTTAGAATAGTGCTCTATATTTAGAGATATTTGGTATTTTTTCTGCCATTTTTTTTGGTCAAGTTAAAATGTTTTTTGTTTTTAAAGGTAGTTTTTATAGGCAAACAAGTATTTTCTACGTCTTTGAGTCGGTGTTAGTATATCTCAAGGAGCCCTTTGTGCTCAGTAATTATATAAATTAATACTTTCACACAGATAAAATAAAATACTTTTACACACATGTTTAATACTATACACCATCGTCATATTTAAGTTAACAATTTTGCATTGTTTTAATATAAGGCTTTAATAATTATAATTTTATCTTTTAGGAGCGTTATCAATAATACACACTCAGCACATAAAGACCACCTAAAAGAAGAGACATGGATCATCACCCCTTATACATATAATCCTGATGATTGGCCATCATTCTGGTTTATGAGTTGTTCTTCCATTATGTGATTAAAAGTAAGTTTAATTTATTATTTTTAAAAATAATTCTAGTAAATTATTAAAAGTTTATTAACAGGGTAACGATTTTTTAAGATATAAATAATATGAAACAAAAAAAAATCAACACAATTATAGCATAAGTAATAAAATGTAATATTATTTATTTCTTTTTTACAGATTTTCCACAACAAATCAATAGATGTCTACAGCTCCAGGGCAGTATTATTTATCCTTTTCATGAATATTACCAACAAATGCATCAGGACTTTCTGTATATCTAAAATTTTATTTCCTTCGGGTAAATATATTTCTAATGGTTTTTAATATTTGTCAGTTTGAAATGAAATAACTATATAATAATTAATATTGAACTGTCATTTTTCTGAGATTTTCCTAAAAGTCTTCTTATATGTATATAATTGTGTGTATAATTTTTTGTGTCATTCTTCTGATACTTTTCTTAGTTCATCACTCATTTTCGTGCATTTATTTCTATTGTTTCTTTATGAGGGGAGTTGTAGTTTTGGAATCGTTTTCATGACTTTCAATTCGTCATAACTTAACATGGTAAAATTAAATTTTATTTTTGTTAAGTATAATTTATTATTTCTCTTTTTCATTGATTTCAAGTCTCCTATTGTATTTGAAATATTTATTTTACTACTATTCTACTAAGACTTCTAGGTCTTTCTATTGTCTACATAGAATTGTATAGTTTTGGATACATTTTCTAATTGATTTTCTTTTCAATCATATTCTAATTCTTTTTAAAATTGAGTTTTTGATTCGGATATAGTACTGCTTTGGAACAAGGATTTTTTGGGACAGCTGCACTTCAATTCAACCACCTTCTTCAAGATGCCTTTAGCTTGATTAAATTCAACATTCAACAGTGGATTAAGAATAAAATTCATCATTGAAGAGGAACTAAATAATTTTAGGTAAATTACACTAAAGTGTTTATTATTAATAAACAATGTAAAATATTCTTTGTTATATGTGTATAAGTCTAAATAAATTTATTTTTATTTTCAGATCATTGAATTTTTGGAACTCATTCTACAAAAGCTGCAGCTGGTACTGGTACTTCTATTTTTCCTCCATTGGACACTCCAGAAGACACATCTCAAGAAGACTTGTAGAAACACCGAAACTGTTTTAAAATATTTATGAATTTTATTTTATGTAAACTGGTCTTTACTTTTTTGGAAATTGTAAAAGTAAAATTTTGAAGTGTTGAATTCTGTATTTATACATAAAATTTTTAAATATTTGAGTTAAAAAAAATCTTATATCATCAAGAATATATTTTAGTAGATTCCAGATGTATAAAAACACAGAATTCAAGACAATCAAAATTTTAATTTTATTCTTAAATAGTTTCTTGGAATTTTAAACTTTATACTGTACAATCATAAAGTTTCCTGATCAAGCAGGCTTTGAGCATTGATAAATAATCATTTTCTATCAGAAATAGCATTAAAAATAATATAAATTTTTATATTCCAAGGAATATTATGTTACATTCAATAATTAGAGTACCATTTATAATTATTTTGGTTATAGATAAGATATTTATTAAATTTAATGTTTTAGTTAAGTTGTAATACAACATAATAAAAAAATGGCGTCAGCGAAAGCTATGAAATGAAGATCTCTGTTATCTTATATGGGGTCATGTAAAATTATACGGAGAATATCGTCATGTTCATTTTCAAGCCAACTGGACGCCGTTTTTTTTCCGATGACAAATGTGCAAAAGAAATGAGCACAAACATTTTTTTACACAAAAAAATATTTTTGTTACAATCATAAACAGTCTACATAGCTCTTTATGTAAAAAAATTAGTTTCTTACGTACAAAATTCCTAGTTTTATACAAGGTATTTTTTACGTTTTATAAAAAGCTTCTTTGAACACGCTGTTAACTGTTATTATGATATACAAAAGATACAATACAATCGAAAAAAAACAGCGTCGGAGATAGCTTGGAAATTAAGATCGCTGTCATTTTATATGTAAATTTATGTTGGGAATTTCATCAAGTGTTATTTCAAAGCCTACCGGATGCCATTTTTTTGGTATAATTGATTTATGTTTAGGCATTTTATTGTTGATATATTTTCTATTTTGTGCAGTAATCTACATACCATATGATCCAAAAAAAAGGCGTCTAGTTGGCTGGGAAATGACGATCGATGACATTCCCCATATAATTTTGCATATAGAATGACAGCGATCTTCATTTCATAGCCATCGCTGACGCTGTTTTTTTGCCATATTATATAAGCAGAAATAATACAATACGATCGAGAAAAAAACGGCGTCGGAGAGGCTTGGAAATTAAGATCACTGTCATTTTATATGTAAATTTATACCGAGAATTTCATCAAGTGTTATTTCAATTCATTTTTTTTTCGATCATACGGTATAATTGATTTATGTTTAGGCATTTTATTGTTGATATATTTTCTATTTTGTGCAGGACTCTACATACCATATGATTGAAAAAAACGGCGTCTAGTTGGCTGGGAAATGACGATCGATGACATTCCCCATATAATTTTGCATATAGAATGACAGCGATCTTCATTTCATAGCCATCGCTGACGCTGTTTTTTTGCCATATTGTATAAGCAGAAATAATACAATACGATCGAGAAAAAAACGGCGTCAAAGATGGCTTGGAAATTAAGATCATTGTCAATTTATATAGAGAATTTCATCAAGTGTTATTTCAAATCCTACCGGATGCCATTTTTTTTTCGATCATACGGTATAGTTGATTTATGTTTAGACATTTTATTGTTGATATATTTTCTATTTTGTGCAGGAATCTACATACCATATGATCGAAAAAAACGGCGTCTAAATGACAGTGATCTTCATTTCATAGCCATCGCTGACGCTGTTTTTTTTTGTCATATTGTATAAGCAGAAATAATACCGTCAGAGATGGCTTAGAAATTAAGATAACTGTCATTTTATATGTAAATTTATATGGGAATTTCATCAAGTGTTATTTCAAAGTCAACTGGATGTCATTTTTTTCGATCACACGGTATAATTTATTAATGTTTAGTCATATTATTGTTAATATATTTTCTATTTTGTTAAAAATCTAAATACCATATGATCGAAAAAGAACGGCGACCAGTTTGCTTGAAAATGACGGTCGATGACATTCCCCATATAATTTTACATCTAACATGACAGCGATCTTTATTTCATAGCCATCGACGTCGCCGTTTTTTTTTCGATCATATTCAAGCAGAAATAATACCATATGATCGAATAAAATACGATGGCTATGAAATGAATATCGCTGTCATTTTATATGTAAAATTATATGGGAAATGTCATCGATTGTTATTTCATAGCCATCTCTGACGCCGTTTTTATTCGATCATACGGTATAAAATGTATGTTTAAAATTAAGATAAATGTATTTTTTCTCATTTCACCTAAGTTTTTTACAGTTTTTTACGTGTATTTTTCGCCATACCATCCCTGATAAAAAAGTTTTATGACCAAGCTTTGTATAATCAAAAAAAACAGCGTCAGCGATGGCTATGAAATGAAGATCGCAATCATTTTATATGGGAAATATCATCGATGTTCATTTCCAAGCCAACTGGACGCCGTTTTTTTTTCGATCATACGGTAGCAGTACCTTTATATTTTAAGGATCAAAGTCAAAGCCCACTTGATCATAAAACTTAGATCTTTTGTACTGTATATTAGTTTAACAAATTAGAGTAATCTGCATCCAGAATAAATTTATTCCTATTTAGATTTAGGTCTATCTTTGTCAAATATATGTATATGTGTCTATAAGTTTATCTTGAATAAATAAAACTATTAAAATTAATTGTTGTTTTATTTGACAATTTTATAGTTACTCCAAGGGATACAGTTCATCTTCTTGCTTTTATATTCTCCTGATATTAATCGGAAATTTTGTTGAAAATGAATATTAAATCTAACTCCAATTTTCAGTAAAGGCAGAAAAATTGAGAATTTGTATCAGGAGAACATAAGAGTAAAGAGGTAAAAATAAACGAAATAAATTCTTGACAAAATGATGAATATAACTGACTGCTCCTGGCATCGAAAAATACCTCCTCGCACTCATATGTTCCTGATACAAATTCAAAATTTCTCCGCTTTTGACAAAACCGACCAAAAATAATTTCGACCTGGCAAAAATTGGAGTACCTGACCAACGAGTTAGAATGAGTTAGATTTTTTCGAAAAACGGCCATAACTTCTAAACTAAAAGAGCTATCGAGGAACGGAAGTCGGCATTCGATTCGCCTTTCAACCCTCTATAAGGGTGCAAAATTAGGGCGCGATCGGAGACAAAAAAAAATTTTCGGCGAAAATGAAGGAAGGTTAACCCCTTACCTCATTTTTCGCCAAAAATTTTTTTTGTCTCCGATCGCGCCCTAATTATGCACCCTTATAGAGGGTTGAAAGGCGAATCGAATGCCGAGTTTCGTTCCTCTCTAACCCTTATAGTTTCCGAGATATTAAGGGTTGAAGTTTGAAAACGAGTTCGAAGTGCTAGAGATAGCAGAAATATCGTTATTTAATGCTTTATTTATATGTGTTACTAAATTTAATACTTACCTCTTCGCCCTTATGTGTTCCTGATAGAAATCGGCGATTTTTGACGCGGTTTAAAAATTTTCGTGCAGTCTGACAAAAATCGAATTTTCTCGGATATGTATCAGGAGTACATAGAAGCGAAGAGGTAAATATTGGTACTGAATTTAATCCTTACCTCTTTGCACTTATGTGTTCCTGATAGAAATCGGTGATTTTGGACAAGGATTAAAAATTTTCGTTTAATTTTTATTAAAAGCTGAATTTTCTCGATTTGTATCAGGAGTACATAAGAGCGAAGAGGTAATTATTGTAGGGTATTTTTTTTATATAAAATACTGGGGGGGCTATTCCAGAACAAGTGTAAGTATTAAAATATATTATTTTTGTGATAGTTAAATGACTTTTTCTCTTTGTTCAGGATTAGACAGTATATTTTGGTTGAATAAAACTCATTTATTATTAAGTATTATTTATTTTAATATTATATCTTATTAACAAAGGGTAACTTAAAAAATATAATCCAAGGTGGCGATGGACATGCTCATGTGTATGTTGAGGTAAATAAATCTTCTGACTATCCTTCTGGAAAGTCTTGGTTCTGTAAAAAAATATAAAGAAATAATTAATTAATTGTTCACTAACAAGCTTCATTAAAAACTAGTACTTCTACAGTATGATCGAAAAAAAAACGGCGTCAGCGATGGCTGTTGAAAAATAAAGATCGCTGTCATTTTTCATGTAAAATTACATGGGGAATGTCATCGATGTTTATTTCCAAGCCAACTGGACGCCGTTTTTTTTTCGATCATACGATGAGAACTTTTTTAAATAGTACTACAAGAAAAAAAAACATAGGTAAGTTAGCTGTCTCTATAATTGAGAAATATTACAGTTGGGAGTTGGAGCCTTTGGTGTTACAACACCAAATAAAATCCTACGTCACCACAATACACAAAAAAGTATTTTGGTGTATTGTGGGGAATTAGTGTTTTAATTATACTAATTAAAAGTGTTAAAAACTATTAATTAAAAACTTAAACTCCTTGTAAGGGCAACTCTATATACACCTTAAGTGTATTGATAGTTGCCTAAATTAGGCGCCAAAATATTTTCTTTGAAATTAATCATTTATATCTACATATATTACAAAACACAATATTAGGTATTTATTAAATATGTTTCATTTAAAAAAAATCTTTTAGTATAATTTACCCATATTATTTAGCTTCCTCTTCAATGATGAATTTCATTCTCAATCCACTGTTGAATGTGGAATTTAATCATCCTAATGGCATTTTGAAGGAGGCTGTTGAAGTGCAGCTGTCCCGAAAAATCCTTGTTCCAAAGCAGGACAATATCCCATTCAAAAACTCAATTTTAAAAGGAATGAAATGAAAATTTATTAGAAAATAAATCCAAAACTAGATAATTCTATGTAGGCATCAATAGAAATGAAATAAAGAGTTATAAGTCAGGAGAATAGCAGTAATATAAACAATAATACACATAAAAGAAGATATTTAGAAATACAAGCAATATAGAAGAAAAATAAGAAATTCCATTTAAGAAAAATTAAATTGTTTTACTCTGTATGGGTATGATGATTTGAAAAAATGTCATAGATAAGACTTGACACGGAATGATACAGTATTTTTATTTTAAAAATAATACAAGAAAATAATGGCTGATAACTCAGAAATACAAATATCAATAGAAGAGTTCATGGAAGAAACAAATTAAGAAATAGAGCTATGTGGCATTGAAAAAAATTGTATAAAAATGTGCGATGAACTTAAAAAAAGTCTCAGAAGAATGACACAAAAAATACAATCAATGGAAGAGTTTATAGAATAGATAAAATGATGACATTCCCACAAGGAAGAAAATATGGGAGACATATAGTAAAAGAGTTTATAGAATTGATGAATATATATTCCAATAATAAAGAAAATGTAGGATACAAAAATAATGAAATAGAGGTAGGCCATAAGTAAGAGAAAAAAATAAAGAAGTATATGGTCTTTAAGAACTGGAAAATTGACCAAATATTATGCTTAGCCTCATCTAAAAAATATCTAGTCAAAATATGACATCAAGCACATAAGGAAAAATTCTCCAGAGCATATAAGTTCGCCACCCTGCATCAGATTTAACCCTTTTCCGACGATTAAGCCTCGCCAGTCAGTTCCCATCCCAGCTAAGCAGCCTCGTCTCGGGTCACCCTCGTCACCCATCGAGCGGACATCCACCGGGACCCCCTACAGGCGGACCACCCTCATCATCTTCAATGTGTCCGATATCCCGCCCCCTGCCTCTTCGAGGGTCACGGAATACGTGCACGAAGAAGTCTCGGAGCTTGGGTGCCAGGTCGTATCCGGCCGAAGCCTCTAGCGTTAGAACACCTAGCTCGTAAACCAGAGGGTGGTGACTCCCTTGGGTACCTCTGCATGCTACACAGGTCATCGATGCCCAAACATCAGGGTTAGGGGGTGACCCAGGTCTCCTCTTCTTCGGGGAGGCTAGTTATAATGCTCTGGAGTCGATGTTACTCAGGAAAATTCATTGGAAAAAATGCTAGAAAAATTAGAAGTGAATTATGTGGACGAGTCAGTTTTTTGAATAAATGGCGAACGCGCCAGGAATTGATAAGAAATTAGTCCTTATTTTAAGTTTTTAAAGTGTGTTTAAATTATATATAAACACGGGCAAACGAAACCAAAAGAATCTGTAAAATTACAGCAATTCATGACAAATGATCTGGAATAAATGACATGAAAATGAATCCATCAAAACTAGAATTTTGTGCACGATATTACACAAGTAAAAAGCATTAGAAGAATGACACCATAAGAATATTAATACAAATAAAATAATACTTACAGAAATACAGTCAATGAAATATATTATAGAATCAATAAATGGTGATATTTTTCCCACAATGAATAAAATATGGGAGTCAAACTAGAAAAACAATATGCGAAAAAAGAAATGACAAATAGCCAAAAATTGGCACAAATTAAGAATAGATGGTCAGAATTTATCTGTGTTAAGAATAAACAATAAAAAGATTGCTCAAGGACTCATTAGATTTTTTTCCCACATAATTATATTTAAAAATGATGAAATCCACTGATGAACATTAAAGACCAGTACAAATATATGTGTTTACTCAAAAAAATTAAATTTTAGATATACTTATTAATCTCGATGCATTGTTGATGGTAATATTCATCTAAAGGATAAATGTACTACCCTGGAACTGTATACATTCATGGATTTGTTGTAGAAAATCTGTAAAAAAAGAAATAAATAATACCGTATGATCGAATAAAAACGGCGTCCAGTTGGCTTGGAAATGAGGATCGATGGCATTTCCTATATAAATTTACATATAAAATGACAGCGATCTTCATTTCATAGCCATCGCTGACGCCGTTTTTATTCGATCATACGGTAGTACATATCATTAATTTTATTATGCTATAATAATTGTATTTTTTTTTCTTTCATATTAAGATAAAAAAAATGTTTAGTCTGTTAATAAATTGTTAATAATGCATTAAAATTATCTTTAAACACTGAACTAAACTTACTTTAAATCAGATAATGGAAGAGCAACTCGTAAACCAGAATGATGACCAAACATCAGGATTATACAAGGGGTGCCACAAGTCTCTTCTTTTAGATGTTCTTTAGGTGCTGGTGTATTACTAAAAACGCTCCTAAAAAAAGAAAATTATAATTATTAACACCTTATATTACAACAAACAAACTTATATTACAAACGAGCAAAAAAAGTATTTTATTTTATCTGAAAATATTATATAATTATTGAAAATAGGAGCCCCCTTTAGGTATACCAACACTGACTCATTCTAAAGACGTAGAAAATACTTGTCTATACGAATAAATACCTAAAAAGTCCTTTAGGAATAAAAAACATCTTAAAACTCTACCTAAAAAAATGGCCAAAAATATACCAAATATTTTTAAATATGGAGCATTATTCTATGTAACTATATTTTTAATGCACAATAGGGACATGAAGGAAAGTATTTATATTCCCATACACTCGATTTTGAATAAGAAAATTGTGAAAATAAGAAAAATATTTCAGCTTTTGATGATGATGTAACTGAAATATTTAGAAGTGAAAAAACTATGGAAAACATGCATAATAATGAGTACTTACATTTTCAAGAGGTTCAAGAAGTCTTAAGGAACAGAATACACTCAAATACTGTACAGAAAAATTAATTTTTTTATCAAAAAATCCAAAATATTATAAGAACGACATAACGAAAAACAAAAGAAAATGTTGCTCTGTCAACGTTGTCAAATTGAGCAGAAGTAAATAAAATTAATAATATTTTTGTACGTATAAAACGCCGTGTCTTCAAAAATACTATTTATTCTACTGAAATAATGTTTATATTCTGTGTTTATTAGATTTATCACTATTTTGTAACGGTTCAATTCGTTTTATACTTACAAAAAATAGATTTAAGTTAGTTTCAGGATTTTGCTAATGTCTTGGCAACCTTGGAAAAATTTTAGTTCAAAATTCTCTCACTTTTTCCACAATGGCGCCACCAGCGCTCTTCTTCTTTTTCGTATTTCAGGCATTAAATGATCTGTAACCACAGAATAAAAATAATATTCTTCTTCTTTTCAATATTTATGATCTGAAACACGGATAACCACAGATTTGATGTAGATTTTCTTCTTCTTTTTTTAATTAATTTAAAAGCGCAAGCTACTAGGACTATCCGGTCTGAAGTATCCTGAAAAAATAATCAAAAGGAGAGTGATCGAATTATGATCTATGGTCAATTAATAGACAAAGATAACAATAAAAATAAACAAGTACAGCATTATATCATTGACGTTTGCGACTTAATGACAGTGACAGTGACAACTTCAGGAAAATTATTGAGGTTTAAAGAAGTTTAAAGTGATATTTTAAAGCGAAAATTAATCGTCATGGTAGATAAATTGGGTAAGAAACATTCTCTACACCAAATACTTATTATCAACTACCCCTAACACAAATATCTGGAATTTTTCCAAACTATTTCCTACCGAAATCACGGCTTGAAGACGTTACGCCTATCATCCTTATAAGGTTAATTTATTATTACTGTAATGTTGTTTCATGGTCTGTTTGTTAATCCCCATTCTATTTTAATTTTATGAAAGTGCATTACGTCTTCAAACAGTTCTTTTGTGCCCAGACTCCTCAGAGAAATCTAAGCCATTTTTTTGACCCGAACATCTATAGTAATTTTGCTAAAATGTCTGTTCTAGTTAACAGTGAAGCCAATGCAAGGCGTATTGCTATGGTAGAAAGTTGTTTTGGCAGCTCAGGACAGGTAAATCTTCATTATTTAACAAAATAAATCACATTTATGTGACTCAACACTCTTTAGTCATATTATTTTTATTACTATTGTATTTAAAGATTAATAACATTACTAATGACTCATTATTATCATATTTGTTTGAACTGTTTCCAGCCTCTTGCTGTTCCTGGACGTGTACTAGTTGGGGAAGGTGTTCTAACAAAAATGTGTCGAAAGAAACCAAAAACCCGACAGTTTTATCTGTTTAACGATATCTTGGTGTATGGCAACATAATAATCAACAAGAAAAAGTACAACAAACAGCATATCATTCCTTTGGAAGAAGTGAAGTTAGAAAGTTTAGAAGAAGATGCTCGTAAGTAGATTTTAATGTGTTTTAATTGAATATTAATTTTCCTAACTTTCACTAATGAAGGAAGAATAATTATTAAATAACCTGCACTTTCCTATAATGTAATAAATTAATCTGTAACATCATTAATGTTATTTTAATTATCTATTAAAAAACAGATAAGGCGACAACATTTAAAATAAACACTGTAATTGAAAATATATTTATAATTTATAGATAGATTTATACAGGGTGAATTTTGAAGTATCTTTAAGATGAAAAGCTCATATAAAGATGTGTATCTAAAATGCTTAATTTTTGAGATGATACAGGGTGTTAAAAGCTGTATATTTTTATTTCAGAATACAAAAATGGTTGGTTAATACGGACAGCTTCGAAGTCCTTTGCAGTCTATGCGGCAACATCGCACGAAAAAAAAGAGTGGATGGCTCACATAAACAAATGCATAGATGATCTGCTCAGAAAAAGTAAGTAAAAGTAATTTTTGCCCGATTTACATCAGTTTTGACCCGACAAAAAACCACTGTGTGAGATAAGAAAATTTACTCATTGTTTTATAAAATTAGTTGTACTGATAAGCTTTGAAAATGGGGGTTTTTGTACACTTTTATCGCTAAAAAATATTGTTTATTGTCTGAGTGGGTGTAGGATGTGCATATTTTTTGTTTATTTCGTTTCTGAATACCAGGCTAGGCCAAAACTATAAAATAACATTAAAAAACTTGTATAAAAAATAAAAATTATAGAAAAAATTGAATTAAAACAACTGATAACGTATTCTATTGTACTATTCTCTTGCTGGACATACTATAGCTGTATTTCTCACGTAAACAGGTGGTAAAAAGGCAGTGGCGGAACACGCAGCCGTATGGGTACCGGATGTAGAAGCCCCGGTCTGTATGCACTGCAAAAAGACTCAGTTCACCCTAATCAACAGAAGGGTGAGTATTCTTTTAACTTAAAACCATTTACACCCTTATACGACGCTAATTTTTGGACTATTTCAGCACCATTGTCGCAAATGCGGCTCAGTGGTGTGCGGTCCCTGTTCCAACAAGCGATTTTTGCTGCCCAATCAGAGCTCAAAGCCTCTGAGGGTGTGTTTGCAGTGTTACGAAGTCCTGACATCGGTCAGATCAAACAATTCGAATGATGCTCACAAAAGTAAGCTTAAAAACATCGTTTTTTTTTCAAATATATATAAAAAAATTATATTTTATTATTTTTCTGGTAAATTTATTTTATTATTGTGATTTTTTTTTGCAGTAAACAGTCAAGATTCTTCTGGTGAAGAAGACTCAGATGATGATGATGAGACACAGAAAGGCCAGCCAGAAACGCATGATCTGGTGAGTACTAAAAATAGTTTATGTTTTTTTTTACAATAACACACATTAAAATAATATATAAAAACAACAAAAAAATGTTTTTACTGAAAATAGACACCCTAGGCTCAGTAGCGCACCAAAAATCAACAATATAACTTACTGTTTTAATCTTAATTCATTTTAAAGTATAAGTTATACTATGAAAGTTAGTTAATAAATATTTGTATTAAAAAAGTATAATTTTCTAACAAGCATTCGTGCGATCGAAAAAAAGGTGTCTTATTAGCCTGTTAAAAAACGATTAATAATATTTTTTCATTGTCATTTATTCTAGGTCTGTAGATGTCAATACAATACGTCTGTAGACGTCATTTATTGTAAACTTACGTAAAGAGCTTGGCAAAAAAGTTGTATTTCACGTAATATTTTAAATGTTTCCATTAAATTCTTTAATCTACCGAAATATAACTATATTATGCAAATATTAACTATGGTGGGGCTTCAATACCTATACTATGAATCATTGAGATTTTTGTTTAGTAAGCTTTTAGGAAAAAAATTGGGGATACCTAAAAAAAACTATGTATTTTTCTTGTTTACCAAAGATGTGTTTCCTTAGGGTGCGCCACTGCCTGCTTTGGACATTTGAACTACCTTCACCATAGATATTAAAAACTATAGATCAAATACATATATAAAACTAAAAAAAATGACACCTGCTATTTTTTTCGTTGGCAGCTTAATACACGTTTTAGCTAAAACTTTTTCACATAAATCAGCGTATAAAATAAATATACCGGGTGAGCCAAAAGTAGATCTTTTTTTATCTGCTATAGGATTTATGCAATAATATTATTTTTAAGAACTTGCTATACCCAAAATATATTTTTATTAGTTTCTTGTCTTTTCTTTTTTGTTAGTGAATCTATCTGCAACGAAAATGAGGGTTAGCTTATCTTTTGACTGGTATTCTATAAGTTTTAATGTCTATGGTCCTTACACTTTCTTGTATAATTAGATTTGTGTGTTTCTTTCATTTTGGCGCTAGAGAAAAAATATTCTTTTTTTAAAAAAAATAATTATTTCTATCAGCGTTTGAAAAAAATAATTAAACAAAATTTTTCCCCGGATTATATAGAATAATAGTGTTCTTTTTTTTCTTCCTTGTGATTAACCAAAGATGAAGGTAAGTTAAAGCAAATTCACTATGTGTTTGTCTCTTTGTTTTCGCTTGCTTCTAAATTTTTGCATGTTTTTACACCTGTCTGTTACAAAAAAATAATAATGGCATGAACTAAAATAGGTTTAGGTTATTTCATTTTCTCTAAAACGGTATAAATCATTGGAAAAGTATAAACGGGATTAACCATTTTAGAACAAGCAAAAAATTTTATGAAGTATACATTTTTCTCGAAATGTCAATAATAAAAAAGTTTTTCCTCCTGTAAAGTCAATCCAGGGACATACTGTATATTCTCTCACTAGATGAACTATATAGTTACTACTAATTCTATTTAATGTATTCTATGCATGTTTTTTATTTGCTTTCTTTAGTCTGTCTTCTATATGTCAATAATTTTTCTTTTGCGCTATTTTTTTTCATTGTTTTCTATGAGTACTTCTTATTTCAGTTCGTTGTAACCGAAGTACCACTTAGATACCAGTGGGGTACCAGGTACAGAAAGACAGAAGAAGAAAAAACAACGTCAAATAGCATCAGCTGTTTGAACCTTAGTTTTTAATCATAGCACCAAGCACTATACTTAACTAAGTGTACTTAAAAAAATGCATTTTTTCTTATTAGATATAAAAAAACAAAAATATTTGACACAACTACTAATTTTACTTTGATTTTGAAAAGTGTGGATTTCTCTATAACTTAGAATATAATATCAATTAGGCTAGTATAGAGGGTGTAAATGAAATAACGCGGCGTTCCCACAAAACTTTTGATTTTTTTAAATAACGTAATCACGTATATTTTTTCACACTTAATTCATTTATACGCCCTGTACATTAATATGAATAATAACTGTGATATTAGTTACGTAAGAAAATAATGTTTTACATTTTGTTTTTAGTAATTTTAGATCGTTTTTCATATTTTATTAAGACTGAATCTTCCTGAATTTTAATTTCCTTTTGTTTAATTTATAGTTTGAAAAATTTGATGTTATAGACAGAAAACTACATATTTTAACCACAATATATCTAAAAATACGAAGCATACCAAAAAATACTTAGCTATCAGATTAAAAAACATTAGAAAGTTGTCTACATTTTAGTTTAGTTTTTTTTAATTTATAACCATGTACTTACTTGAATTAGTTGAATTTTTACTCTCTAGTTGTATTATTATTCTTTTTACTGTTGTTGTTACATATTGTTTTTATTGAATATTATGCACTTATAAAATCTGTGTATTATAAATTAAAATTATATTGAAAATATCAAATATAAAAATATATTTTAAATAAACTTTTTAAAGTTATTCTGACGTGTTTTTATTTTCCTTCAGTATACAGGGTATCCCTTAAATAAGTGTAAGTTTTTACAAAAAAAATCTTATTACGTGTTGTTCCTCTAGCGCCAAAAATCTACACTAACAATTTATATCTTATCTTCCTATCTAATAAAATTTTGTACTTATTTTTTCTACTGCCATCTAGTTCAAGAGCCATTGCTTGGGGTATACTTGCTGACATTACATCTGTAAGTTGTTGGCTTGAATTAAAAAAGCATTAATAGCATTTTTTTCTCCAATACCTCAATACGATGTTATAGAAAACTCTTCATTTTTTTAGAGAAGTGTTTGTCTCATTTTTTAGAGTTTTTTGTTGAGTTTTACTGCTAATTTAAAATCTATATCTTGGCTTTTTTGCTTGTTTATATTCACAGACACGTACAAAAGGGGGGTTTCCATTAAAATTATGTCAGATTTCGACATATTTAAGTAATTAAGTATTATTATTATATAATTATAATGGACACCCTTTATATTATTCTGTCTTTTAGAAAAACTTGCGACCGGTTGAACAAGAAGCCCGTTTAAATAAAATAATATTTAAATCTATAATTGTTTGTTTTTTGTCTTCGTTTGGCTTCTTGTTGAATACTTTAATTATTTTTATTTGTATTTATTGTTTATTTTTTTTATTTGTAGCCTACCTTCTACGGGGACAATGAGAAAACAGAATAACGTCGAGAATGACAGCTGTCATAGAAAAAAAACAGCATTTCCGGGGGAAGTACCAAGTACCAGGATGGTTAGAAAATATCAGATATATTTTATACATAGTTAAACAAATATAGATATATTTTTAATATGGAATTACTTTCCAGTAATTATAATTAAACAAAAAAAAACGCAAGCCTATATAGTTAGATTTTTTCAAATATTCCTAGTAGATTTTGGTCTCAAACTGAATTCAAATTACATAAAAATAATACACACAGGGTGTTGAAAAAAAAAGAAAAAATATATATTTTTCATTATATTGAATTTTTATGTATCCGCACTGTATATAACGTTAACTCTATCCAAATATTCAGTTTTCAAATCTTTGTGATGATGGATTATTATACGGGGTGTGAATAAATAACTGAGAAAAAAATCACTTAATTCGTTTTTACCCTGTATATATAAAGGAAAATCTGTGCCTTAAATATTTTTAACGACTATTGTATAGACGAAAAATACCTATACTTGTTTTTTTTTACTGTAAAAAATAATAATTAAATTGTTATAAATAATTTCTAACAGAGTATTCACATTTGAATTCAGTTTTAGTACAGGGTATTCGGTAAATGCACGTACAAATGTGAATACGAAAATATGAAAGTAAGTTCCTATAAACACGAGTTCGGAAACGCATAGTTTTAAATATACAGGGTGTTAGAACTTTTAAAAAATATTTTTTTTTGTAATTAAAGCTTAATTTTTAAAAAATACCATTATTATTTTTTTTTTACTTTTCTGTAGGTAGGTACCACTGAACATTAATGCTTCTTTTTAAAGATTTAACATCCTGTATGTTTAAAACTTCACATTTCAGGACACATGTTTACAGAAATGAAAATTAACCCCCTAAAATTAGGCCGTGTATTTTTCGACTACCCTGTAGAACTTAAAAAAAAGATTCAGTACTTTTTCACACATTTTTATATACTGGGTTGCACCACCCGGTATAATTTGGGACTCTAATTTTATTTTTTTTCCTGTTGTGAACTGAATTAAATATTCTTATAACTTTTTTTATAGTTTTTAGCGGTGTAATATATCAATTATTTTAGACCAAAATTTTTATCAATTAATATATTAAAAAAGTCAAACCCTTTCATAGATTATTTTGACTTTTTATTTAAAAAAAAACATGGTTTAAGTAGGGGTGCTAAAAAATTCTGTAGATTTTTTAAAAAAAGCTGTATATATTTATATTATTACTATTAATAAAAATTCTATTTATTATATCATTTATTAATCTTAATATCTTTAGTATTAATCTGAACTGAAGAAATGTAATTTTAATTATTATTATCTGTATATTTTGTTTGATATTATACTCTCTTTCTTTCAAGCAGTGACAATTTTTAATAAAATTGTGTTAAATTAGTGTTATTTTTTTTTGTATTTTGTCTGATTTAAGAAAAAAAAATAAATTTGGTGATCTGGAACGATGTGTATATTTTATTCATCGAATTTCCTATCCTTCCCCTTAGGGGGCGTCAATTATGTCTCCTTACCAGGTTGCTCCTCTGTTTTTTAGCCGACCATACCAATAGGTATGGGTAATTTCACTCAAAATGAGTTTTCTTTGGGTCATAAATGACCTAAATACAAAATATTTTCATGGCGTCTGTCTGTCTGTCTGTCCGTCTGTAACACGATAACACAAAAACCGCTGAACCGATTTTAACCAAATTTGGCACAAAAATACTGCGGCTCCCGAGAATCTGGCCATTCGTTTTTGGTGGGGGTGGGGGGTTGGTAAGGGGGTATGGGAGGGGGTTAAAAATTTTAAAAAATCGTAACGCCAAAATTACAGTAGCTAGCGAAACGCGGTTTTCAAATTAAGATTAGGAATAATATTTGCAACAAAATTTGTAATAACATCAAAATCGGTCAAAGTCGCAGTTTTTGAGATATTAACATATTTTAGTATGGGCGGATATACGTGCCTCCCGGCGCCAATTTTTTTCTACAAAAATAAACCAATTATATTTTTTTATACAAGTCAAGTCTCCAGGCTATAGGAAAAACCTAATTATTACAGGATATTTTAACAACTATAAACGGGAAAAACTGCTTTAAGACATGTAAAATTGATATTAGAACTAAAAAAATATACAGTAGTTTCCCCAAAAAATATAAAGGAACAAAAAAGGAGGATATAGTACGAAAAAATGACAATTATAAGCATAAATAATTATTTTTGATGACAAAAACCCGAATACACATCTACACTGAAAGAAAATAAATGTTTCTGAAGGTGTAATGCCTCTATTTAATCACCATTATGTTCATTAAATCTATGAAATAATAAATTACACAACCCTGGAAATACTACAAAAATATATACAGAGTGGTCCGAACTGTATTCCAGAACCTGGCAGCGTATTCTGCAGATAAAAATAAGTAAAAAAGTTCGTATAAATGTATGTCCTAAAATGCTTAGTTTCGGAGATACAGGGTGTAGAAATTTCATTTTTATTACGATTTTTTTCAAATAATTTTTGAAGTAACGTCAATATTTGGATAAAAATTGGAGTCTACTTGTAGAGGGCGCCACCTACATATTTTTTAACTGGTTTGAAGTATAATAATTTTTCGTCCGTACCTGTATAAAACTATTGAGTAAAAAAATATACATTTCCGTGATTTTTTACGTAAAAAATGTCTCTACGAGCAACCGTTCTCAAGATATTTAGAATGGAAACAGTCAATACATGGGTGTCACAAATTTTATTAAAAAAAGACGTTATAATTGCTACACCCGGTATTAGTATAAAAAGGGTTCCTATCAAAATACAGTTAGTATAGCAACATTGTGGAAAGAATAACCTATCATTCAAAAAAAATCGTCCAAGTCGTTTTGAAAAAAACTTAATTTAAACTTTTGGTTATTTTTTTGTGGTGCGTTAATTTATTGGAGAAGTGTAGGATAATCCTTTATCTTTAATTTTCTTCTTCATTTGTGTAAAAATACCTAGCCAGTTTTACATGAAACGTTAAATGCCAAACGCTTATTTCGGTACTTTTTTGAGAGCGCTCTGTTCTCTCAGTGTACACCATCCAATCAAGGAACCACGCTTTGAATCGATCTTGTGAACACCGATTATACCTCGGCAGTACCATCATCATCATCATCTCTTATTACACGATAGTACCACCGGCGCGACGCATTCTTTCTTCGCGCCTCAAGGTCAATGCCGAACAGGTTCTTCATTTCTTTCTTCATCTTCCGCCTGTTTGTACCCACACTGGGTTCAAAATGCTCGGTGAACAACCAATCCGTTCAAAAAACTATCGAAAGTGTGTTTTATAGTGAAACTAGTGAATAAAAAAACAAAATGCAGTCGACGGCCGATCTAGTGACCCAATCCGCGGTGGACTTGACCGCCAAATCCTTTAAACAAATGACAACCAAGGAAAAAATAGCCTACGTCAAGGAAGTGATCACTGTGGAACCTTTAATTGCTACTTATATCATGTCCGCTATACTTGTGAAGCCTGCTTTGACTGTTTTGGAGTTCGAGAAGGCTTGTAAGGCGAATTTGGGGTTAAATGATACGATTTGTGATGGGATAGTTGCTAGTGAACAGGATATTTATCCTAGAGAAAATGAAAAAATCCAGATTTTGATTAGCAACGTTCATTCCTGGCAGTATCCGATACAGAGTGTGATGCCGTTAATTTTAGTGCTGTTTTTAGGTAAAAAAATATTTTTTTTATCTATAGATAAAATATCATTTCAATTAAACATCCTGTATACCATACCATCCAAACCAAACCTGTGTGAAATATGTGACTCACTAAAAATCGTCAGAAAATGTCTGTTATACTCCTTTACATTCGGGAATTTTTTAGAAAAAAAATGAGTTTTTAATTTTTTTCATATTGTTCCACCCCTTCGAAAAATTCTAATTCTTCTTTTTATTGTGTTATCAAGACTTTTAGTGTTTTTAGAGTTAATTTTGTTTTTTAATTTTTTTAACGGCCTTAAAAAATATGCAATAAACTGGTTTTATTTTTTTTTATAAAATACATTTCTAGACAAGCATATGACACAAGAGAAAAAAAGTGGTATTTTTCGTTGTTTTATGTTAAACCATAAAAATTTCAAAAAAAAGTCAGTGGCGTACAGTATTTTCTCAATTATTTTCGAACAGGCGTCCTCTCTGGCACTGGTACGCCACTGAAGTTAATAATTTTAATTTAATTTAAACTAAATTCGGCTAATATTACTAGAAATAACACTAGCAAGTTTCAAGAAAATCAGCTATAGGGGTATTTAAAATAATTACAAAAAAAAATATTTTTTAAAAGAGTTTAACAGCCTGTATCTTGAAAACTACACATATCCGGACCCATAAACTTTAAAGGAGTTTTTTTTGTATTTTTCGATACACCCGGTAAAATACAGGATCATTATACAAATGTGCGCACATATATATAATTATTGCATCAAGACAATTATAAAAAAAATCTTAATTATAACTTGTTATTTACAAAATCCTATTTTTATTGCGCGTCTGTATTTAATTTTATGGCACATGTACATAAAATCTCAATCCTGAAATGTTTTTAATACAAAAAGAATGTTATTTATAGAAGTTCTTTTAATAATAAGACGGTAAAAACTGTATTTTTAATATTTCAATTTTGAAAAATGTCACAGAACAAAAATACCAAGGAGGGACTTTTTAAATTCCGGTTTATCACTGATGTTCTAATTTTTTAAACGTTTTAAATATACATACATATAGTAGGGTAGACGGTAGATAAGTTTTTATTATTATTTAATAGCGAAAATACAGGTACGCTAATGAAATTACTAAGTAAAATTCATAAAATTGACGTATTTTTGTTATTTTTGACAGGTGTAGTAAATAAACACGAAAATGCAAGAATAAAAGAATATTTAAAATGTAAAAATATGAAAATGTAATAAAATATGTAAAAATAAAACATAAAATACAGGGTGGCGCCTCTCATACGCATAGTTTTTTATGGGGATATGTTAAAGACAGTGTTTATACAAAACTCGACCAACTATTATTGTCGACAACATGAGAGAAATTATTGTAGCTGCTTTTCGAGGTAGAACTCCACATAAATATGCCTTTTAAAATAAACAGATCCTTTTGAAAAGATAATCATTTTTAATGCAGTTAACAGTAAAGGAAGCATTTTGAGCATTCGATTTCATCTAGCTAATTTTTGTCACATAATTATAAGTTTATATCTAGTTTTAATTCTGTAATAATTAAAATATATTTTAAACGTGTATCTTTTTTTTATGACCGATGAGTATCTACAATTTTTAATTTTTGTTAAATTAACAAAAGGTATATTACAGCCAATTACCAAACCAAACCCCCCTAGATTTTTTCAAATAATAGAGATCTACCGACGCAAAATCATAAAAATTAAAATACCTAGGAAAATCTTTGTGTGAGGGGTAGGCAACCTTAATACTATTTTGAAGATATATAAATTCCCTATTGAACACCGGGAAAATATACCGGGTGTTCCATTTAAAATAAAGGAGTAACTTGCTTTTAAAAGTGACTAATATTCCATATTAATTTTGTCTCACCCTGTATAACTTTTCGGGTCAAATTTCAATTTGGTTTAACATACGATGGTTACTGTAATTAAATATCAAACTATATACAAGGTCAACTGAAATTTAGGTAGCCGTTATCGAAATTTAAAATTTACTCTTCATTTTCACAAAATGTGAAATATGTCGAAATCCTTAGATTTTAGGTATATGTTTCTTTAGTAAAGTGTTCCATTAGAAAAAACACAACTTCGATGTGTAACTTTTTTGGGGGACACCCTGTATTATTCTATATTTTTATAAAACGCTTTCAGTTAACCTATATATGCTGCCAAAATTTTATTTCATCACCGTTTTAGAGAAAATAAAAAAAACACAAAAAAACTGAACCTGGAAAAGTTTCTAGTCTTATTCTACGGACTAAATTAACCTCAATATATATACAGGGTGTTCGTTTTTTAGGTTCGTACAGCGACCGACATCAATGGCGCAAACCCTTCCTTCTTCTACCCCTAATCGGCGAACTTTTTGCAGTCCTAGGCTGTATCCTATCCGTCATTTTCATGTCATCCTGGCCTCTAGAACTACACGGAGTCCTTCAAACGATCATCCCGTCGTTTTTCGGCGGCCAAACCATGCTGGTCATGGCCGTGTTCGCCTACATCGCTGACGTCAGCAGTCTGGACATGCGCACATTGCGAATAGGAGTAGTACAAATAGTTATGAACGCCTGTGTGCCTACAGTACAATCTTTCAGTGCCGTACTTTACGTACGGATTGGTTACATTCCCTGTCTTTTAATAGCGGGGTTTTTGTACTTGATAGGAATAATATACGGAGTGTTCTGGATCAAGGAACCGAAAAGACCGATCAAAGACAGTAAAAAAGGGCTGTTGGCTGATATTTTTGACACTAGACATGCTGTGGATACTTTTAAGCTGATTTTAACGAAAAATCCGATGAACGATCGAGTTTTTATTGTGCTGCTTTTGTTGGGATTGTTTGTGTACTCTTTGGTGAATGTTGGAGAAGAATCTGTGTTTTTTCTATACACTCAGGCCTTTTTGAACTGGAATATAGTGGAGTATATTTCGTTTCTGACTGCCAATACCCTTATTCACTTAGTTGGTAAGTATATTAATTATTATTTGTCAATATACTGGATGTTTCTCAAAAGTCTCTCACTCCAATATCTTTTTTTATTTTTTCAGATAAAAAAAAACGAGGGTAATTATAGGGAAAACTGGAAATCGTCCGATTTTCAATCAAGTGTGGCTTTTTTCAATCAAAGTCCCAATCAAGTGTGGCTTTTAGATAAACTATAATATAATGAAAATATAGTGAAATTATTATTTTATAGGGCCGAAATAAAGAAAAATTCAATGTGTGAAATTATTTTCGGTTTTTCTGAAAAAACGGTAAGAGACCGTCAAGAAAAAAGTTCAGATTCGTAATCTACGACCTCAAAATAGGGTGTATAGCAATTTTGGTGAAAATCGGACGCGATTTCCAGTTTTCCCAATAATTACCAAAACGAGATTTGGTATGTGAGTATACTATGACATAAATTAGGATTGATTGACGTATTATGAATAGAATGACATATCACATGTCAACTTTTGACATTTTCGCTTGAAAAATAACCTTATTTTAAATTTCAATCTAGTGTTTCACTCATGGCTGTGATAAAAACACTAATTTTTAATAAAGGAGCCTTGGAAAAATAGATTTTATCGTCTAATGTTTTTCGTGTTATATCTCAATTTTTTTCAAAAGGAACGAGGGTGGCTCATTAGCATATTGGGAAAAAGCATTTTTTTACGAATAATTTGATACCACACCCTTGATATTTTCGTCCTAACCTAACCGCACATTACAATTTCAAATAAACCATATGCGGAAATGTCAAAAGTTGACATATGATATGTCATTCTATTCAGAGTGACATTTTCTATCGAATAAAGCAAAAATACCGAGGGTGCCATCAAAAGTTGTAGTAGATTCCGGTAAAACAGGAAGTGACCGAAAACAATTGAATACGTCAATCAATCCTAATTTATGTCATATACTAACGTACCATATCTCGTTTTTTTATCTGAAAAAATAAAAAAGTTATAGTGGTTTTATCTAAAAGGATCGATTTTGTGTCGATTAAAATTTTATATTAAAAATAATATACCTCTACTGATTCTTCTCGGTTTACGTATTTCTCTGGAAACGGGGCCAGACGAAAACAACTTAATATTCTAATAATAATAAATAATTTCCGGTTTTGTTGGATTTTAAAAATGATTAATAATTCCAGTTTAAATGCCATAACACTAAACAGGTGTAGTATGTAAATTATTATGAATTCCTATTAAAAAATCTCATGAATAATATCAATGATAATAATGTTTTTTTTTATTATAACATCTCTGGAATATTACACTATAAAAAATGCTTAATTTAAAACACAAACAAAACCGAAACCGGTAATATAATCATAATAAAATTTGAATAAAAAATATTTCCAAGAAATGAGCATGTAAAAATACCCTGTATAGTGACACCCTGTAAAATTAGTAATTTCTTTCAGGAACAATTATAGCAGTGCCGTTATTCACCAAAATTCTAAAACTACACGATTTGGTAATACTATTTCTAACGTTTTTGGACAAAATTGTATGTAACATTATTTTTGGTATAGCCAAGGATAGTGTACTTATGTATGTAGGTAAGTGTTTTACTCTTATTCCCATCAAATGACTAAAGCCACTAGTTTTTAATAAAAAATATTCTAATATTTGAGGGGTGGTTTCACCCCCTTAGAATTCGAGTTTCAAAAAATCCCTTCTTATCGAACCTCTACACCCTAAAGTCAATCCGTTTTCCAAAAATCAGCTTTTTACGTCAAGCGCTTTAAGCAGGATCGTGATTAATCAATGACCAGATTTTTCGAAAAATCTACCCTGTATTTATTTTTAAAAAATCTTAAAATATTTTAAAAAATAAAATAAAATATACGTGTTTAAGCGTTTTTTCGGAAACTTGATCGTTTTTTAAATAAAAAATATTGGAATATTTGAGGGGTGGTTTCACCCCCTTGGAACTGGAATTTCGAAAAATCCCTTCTTATCGAACCTCTACACCCTAGAATCAACCTGTACGCCAAAATTGAGCTTCTTACGTTGAGTGGTTTGAGCAGGATCGTGATTAATCAGTGAGTCAGTCACTTAAGGATTTTATATATTAGTATAGACAAACGTTTTGACTACGCCTATGGTGTATGCCGCTTATTTAGGTGTTATCATACTTATTAATTACAAAAAAACGTATTAAAATGTTAACAAAATGTACAAAACAAGTATCGACTTATAGCACATATCAAGTACATATAATATCAAAAAAATAATTGTCAAATTCAATAATAACAAAAAGATTTCAATCTTTCTCAAAAATCTTGTCAATCTGGTTCTAATTTTCTCCTCTAGGTGCCGCTGTCAGTCTGATCACCGGTGTGACAGCTATAGGAATACGCTCATTAGCTACAAAAGTGGTTTCAGAGCATGACCTCGGCAAGGCGCAGTCGCTGTTTGGTATAGTCGAAGTTATTGGCCCGGCAGTGGCAGCACCTGTATACAACGCTGGGATTTACACAAGAACCTATGATAGTCTACCTTCAGCCTACTTTTATTTCAGTGCCATAGTCTATGCTGTTTACATTTTAGTGATTATGTAGGTAGAACACACACACAAGCTTAAAAATCGCTCGGCAAAAATTATAATTTCAGATTTGTGTATCACCCTGTACGATATCCATACAAAAATATTTAAAAAAATTCTACCGGGAATTCTTCTAATCAAAATGCTTAATATATCACAGCCCTTTTAAGTTTATTTCTGGATACTTCCTCACAACTCTGTAATACTTAAAAATATCAATAAATTAAAACTTACTAGCTTTGCTGACTGCCAAAATCGCATCGTACTGTAGAATGTTTGCACCTGAAAGAGATTAAAAAATATCATAAAACATATAGTAAAAAAATATATGAAAAAACATAAAAAATAATCTTAGCATTTCTGATAAATTCAAATTAAATGCCTACAGTAATCTACTTATTTTTTAATAAAATACTAATAGCAAAGTTAGCTTTAGTAATTTTACACCCTTTAAAGTATTTTTATACGGTCGAAAAAAACCGCAAAAAAACTTTTTTGATGTTTTTATAATCGGTGCTAATTTTTCGATCACATGGTATTTTTGCTTATACAGGGTGTCCGACTTAAGATGGATACAAGCCAATTTCTTGATTGTTTGTTGAGCGATATTTTTCATTTTTGGCAGAAGGCTGTATGGCTATAAGACGTACATTTTGCTCAGGGTAAGAAATGCGATACCTCATAGACGTACGTTTTAATGGGATTTGATATTTCAATTTGAAATTGGTGAGTCAAGAGTAAACTACCCTTAGGACAGTATTTATTTCAAACTGATAAATTATATTGAATCCTCCTTACCCAAGATACTTAAGTTCTAATTTTGATAAATATTGATACAGGGTGTGTTATTAAAATAAGACATTTTTATTTTTATTATTATTTTTTAAGAATTTACGACGCCACTGGATAAACAACAGGTTTATTATCAATAACCAATTATAACCAATTATAAATTAATAATCGATTTAAGTTTTTAGATAGCTTCCATAATAATTAAGATACGATACAAAAATTTTTAATAAGTTTATATCAAAAGATATTGGCTTGTATCCATCTTAAGTGGGACACCCTGTATATTTTGCTATAATCAGTTCAAGAAAATCAGAAAAAGTCTCTTTTTTGGTTACCTTGTTATTACCTTTGGTTACGCCACTGGTTTATAAAGTTTTTTTTATTATATTTTCAGATGGATGTACATCAGAGACAGACAAAAATCCTCCAAAGAACAGAAAAATAAAGAAATTAATGGTAAAGACAACCAGGCAGTTGTTATAAACGAAAAACCAATTCAGATGGAAGATATACAAGTAACTCATATGTAAATATAATTTTTATTTGTTATGGAATTTTATAAATTAAAAAAAAACGAGTCACGATGTAATATAATAATTATTTGTACATATAATAATAAAAAACCGAATTTTTCATGTGTTTTTTTGAATTTATTTCTGAATTTCAAGTAAAACAGTCCCTGGTACGTTTTGACTGAACAGCAAAGACTGACAGGTAAAATCTTAAGTGTAGACAGGACTTTATTTTAATTAATACTACACTGAACATAAAATTAGTGCCAAACCGTCGAAAAAAAGCTGTCACAGTGGTCCTTGATACTGTAATCTTTTTATTCAATGCGTCTTACGCTGGTACAATTTAATAAAAATACTTTGAATAAAAAGAGTAAGGAAGAACTTCTAACAGACATTGGACTACACTGATTAATTTATTTTTTTCATTTATCAACTTGACAACAAAAGATCAAAACCAGAAAAAATTGGAAATTTCCTATTTTGTTTCAATCAACCTCTTTAAGCTAATGACCTAGTTGAGAATTTAAATATAAAAAAATATGTGTGTGATAACAAACAAAACTTATAAACAAATACCAGTCATAACACTGTATAGTTCAAGAATCACCTCTCTGTTTATTATAAATAAATTTATTTAACGTAAATGTATACCTAGGAAACAAGTTCGTGACTAAAAAACTATAAATTCGTGATGGTTCATGTAGAAAATAGTTGGATATCAGTGAAAAGTTAAAAAACAATAAATTCTATAAGAATAAAAGCACTGTACATATTGAAATAGCTATTTATTGAACAATGATTAAATAATAGAATTACGAACTTGTTCTCGGTACAACACAAAAACATTTTTTTAACCATGAAGGTTCAATACGATGTGAGATAATAACAATCAAACTGTACCAGGTAAGTACACAATCAAGTATAACTTTTCGATATTTCACATTGAATGATTTTTCAAGTATGTTTAAGATAAAAAAATAAATATACTGGGTGGTCCGAACTATATTCCGGAAATTTCGGCAGCATATTCTACAGATAAGAATAAATAAAAAAGTTCATATAAATGTACATCCTAAAATGCTTAGTTTCGGAGATACAGGGTGTAGAAGTTTCATTTTTATTTCGATTTTTTCCAAATAATTTCTTTTTTATCGTCCGTACCTGTATAAAACTACTGAGTGAAAAAATATACATTTACGACATTTTTTATGTAACAGACATTTGGAATCGAAAATATCAATACCTGTCATCATTGGTATAAATTAAACATGTTGACTAAAAGGTTTGTTCTCACAGCGTGTTCCCAACATGTTTATGACATGTTTGTGACTTCTTCCAAACCGGTGTTAATGCGCAAGTCTCAAATAATGCAGTTTCTGATCAATTTCAAACTGTTTGTGCGAACAGCGAATCCCCTACTCTTCTTTTTTGATCTAATAATACCACTAATTTTAACTCCTACGTAATACCGAATAAAGAAGAAAACGAACAGAGAATTAACCAAAGACATCGTTTAATGTTTTTGGTTCTGTTCTTTTTAATATTTTGTAATTTTGATTCTTGAGCCTGACCCGTTCCTCCATCAGCTCTTCTAGGTCTGTGTCTGTATCCGAAAATTCGGACGCCTAAGATTCTTCGGAAGATTCAAAATCGCTCATTTCTTTTCTTTATTTTTTGGAAGAAAAAAAACACTAAACAAAAACAACACACGTTTTGTAGGTTAAATTTGCAAAAAATGACGTCGGGTCGCAATACGCATGCGCCGGACACTACTTGCAAAAGATCCGCGGACAGGTCTGACTGCGAGCTAACAATCAGAATTTTCTGTGTGAAAAGCGTACTGTTGGTTGGAACAGTAGGTTGGAACAGTTGTTGGACAAATAGGAGTCATACTGACATCAAAATCAAATTTCTCATGTCAAAAAACTCCCAGACACTCATTTTCATCAAAATATTGACGTTGCTTCAGAAATTATTTGGAAAAAACTGAAATAAAAATGAAACTTCTACACCCTGTACCTCAGAAACCAAGCATTTTAGATCCATTTATACGAACTTTTTTACTTATTTTTATCTGCAAAATATGCTGCCGAAGTTTGCGGAATACAGTTCAGACCACCCTGTATATTAAAAAAATTGCTCTAATGGACAAACCAAGCACTTTTACATTCCAAAAAAACAGTAGTTTTATGTCCACGACATATTAGCACAATCGATATTTCTCTTAAACATCGATACGCAAAGTTATCGATACTTTTTTTAAAATATCCCCATCATTATCGCGAAATAAAATCTAAAAAACCTAAATCAAAGTCTAGCCCAAGCAACCGTGAAATTATCGACAACAAAACGTTCCTGACCTTGATTTAATTTCACTAGAAAGAATTTGAGACTCATCCATCACCCTTTTTTTTTCCTTCAGTTATATACCCAAGAAAAACCGTAATAAGTACAGTAAAAAAATGCACTGTTAGACCAAACGAAAGTTTAGTAAGAAAGCAGTTGTTTTTCTATACAACTTGTTGAACACAGGTCATGTGTCCGACTAAACAACTAAAAACACAGAAAAATGAAGATTGGAAGAGCAGAAAGACGCTTAAAGAGATCATCAAACGGATGAAAGATGTCATAACTGTCGAGCCTTTGGTCGCCTGCTATCAGATGGCGTTGTTCCTGTCAAAACCGGCCCTAGATAATTTGGAATTCGAAAAATCGTGCAGGTTTGTTTTATCCATACTATACAGTGTGTCTTTTAAATAATCTTTAGGTATTTACTTTACATGTTCTGTACTTATTTTGCTATAAATATCGTAATCTTGAATCATACAGGATGTTCAAAATTCTACGCCAAACTTCCTTAAATGTAAAATAATTTTTCTTCGTTTTTTTTAAAGGAACACCCTGTATATTATTTTTTTAATAGATGGAGAATTAAAAAATGAACATTTTTTGTATTTAGAGTATTTCAAAATTTTTAACGGTTTGATAAAACACACGAAAATGGGACACTCTGTACAGGGTGGGTCAAATTCGACGCTGTTAAATGGAAACACTCTTTTCTATATAATATCGGTGTCTGGAGCTCAATTTTCATTAAAAACATGATGGTGAAAACCGCATATCGATATCTGTAACCGTTTCGGAGTTACGGGGTGTTTTTCAAAAATATGCATTTTTAACAAATCGGTGTAACTTTTTTGCTATGGAAAATTATGTATTTTTATGAAAACATTTCCAAAGCACCTTTTTACGTAGAATTTAATGGTTTAAGTATAATTTTTTTTAAACTAATAATTTAACAATTATCAACAGAAAATTTGATTTTTTATATGGGACACCCTGTATATTTTTAATTTATTGAAAATAATTTAAAATTACCTTTCCAATGTTCGAGATATAGAGTATATAAAAATTCGCCCGCTTTAAATAAGTAGGCTTTGAACAGCACCGGCTGTAATGCAAAAAAAATTCTAGCTGTGAACATCAATTAAAACGAAAATAATATTTGCTATGAGAGATGCAGAATTTTATAACAATTTAAAATATATTTCACCAACATCAACACATTTACACTATATCTAATAACAATAAAAAGAAATAGCAAACCAAGACATGAGATTTTGCTACAGGTGTTCGACATATCGACCGTCTTCTGTTATGGACAGACGGGGCAGTTTTTGAACATTTCTCGCGGAATTCATTAATTCAGTGGCGGTGAAAGATACCCTCTCATAACTGCTAAGTATTTCTAATTCTTATCTAGATTATACGGAAGAATAAGGAACCTTTATTCTTCCGCAAATATATCCATAGGATTAGATCCATGGGTACTAAGTCAGGCGTCCTCGACGGCCAACGGCTGGGATCTTGGTTAGCTATTCAATTATTCTTGAAATTGGCTGCAAAAATTTGCTCATAACTTCAGCGTTTTGAGGCGGTGCGTCGTCTTGCTGGAAAAATATGTTATCGAGTTCCATTAAGGGCATATCATCAATAAGGGGTCCAAATCCTACTAGTTAAAAGTGGCGAACTTTTAAAAATTCTGTATTTCGAAGGGGATTATAACAAAATATCAAGTGTGCTATATTTTTGGAAAGGTAATTTTAAATTCTCTTCATTTAATTAAAAATATAGAAGGTGTCCCAAATAAAAAAAATCAATTTTTCTGTTGATAACTCTTAAATTATTAATTTAAAAAAAATTATACTTAAACCATTAAATTCTACATAAAAAGGTGCTTTGGAAATGTTTTCAGAGAAATACAAAATTTTCCATAGGAAAAAAGTTACAGCGATTTGTTAAAAATGCACATTTTTGAAAAACACCCCGTAACTCCGAAACGGTAACAGATATTGATGTGCGGTTTTCACCATCATGTTTTTGATGAAAATTGAGCTCCAGACACCGATATTAGTTTTTGTCTATCTCCTATAGAAAAGGGTGATTCCATTTAAAAGCGTCGAATTTGACCCACCCTGTACAGTACGTTAACAAATATGTGTGAAAAATAAGTGTAGAAAATTATATTTTTCACATAATTTTCTTTGATTTGGTGACTTCTTCAATGAAATTTTACATTTTTAGGGTAAACTTGGGCTTTAATGATACAGTGTGTGATAATATTTTATCAGGAAATCATGAGAACTACGTTTTGGAAAATGATCAAGTCCAAACTGTGATCAGTACCATGCATTCTTGGCAACAACCTGTTCAAAGCTTCACCCCTCTGGTACTAGTACTATTTTTAGGATCTTTCAGTGACAGACACAAATTAAGAAAACCTTTTTTGCTGATGCCTATTGTCGGTGAATTGTTCGGAGTTACTGGTGAGTACCAATTAAAAAGATATGTGAAGAAATCATAATAATGGTAATACTTGCTCATGAATTTGTATTTGCAAAAGAAAAAGTATTCTATTTCAATTCCAGGTTGTATGTTATGTGCCATTTTTATGCACCAACTACCCCTAGAATTCCAAGGAATCATGCAAAAAGTCATCCCCTCATTATTCGGAGGCCAAACCATGTTAGCCATGGCCAGCACAGCTTACATAGCTGACGTGAGCTCAGTAGAAATGAGAACGTTACGTTTAGGCATCGTTCAGATAGTCCTCAGTGTGGCACTGCCCTTAGTTCAATCGTTTAGCGGTATTTTTTATGTGAACACCGGATATGTCACAGTACTCAGCGTGACACTGATGTTAAACGTCATAGCGCTGAGCTATGGACTGTTCTGGATCAGAGAGCCCCAAAAAAACAAGTGTCAGAAGTGGGATAAGTGTATTTTGGTGGATATTTTCGATCCCAAGCACGCCAAGGACACGTTTAATTTAGTGTTGAAGAAGGATGAGAATGATAGGTTGTTGATTTGGTTGATGGTGCTCAGTGGGTTCATTTACAAAGCTGCCTTCGACGGTAAGTTATACAGGGTGACACAAAGCTGAAAGTTCACAGAAAACTCAAGTCTTTTTTTTTTAATGTAAATCTTGATTTTTTTTTCAGACTTGTATGCATAGGTATTTCAATATTAAATTAACTATTATTTTCGTATTTTAGGTGAAAGCAGCATCTTATATTTGTACACCCAGAACGTTTTCGAATGGACGCCACTGGAATACAGCTATTTCATCACAGTGAACTCATTGGTGGCACTCGCAGGACACTTACTAGCTGTTCCCTTATTTACAAAAATTCTCCACTTCAGCGACTTGATAATATTACTAATATCAATCATCGATAAAATAATAACAAATGTTATATTTGGACTGGCACGAAACATCACCGTTTTTTACGCAGGCAAATAAAAAACACGTAAAAAATTCAAAACTACGAACAATCTTTTATTTTTTTTTACAGGCGTGGCAATCAGTATAGTTACCAGGGTATACCGTACAGCAAAAAAGTCCCTAGCCACGAAAATAGTTACTAGAAATGACGTAGGCAAGGCCCAGTCTCTTTTGGGAATATGCGATGTATTGGCGCCCGCATTTTTTGTTCCTATATACAATAAAATAATTTATATCAACACTTTACAAACCAGTCCAGGTTTGTTTTTCTTTTTTAGCATCATCCTGTATAGTATTTGTTGTTTCTTAATAATGTAAGTATAAATGAGGAAACGCAGAGGCATAATATACCGGGTGTTTCTCAAAAGTGTCTCACTCCTATAACTTTTTTGATTGACGTATAAATTTATTTTATGTCACTTTTAAATGACACCCTCGGTATTTTTTTACTTTATTCGATAGAAAATGACACTCTGAATAGAATGACATATTACAAGTCAACTTTTTTGACATTTTCGCATATTGTTTATTTGAAATTTTAACATGCTGTTTGTAACGAAAATTTGACTCGAAATATCAAGTGTTTGGTATCAAATTATTCGTAGAAAAATGCTTTTTCTAAATATGCTAATGAGCCACCCTCGTTCCATGTGAAAAAACTGAGATATTATTAAAAATACGATTTGACCATCTTTTAACCAGCCAGGACAATACACGAAAAACATTAGACGACGAAATCTATTTTTCCAAGGCTCCTTGATTAAAAATTAGCGTTTTTAACACAGCCATGGTACTCTAAAACAAGAGTTCTTTTAAGCGAAAACGTCAAAGGTTGACATGTGAAAATTACCTTTTTTAAAAACTACATAAACTACATTACATGTAGTTAATGTAGTTTATGTAGAGGATGTACTTTATGTAACCTATGTATGTAACTTACAAATATCGGTTTCAGGTGAGGTTATAATAAGTTGAAGCTTTAGAAAACACATAATATATTTAAGAAAACAGAAGAAATACGGCTTTAAATATAATATTCACATCATATTACTTAGACCCCTCATACAAAGGAAAATTATTCATAATATCAATACGTAGTTTATTAACGTAGTTTTCATGTAGTTAATGAACGAGAAAAGACGTAGTTTTTAGAGAAAAACTACAAGTAGTTAATCAGGTAAATTACGTCTTAATTAACTACTTCCGAACCCTGGTGATATGTCATTCTATCCAGAGTGTCATTTTCTATGAAATAATGCAAAAAAATACCGAGGGTGTCTTTTAAAAATCAAAAGTTGTAGTCACTTCCGGTGAAACAGGAAGTGAACAAAAACAACTGAACATGTCAATCAATCCTAATTTATGTCATATACTAACATACCAAATCTGTTTTTTTTTATCTGAAAAAATAAAAAAGTTATAGGGATGAGACACTTATGAAAAACACCCGGTATAAATAAAGGGTATTATACAATAATATATTAACCGGTTTATATTTCAGATTAATGTACATCAGAGTGAAGAAGAAATCAAAAAATATCCAGAAAAAAGCAGAAACAGGAGTTAATATCTCAGATCGTACAAAAAATGACAATAATAATATAATAGAGACCATACATCTGTGAATGCATCTCTATAAAACTTACTAATAGTACCAAAAAAAATTTTTGTACTATTAAAAATGTTTCTCTGTGATATATTTTTATAATAAAATGATTTAGATATAATTCTTTCTTTTTAAAACTTACCTACCTTAGTTTAAAACTTATACTTCGTTGAATGTTGTTCAGGAATCAAATCTTTGATAGTTTTCATGACGTTATCATTGACCGATTGAGTCAACTGCAAAAATTTCTGGTTCTTCAGTAAGTTCGGCAGCTTAATCTCGTTACTAATACTCCATTTTGCCAGCTCTCTACATCTTCTATGGTCTCTTAATTTTACTACAAATTAAAGTATTTTACAAATATACCGTATGTTCGAAAAAAAAACGACGTCAAGGATGGCTGGGGAATGACGATCGATGATAATTTTAGCGAGGTCAAGCCCTAGCAGACGTCATTTATACGGAAAAATAGTTTTTTATATGTAACAAATAGTTTTTTACGCGTAAGAAACAGTTTTATATGCGTAAAATAAAAAATTAATAAATAATTTGATCACTTTCACACTTTTTTTATACTAATTTATTTTAAAAACTTACTAAAATAATTAAACAAAGCTAGTACCACTCCAGGTAGTTCCTCTTTCATGTCGTACTTAAGTAATAGTTCTGTCAATCTGTATATAACTTCTGTCTGATGATTATTCAGCGATACGTTTACTATATAATACATTTTATTTGATATTTCTTTCCATAGATTCGGATGGTTTTCCAGTATTTCGAAAGCCATTTGCTGATCTAAATATTAAATTAGTTAGATAAGAAATATACAGGGTGTCTAAGAAAAAACTACTATTTTTTTGACATCCTGTATAAAAATATTTTAAACACAAACCTGCAAACCACTCGCTTAAAAAACAAGCCTGCCATATACACTGCAGGAGAAAATAATCATCATAAATCTCAACCAAATGTTCGGAAAATTTAATTATTTTTACTATGCTAGCTTGGCTTTGGTTTGTTATTATCGTAGGTATAAGATTTTTCAAAATACACCTAAAAATCATTATTCGAAATTGTTGAGAAAAATATATTCCTCGGTATTTTTATTGTTACCTTATTTTAATTCTTAAGAAATTGTTTTCCCTGTACAATTTTTCAAACATTTCTAAAGATTTCACTATATTTCCTCTAACCCAAATCGCTTCAGCTAAGTAATGCTCAAAATTTGAGTTTCCTTCTAAAATTTCTGGTCTTGTGTTCTCACAGAGTTGAACAATCTGAACTATAGTGTCTTTATCACCGTTCTGTGAACAAATCGCGAGTGCTGGCGAGAGCTGTGATAATGAGGGACATTTATTGTATTTTATACACTGTCTTGTAATGTCCATCAGTTTTTCATTGTCGTTAAACCTGATTGCCTCTTGTAACAGCGAGTTAATCCTATTTATAGTGAGATTTTCTATGTTACTATGTTCCTTACTATAAAAAATCGACTGTTTAGGTTTTAGCACTATGTTAGTTTTATTTTTACTTTGGGCAAGAAGTTTCTTTTTGTTATTTTCCCATTGGTGGACTTTTCTTTGCATTAATCGATCTGTAAAGTCATCCAGGGCACTTTCTTTATTCTCGGGACCCTCAGGTTCTTCAAAAGATTGGTATTTAACATAATTGTGTTGTTTTTGAAGTATATGCACTGCTACAGTCCCTAGTTTCAGCACAGGAAAGCTTCTGTTTACACTTGTACAAAGAGCCATATCTTAAAATACTTGCAAAGATTTAAAACACTTTTACCGACATCGCTGTGCAAAGTTTTGCAGCTAAAAATACTTTTTTTATAAAGTTTTTAAAAGCTAATCAAAATATTTTTGGCAAATGAAAATATAAGGTTAGAAAAATCAGCTGAATCTTTCTATTATATAGGCAACTAAAAATACAATTATAAACAAACTTTTATCACGTTTTATAATGTTTATTTCTTTTTATTTAGGTTTTAAATAGAATTTAAAGTATATTTTTGGAAATTTAAAATTATATTTAATTAAACAACGTTTATCTTTTTTTTAACGAAGAAATAAATACATTTTTAGAGTAGTTCATTTGTACAACTTTCTTCAAGTTAAATCTATGGATAAATGTCACTTTTGCCGCCCAAATCTTGTGAAAGATTGAGAAAAACGCCAATTTTACCGCCAAATTCTATTATTAACCCAACGTTAGGGCTATTTGAGCACTTGAGCACTCCCTTTTATATTCTACTTTTATTTGATATAAACTAAAGTTCTTTCACCCTTTTACGCGTGAATTTTATCAAATCAACCCGCCAAAATGTTCGAAGCAAGATTAGCAAGCAGTGCAACATTCAAAAAGGTGCTGGACGCTATCAAAGACCTATTAAACGAAGCCTCCTTCGATTGCTCCGATGCAGGAATCCAACTACAGGCCATGGACAACTCTCACGTCTCTTTGGTATCGCTCAATCTCAAATCTGATGGCTTTGAGAAGTACCGGTGTGATAGGAACTTAACAATGGGCATGAATTTGGCTAGGTAAGTTTATTACATGATATTTTAGTTAAAACCTGATGTAAAATGGTTGTTTTTCCTCCTAAAGCCTTTCCAAAGTATTTCGTTGCTCTGGATCAGATGATACGGTAACAATCAAAGCCCAGGACGATGCTGATACAGTCACCTTTATGTTCGAAGCAAAAAAGCAAGAAAAAATCTCCGACTACGAGATGAAACTGATGAATCTAGATCAGGAACACTTGGGAATCCCTGAAACTGAATTTTCCTGCATTATCAAGTTGCCCTCTGGTGAATTTGCAAGAATAGTCAGAGATTTGTCACAGTTTGGAGAATCTATTGTGATTTCCTGCACGAAGGAAGGTGTTAAGTTCTCTACTCAAGGTGATATTGGTACTGGTAACGTAAAACTGGCGCAAACCAACAATTTTGATAAAGAAGACCAGTCTGTTATAATTGACATGCAAGAGCCAGTTTCGTTGACCTTTTCTTGTGAATATCTTAATTCTTTTACTAAAGCTACACCTTTAAGTAATCAAGTAACATTGTCACTTTGTGACAACGTTCCTTTAGTTGTGGAGTACCAAATCCCAGACTTGGGACACCTAAAGTACTATTTAGCCCCTAAAATTGAAGAGGATGAGAACTAATTTATTTTTATTGTTTTTATACATGAATAATAATTTTTTTTTACTTAGATGTAATTCTAACTTAATATAGGTCAAATAAAACAGTATTTTTAAGTGAAATTTTTGTGTTTTATGTAGAATAATCGTATATACATGAACTATAAAGCAAGTAATTCTCTAAATATCCAAAAAAAACAATATGACTAATGATCACCCCCATGACCGTGGCCATGTTCGCTAGGGTAAAGCTTATCATACACTGCAGTTCCCACGATTGTGAGTACGAAGGCACCGAAGCCCAACTTGAAGCCGCGACCCACTAAAGAAATGACCCTGGATCTCTCAGTACCGAAATGCTTGGGATCGTAGCGCCATACTTCGTTACGCAGCCAGGGATCCTTCAAGCCTTGCGCCGCCAAAGCCTGTTGTGTCTTCAGCAGTAAAGGGGCATCAGAAACTTTGTATATCCTGTAATCTGGGATCTTATAAGGAAAGTCATGTTCATGACCGTGACCAACCATGTTGCCTCGTGAAGCTACAATATAATTTTCGTGTTTAAATTGTCTGAAATATAGTTAATTTATTAAAAAACTTACTTTTCTTCTGTCGAGAATTCTATTATGAAACTGTCAAAAATTGGTTACCTAATAAACGTCAATCAAATATATAATAGGTATGCAACCAGATATATTTAAAACTCCAATTGAAATTGCTTTGATCAGCTGATTCTTGTTATGACTTTTGACTTTGACACTTTTTAAAAGGTCTTTTTCATTTAATAAAGGATTTAAAAAAAAACTACAAAAATGGTAAGATTTTTTAGTATAAACGTGCTATTTCTTATATATTTTAATCTGATTTTAGTCTAACGAAGTTGAAGAAACAATGAAGCGGATCCAGTCCCATAAAGGTGTCGTTGGAACGATAGTGGTGAACTCCGAAGGTAAAATCACCGTTATTAATGACTCATTTATTAATTTTATTGATTTCTAACTCCGCCTGTTCTAAAATATAACATATTTTAAGGTATTCCGATCAAAACGACGTTAGATAACACCACAACCGTTCAGTATGCCGGCCTAATAAGCTCGTTAGCTGACAAAGCTAGAAGCGTAGTCCGAGATCTGGACCCCTCAAACGATTTAACGTTTCTAAGGATCAGATCGAAGAAGCACGAGATCATGGTGGCTCCCGATAAAGAGTTCATATTGATCGTGGTCCAAAACCCGACAGATTGATTCTTTTTAGATTATGTTCCTAATTTATTTTATTTTTCTATGTTAATATGCATTTTTGTCTTGTTCTGTTACCGCGTAATTTTTATTAAAAACATACAGAAAGAGTCGAGATAAAATAAAATTTATACAAACTTACCTAAATTTTTGCTGTACACATTTTTATAATAACTAGCACTTAGTGCACTAACACATTTAATTACTTATTTTTTAAAATTTCTGTGTTTATATCATCTATATTTACGAATAAACCTTTTATTTCTATGAAATTATTTTATTTTATCCTTTTTTAGAACTTTTTATAACCTCACTTTTTCAGTGTGTTTACAGGAGGATACATCACTTGTATTTCTTACATTCTTGCTCAATTTTTTAAAGTAAATATTCATTTAAAACAATGAGCAGGAAGAAGGAACTACTCTCCAGAGTAGGGCTCCGCTTAGACGGTAGAAGAGCCGACGAATTGCGAAGAATACGGTGTAAACTAGGCGTTTTTACACAACCTGATGGAAGTGCTTACATCGAACAGGGCCTCACAAAAGTACTGGCCGCTGTATACGGTCCCCATCAAGTAAGTCCTACTTTCTATACTTTAAACCAACTGCTTTATTGGATAAATTAAAATTTAATAGGTTAGAAGTAAACAAAAAGCTCAGCACGACACTTGTATTATCAACACCCAGTTTAGCATGGCTGTTTTCTCTACTAACGAGAGAAAAAAGCGACCTAGGGGCGATAGAAAGTCTACGGAGCTCTCCATGCACTTACAGCAAGCCCTTTTGGCTGTCATTAAGACTGAATTGTATCCCTGGTCTCAGATAGACGTATATGTAGAAGTGCTACACGGTGATGGAGGTAAATGTTCTTAAATCTCGTCATATATTGATAATTCTGCTTGTTTTTTAATAGGTATTTATCCAGCCTGCGTAAATGCAGCCACACTAGCCATTATAGATGCAGGTATACCGATAAAAGAATATGTATGTGCTTGTACAGCGAGTTTGGGCAATAACGACATACCTATGTTGGATGTATCCCATCAAGAAGAGGTTATAGGGGGTCCCACGTTAACAGTAGCAGCCCTACCCATGTCCGGAAAGATAGTTTTGATGGAAATGTCTCAAAGGTTTCATTTAGATCATTTACCGAAGGTTTTAGACAAGGCTTTGGAAGGTTGCAAGGATATAAAGGCGATTTTGGACGAAGCTGTTAAAAACCACGTGAGAGAAATGGGTAGTTCCACAGGATGGGCTAATACAACAAGTTAAAAAAAAACAAAAATATTTTTTTTATAAACTTATTTTTTTTTAGTGTGTATAAATATTTTTATAAAGATAATTGAAACTATAAAAAATAACAGTAAAAATACTCTTTTCAATTCTATTTCCTTTGTTTTTCTCTCCGATCTACCCTATTTTTAATTTTTTTTAAACGAAAAAAAAAGTCTTTAAAATATATTCAATAGAAAAAAATTAAATAAAATAATTTTAAAAAGTAATGTAAACATTCAAAGGCCACCGATTTTTTGAGCCACATAAATATTACATAATAAAAAAAGCGTCGTGGTAACCTTTGAATCGGATTTGAACATCGTTTCAAAGGTTACCGTGACGTCGTTTTTTTTTCGAACGGTTTTTGGCACCTATAAAGAAACGTGTTTAAGCTTAGATTAATTTTGAAGCAAATTTTTGAAAAAAAAAATGCATTAATAAGAAAATGAAATTAGGCTTATCTTTATGTTGATTCAGTTTGGTGTGGCATCTGGATGTCTCTCGATCAACATGGCTACTCCCTGTAAAGAGACATTTAAATTTTAAAGAAAAAATGACAAAAATTTAATAAAAAAATAACGTACTTGACCACCAGCGGCGCAGGCTGCTACCAATCCAATTTGTCCATCTTCTCTGACCAATCTGTTGGCCGTGTGCATGGCCAATCTTACTCCAGTGGCGGCGAAGGGGTGCCCAATGGAGAGTGAACCTCCCCAGTTGTTGAATTTGTTCAATGGAGGCACTCCAACCTTGCTGCTACGTTTCATGTACCTCTGAGCGAAGGAATCGCTATCCATTGCCTTGAAATTTGCCAAAATTTGACCCTGGAAAAGGATATTTAATTATATTTTAAATAAATAAATAAATGCCTTTATTTTCAAAAAAATTTTACAATTTGTAGACAAAGGTAAAATAAACAAACAAAAGAGAATACAAAACAAGTATACAAATTTCATTGTCAGTCTTATTGTTTAAAATAAACATTTATAAATGTTTACAATGTCAAATAAGATTCAAAAATATTTATTAAGTTTATAGTAAATACTAGCGTGTACCAGCGACTTTATTCGACGTTCGCGTCGAATTAATCTTTTGTAATGATGATAAAACAAAACAAGAATTTTCATTAACATACAAACTGGATAAAATTTTCTCACATTTATGTCAGCATGAGAAAAAACAATACGGCGATATTATTATATAACTTGGTAATATTTGAGGGGTAATTTCATCTCGTTGGAATTTGACTTTCGAAAAATCCGTTTGTCAAAAATAAGCTTTTTACGTCAAGCAGTTTAAGCAGAATCGTGGTTAAGAAATTACCCAACTTACCCAAACACTCTGTATGATTTTTTTAAAATTTCAAAATATGTAAAAAACCAAATAAATTATGCTTGTCCAAGCGTTTTCCTGAAAGACTAACCGTTTTTTAAATAACAAATATTGTAGTATTTGAGGGGCGTTTTCACCCTCTTGGAATTTGAGATTCGAGAAACCCCCCCTTATCGAACCTGTACACCCCACAGTCAATCCGTTTGCCAAAAATCAGCTTTAAACGTCAAGCAGTTAAAGCAGAATCGTGATTACTCAATGGTCATATTTTATGAAACACCCTGATTGAATTTATAAAAAATCTTAAAATATGTAAAAGAACAAAATAAAATATACGTGTTTAAGAGTTTTTCCGAAAAACTCACAGGTTTTTAAATAAAAAATATTTTAATATTTGAGGGATAGTTTCACCCCCTTAGAATTCGAGTTTCGAAAAATCCCTTCTTATCGAATCTCTACACCCTAGTCAATCTGTTTTCCAAAAATCAGCTTTTTACGTCAAGCGCTTTTTAAGCCGGATCGTGATTAATCAATGACCAGATTTTTCGAAACACCCTGTATATATTTTTAAAAAATCTTAAAATATGTATAAAAACAAAAAAAAAATATACGTGTTTTTTAGACGATGAATCTCTAGGGCGTTAAAATCAATGATTGCACAAAAATACAGTAAAAGGGGTTTATTTGGCGTAAATCGAGAACAAAATACACAAAAATCGAAAACAATATACAATAATAAAGAACAGCTGTTTACGCCAGGCGCACGCGGAACAAGTGAATGATCGGCGGCTGACAGGCTTCAGCGAGAGAAGTGTCTAGCCCTAGCAGTCAACTTTTAAGCTTGACCAATCAGGTTGGTTAGCGTGGTTATTTGAAGTGTGTTAATTCATTTGTGTTTGTCAAAAACTCTAACGTGATTGGTCGGACCTAATAGTTGCCTGCTAGGGCTAGACACAAGTTTCAGCGAGCATTGTGCGTCGACGGTGGCGCCCTCCCACCGATCGTCGCTGGTCACTTGCCGAACTACGGCCAATACTCGCGATCCCTATTATGCGAGCGGCCAGGAGCGCGAGTGTTGACTGGTGATGCTAACAGTGTTTAAGCGTTTTTTCGGAAACTTGACCGTTTTTTAAATAAAAAATATTGTAATATTTGAGGGCTGATTTTTGGAAAACAGATTGACTTTAGGGTCTGGAGATTCGATAAGAAGGGATTTTTCGAAACTCGAATTCTAAGAGGGTGAAACCACCCCTCAAATATTAGAATATTTTTTGTTTAAAAACCGGTGAGTTTTTCGGAAAAACTCTTAAACACGTATATTTTTTATTTTGCTGTTTTACATATTTTAAGATTTTTTAAAAATTTATACAGGGTGTTTCATAAAATATGATCATTGAGTAATCACGATTCTGCTTAAACTGCTTGACGCTTAAAGCTGATTTTTGGCAAACGGATTGACTGTGGGGTGTAGAGGTTCGATAAGGAGGGGTTTCTCGAATCTCAAATTCTAAGAGGGCGAAAACGCCCCTCAAATATTACAATATTTGTTATTTAAAAAACGGTTAGTCTTTCGTGAATACGCTTGGACACGCATAATTTATTTTGTTTTTTATATATATTGAATTTTTTTAAAAAATCATACAGGGTGTTCCAAAAAGTTGGGTAATTGATTAACCACGATTCTGCTTAAACTGATTTTATCGAGTTTGTATGTTAATGGAAATTCTTGCTTTGCTTTATCATCACCATTACAAATGATTAATTCGACGCGAACGAAGTTGGCGGGTACACGCTAGTAATATATACTATATTATTCATTATATGTTCGTTTTTTAATTCCGCACCTAAAAGAAAAATAACATACAGGGTTTTGCATTTAAAAAAATAAGATACAGAACATTTTAAATATTGCTATGTTGACCGCGCCATAAGAAATACCCTGTGTAAGATAATGTAAGTATTCCTTCACAAAATTATTCTGTTCTCTTTGCTGTTTTATAAAATATAGCTAAGTATATTAATAATGTAAAATTTATCACTTTTTGGATATACTATTTTTAAGTTTTTTTTTCTTTAAAGTTATTTCAAAAATTTCAAATAGGAAATATGTTTCTTCTGCGCAGATCTACCAACCTTTAAAACACTTACCTTATTTTTCTTAACAGCATTATTAAATTAAAGTTATAACTTTCGAAATTATTAACTTTACTTACCGCAAAAGCTTCATGGAATTCAAACACATCAACGTCCTTCAGAGTCAGTCCAGCCTTGTCCAGAACCAGTGGCGTCCCGTAGGCGGGTCCCAATAAAAGTTGATCAATTGGGTCTTGAGACACGTACAAAAAGTTCCTTAGGTAAGCCTTAGGCTTGAGACCCAATGCTTTAGCTTTTGCTTCAGTTGTAATGAGGCAAGCTGAAGCTCCGTCAGTCTATATTACATAAAAAAAATGTTTTGGTTTAAAAATAAATGTACTTTAAAGAAGTACTATACCAAAAACGAAGCATTGGCAGCTGTAATAGTACCATGAGGCTTAATAAAAGCCGGTTTTAGTTTGGCCAGTTGTTCCGGAGTGGATACTCTAATACCATTATCCCTGGTCAGTTCCTTATCTGACCCAGGCACCTGAAAATATTTTTAAAATAAAATAAAAACAATTTCAAATAAAAATACATATAGGAAAATCAATATAAATTTGCACTGACGTCATCAAAATGCACGTCACAATGTTGCCACTGCTACTATTTTAACTTTGAATTTTGAAAGTTCGTTATTTTTCACCAATTTTTCACTTCAATAAATTAGAATATCGATGGGTCTATTATACAGGGTGTATATTATATGAAATAATGCGGGGTTCCACCGAAACGGTCTTTATTTTATGTTTTTAAAAACGTAATCATCTGAATTTCTTCACATCTTGTTTAATCTTAAGTTGTTTGTTAATTTTGATGTTATACAGGGTCTGGCAAAAGTGCGAGGTTGTTTAAGGGTAAACCTAAAGTATGTATGTACGAACATGTATTTCAGGAAAATATTTTAACTTCTAGGTGGCTCAAAAAAATTTGTGAGTGTATCGGGATTATTTTTTTTAAATGAAACACCCTGTATATTATTGCATTTTTGGCTTCCTTTATGATCACTTTACATAATCCTAAGATATGAGTAAATATATTTTGATAGTTTCTGAGATATTTATAAATAAATAAAAAAAAAATTTCTACCTTTCTTAAAAAAAATTATTACAAATACAAGAACTGCCCTGAACTCAAAACTATATTAGATATTTACTTTAGATGGTCTGTACTTACTTTGCTATAAATACGGTAATCGTTAATCATACAGGATGTTTAAAATTCTACGCCGAACTTTCTAAAATATAAAATAATTTTTCTTCGTTTTTTTTTTAATGGAACACCCAGTATATTATTATTTTTATTAGATGGGGAATTAAAAAATGGACATTTTTTTATTTAAAATACGACAGAAAAATCATTGGGTGTCTTTGATAAAAATTTACTGTGGAAAATGCCATATGAAACATAAAACCGCGAATATCTGCGAAACCGTTAAAAATTTTGAAATACTCTAAATACAAAATATGTTCATTTTTTAATTCTCCATCTATCAAAAAAATAATATACAGGGTGTTCCATTTAAAAAAACGAAGAAAAATTATTTTATATTTTAGAAAGTTTCGCGTAGAATTTTGAACATCCTGTATGATTTACGATTACCATATTTATAGCAAAGTAAGTACAGACCATCTAAAGTAAATACCTAGTAGAGTTTTGATTTCAGGCCAGTTCTTGTATTTTTAATATTTTTTTTAAAAAAGGCTGAAAAAAATTTTTTTATTTTTTTATTAATATCTCTGAAACTGTCAAAATATATTTACTCATATCTTAGGATTATGTAAAGTGATCAGAAAGGAAGCTAAAAAATGCAATAATATACAGGGTGTTCAATTAAAAAAAAATCATCCCAATCTACTCACAATTTTTTTGTACCATCCTATAAAAGTTAAAATATTTTCCTAAAATACATCCTAGTATATATTTAGGTTTACACTTAATCAAAAATTTCCCAGTTTTTTATTCTAAAAGCTACAGATGCCCGACGCACTATTGCCAGACCCTGTAGTTAGAAAACTACATACTATTTTAACCATAATACATCTTTTAATGATTTTTTTGATTTCTCCATACCTGTATTGGTATTAAATCTGTGAAATATCCCTTTTCAAAGGCTTGCTGGGCCAAAGTATGCGATCTCAGAGCAAAATCGTCCTGTTCCTTTCTCGAAACACCAAATGCAGCAGCTAGTCTATCAGCCGAATGGCCCATAGTCTCTCCAGATGAAAATTCAGCCACTGCCGGAAGCTATAAAAATAATATTAACTCTACTGTTTAATTTTTTTGAAGTTTTTTTTTACCTCTGGAATGAAGAAATCGGGCCTAAGGCTTGCTAAAAGTGCTAGTTTTTGCTGGGGAGTTTTTGCTTTGTTCGCTCTGAGTAAAAGACTCCTCATTTTCCTGCTGTGCCTGATTGGGATGTCTGACATGAACTCTACACCCCCGGCGACAATCATTTCATACACGCCACTGTTTATCAGTCCAATAGCTAGAAGAATTAATCAGTATAATCATTCACAGACTGGTGATAAAGTCTATACATACTGGGTAAATTTCAATTTAGGTAGCTTTTATTGAAATTTAAATATAAAATATAATGTTTAAATAATTTGTATAAAAAGTATATTACCAGTTGTCATTGCAACGTTGGAAGATATACATGCCATGGTCACTGTATGTGCCGGAGTTTTATCACTATACCCTGCACATAAAGCCGCCTCCCTAGCGATATTTGAGGTTTTCACTTCCTGAATTACTGTACCGTAAATAACATAATCGATCATGTCTTTTGGGATGCCTGTTTTTTGTAAAATACCCCTAGAAAAAAATGTGTGTCTCACTGTAATCGAGTGCCTATAGTTAAAAAATACCTTAAAGCAACTGTAGCTACTTCGTGGGGCATCATTTTGTTATAATCTGTTCCGGACATCAAGAACGGTGTCCGAACACCATCGACTAAAACTATGTTTTGTCCAGGACTTTTCAGAGTTTTTTTCTCATTTAATTGATTCCCTAATGAAAAGGTCCTAAGAATATCTAGAAAAAATCATTAAAAATGTCCTGTTTAACATTAATTCATGATATACCCTAAAATTAGGATATTTTTGCAAAAAAAACAAAGTATAAGAATTGTGAACTTTGTCCAGTGTAATCGCGGGTACAAAAGGACAAGAAAAAAATAACAAATCTGTTTACTTACTTGTAGATTGGCTTTTGAAAGCCAACGGATTTTTGCTAGCCAAGTTTCTTGCTAAGTAGGATGCCATATTTAACTGATTCTATTTTATCTAACGTTATAAAAATTTACAGGACTAACTGTAAAGCCGGACGGGAGTAATCTTATAAAGCTAGGGCTACCGAAAATTTATCTGTAATAAACTAATTAAAAACAAAAATTCCACCAACTGGACTTTAACCCTAACCTACATCACATTGCCACTTCCCCTTTTTTTAGTTATAAAAATAAAAATCACAAAGGGTGGGAGAAAATTATCCGGTTAAATAAAATGAAATGCACTTAATATTTGTTTTATGACGTCATAGAAATTTTTTGCCACAGAGCAAATGTATGAAGTAGTTCTAATGTATTGGGGCAGGGATGAGCTTTTAGTTCTTTTGTTTTATTACGCATAGTAAAAAAAATACATGTAGCAAAACGAAAATAACTCTAAAAAATCGGTTTTTAGTTAAATTTTGATTTTTCCACAAAATAAAAACGATATTATCAGGAAACTTGCTACAAACATAGCGTAACAAATTAAAATAACAGCGTTGTTAGAGAACTAGGCATATCTAAAGATAAATTTCAATAAAATAAAACGAAAGCTTAGAGTCTGTTATTTTTTTATTTATTCGTCACATTATACGGTTACTATAACATCAAATTAATTGTTTAACTTGTACATTAATATAATGGTAAGTTAAATTTTAGGGAAACGTTATATTATAGGTTCTTTAAATTATTCATTTATTATATTTTATATAATATTGCACACACCTTATTATAATTCTAAATATCGACTAGAACTTTTTTTAACATCTATTTGTTCATTCAAAACGTTTTTAAAGCAGTTAATATAATTTTTTTATGATTTTTCTCCATCTTAAGGATTAAATACCGAATGATCGAAAAAAAAACGGCGTCAAAGACGGCTGAGGAATGAAAATCGATGATAATTTGAGCGAGTTTAATCTCTAGATGTCATTTACTGAAAATTGACATAAAACTTGCCAAAAATTATCATCGATACTAATTCGCAGCCTTCTTTGATGCCGTTTTTTTCGATCCAATGGTACAATCATTTACTTTAAATATTATAATCAGGAGGAGAATTTTTAATACACATCACATTAAATTTAATGAATTACTATTACTGGTTATATAGTTTATAATACTTTAATCTTTTAGATTAAACATTTTAACATTTTTTTTTAAATTAACGATTACTTTTCCTAGTGTTATTTTAATATTAGCACTAAATACCATGCACTCTAATGGTAACTAATTTATTTTGGGGGTCGAGAATAGGGCGAAGTCCTATATTTGCTCTCCGCATGGTGGCGAGAACTCGAAGAAGCCTTAATCTTACTCCACTCGGACGAGGAAGATTTTGGTTCTGTACACACAATTATTTTTACATTATTATTAAGGTTTAAGGCACTATAATATCACTCTGATTTAAGGGTTATTTAGTTTTTAAATTTGTTATAACTCCAATTTAACGTCAACAACAACTGCAAGGTACACCTGTAAAAACAACTAACCCTTCTCAGGATAGAAACATAAATTATAACTGAAAATATAAATAAAAATTAAAAATAAACATGACTAAAAGAATACAAGGCAATGTTACCAGAAATTGTCGAGCGAATTTCGTCAAAAAGGAGCCTTAAAAACCTTCATATTCCTTCAGCTTCACAAAAAATTCCAGACCTTGTGAAAAAACACCAAATTTCGTGTATTTTACCTATTTTAATTAGGAGAAAATTTTTAAAAACTTATTTCTGGTAATTTTTGGACGTAGATGTATTTAAATAAACTTTTTATTAAAAAAATAACAGGAATTTCGAAGTGCGGACTTTTTGACAGCAACACTGCTTTAAACCACAGCTTAAACTGAGGCTTCCTTAATCCTTAATTAAACATGGTTAAAGCGAAAAAATAGATGTAGGAAAAACAATAAATACTCCTACTACATATTTTAACAATTTTTATTGTGTAAAAAACTACCAGAAACCTTCATATTGTCTTCTTTTTGGAAAAAAATCCTTTTTAATCGAAGAAATTGGACTGTGAAATCCTTCATATTGAAGAAAATCCTCCAATTCTGGCAACACTGGTTGGTATGACAGGAGGAAGCTCAACAATTGGCGCGCAATTTAAAAATTCAGTACATAAAATGCTGTGCTAAGATAATTTTAAATCACAAATTTTGCTAAAAACGCTTCCTTGTATTCTTTTAAGTCACTGATAGATAAAAATAATAGGTACTTACCCCTGTAATAGTCGCTATCATAATCATACGGATAATAAGCACTCTTAGACGAACTCGAAGACATTGAAGACATCCTCACATACTCTGGCTCATAGTAATCGTCATCAATACCATAATTATCCTCCATTGCAACCCGAGCCCTGTCCAAAATCGACATGATCTTCGTTTTGGCTGGCATAACAGGCCTGGTGTTCGAAGGTGTAAGTACCGGCGTCCTTGTAGCTGTCCTCATCGGTGGTAAAGGTGCTCTCGAAGCTGGCAAAGCTAAAAAATTGGGTGTTTTAAATTTAAAATACTATTTCCTGATTTTTTTCCGTAAAATACATTTGAGTATTGTGCGTTTTGGGATGAGTTCCCGTTCCCTCTCCCTGTGTGGCTCATCGCCGGTCATTATTTCCATTTCTCTCATCTGTTCTTGTCTGATTGTGTCGTTATTGTCGGGAATAAGGTATTTACGTACTTCAGCCAGAGCAAAAGCCACCCTAGCGTGGGCTTCTGCAGGGGGACCTAGTAGTAAACAAAAATATTGCACTATAATGTATGAAACTTTCAAATTCAGTCACCTAGAGCGGATATTTCGACATGCAAATCGTCAGCAAGATGGGCGTATTTTGGATCCAATGATTTCCGTAATTCCTCTTCCTTAGCTCTGTCTTTCATTGATCCCCTCCCTAGAACAGCCATTTTGCACATTGTGTCTTCTTGTAGACGTTTCATCGAGTTTCCTTTCGGACCCAACAGTTTTCCCACAAAATTGAACTAAAAAAATGTAGATTTTCTTTTAAATTATACTGAACCATATATATTTTTTCCTAAAACTTACTTTCGGATGTTCTCTTACGGGTACTAAAACTTTTACAGTAACTTTTATCGGTTTTTCTCGGTAAATGTCTACGTATTTGTACTCTCTAGGACTAGGTCTCCCTACTAGTTGAACCTTTGAAATTTCTTTAAAAAACTATGGTTAGTACGAAGGTTTTTTTTGGTAAAAAGCTTACCTTGATCTACTAAGCGACAGGCGTTGGGTAGTTTCGCGTTATCCATGTATATTTTCTCTGCCATTAGTTCCCTCACGTATTCGGCTGCTTTCTGAGAAGCTTTGGACTCTTCATTTTCACCCTCAGCGTTGTCTTGTTGCCTTTCCCGTTCCATAGATAATCCAGAAGTTGTAGATTTCCTTTTCGTATCTGGATAAGAGATATAATCGTCGTTCGTGTCGTATTCCTGGGACATAATTTGAAAAAGATCTTTTTACAGGAAGCTGAGAATAAATGAATGCAAATCTGAAAGGGATGTTATTGATTTTTGAGCGTTCCCAGTTTCCAGGTTAAAGTAGGTGATTAAATTTTCCCATAACGAAAAATCCCTAGAAATCCCTAAAATATTAAGTTAAAGTTTATAAATTAATTAAATCAGTTTAAAAATGAAGTGTTTTTAGTGGAGTTTACAGTTTTAGGTATACCCAGTTTTATTTTAATACTATTTTATATTTAGAGATCTAATAACTTTTTCAATCGCCCAAATTGAAAATTCCCTCTCGATTTCTTCTTCTTTTTTTCTTTCGAGGCTCAAACTGTCAGGGTTTTCGGGAAACGTTTTCCTAGGAATATTTTCAAAAAATAAAAGGTTCAAAAATGTATTAAACATTTCTGTTTCATTTATTTCAATATATAGTTGTGCTTATGTTAATAAAATAAGAATATATACGCGATAATACGCGTAAAAAATTAGTTTTCTTACGGGAGTTTCCTACAAAGTAAACACACTTTGTAGGAAAATGTAAAAACGTAATAAATAATTGAAAATGAATGATGGAAACAAAAGGAAATACCATTTTTCTTTTTATTACAGGTATTTTCAAGCAAAAATAGCTTAAAATGTATTATAATACTACTAGTTTTAATAAAACAAGAATCGACACAGGGATGTTGAGCAAATAAAAAAACTATAACTGTGCTATAACGTAAAAAAGTATTTTTTACGCTTAAAAAATTAGTTTTTTACGAGGTAGGTGTTTATGTTGAAGGAAAATGTAAAAAACGTAATAAACAGTCGGAAATGTATGTTGGAAAGAAAAGGAAATACAATTTTTATTTTTATTAAGCTATTTTCAGAGTATTTTCAAGCAAAAATGGCTTAAAAATGTATTTTAAAAACAAGGATGGGTACAGGGATGGTGAGCAAATAAAAACAATAATGTAAAATACTATTTTTTACGCGTAAAAAATAAATTAAAACGTAAAAAACGTAATAAACAGTAAAAATGTGTTTAAAACAAAGGGAAATAATATCTTCACTTCTTTACGAGTATTTTTAACAAAAAAGAATGCATTCAATGTGTTGTTTTATTCAATTTCATAACAGTTTCAACGATTTATTGTTTGTCACTTACAAGCTACACTATTAAGACAAATACGAATATATATGTACACAGCACAAGCTACGAATCTGCGGGGATAATGGAGGACGTCCTTCCTACTGTATGTGACTCTGCACGGCACTGCAGTACAAGCAGTGGGGATCAAAGACCGCCAAGAAGGAGACCGCGGAAGGGACCCCCTCGGACGCCGCCCTAGGGCGGCTGCTGAGACTCGCTGCGTCACCGACGAGACATGGTCTCCAGGCTGTACACGTTGACGCAGCAGTCGGAAGTTCCAGCAGCCCAAACGACCTACAAAAATAAAAAAAATATTATTTAGTTATTTCTTTGAATAAAAAGATTAAAGGAGCATATCAAAAATTTTACACACACTTCAATTTGTTGAAATAAAATGTCACGCATTCATCAAAGGTATGTCCCGATCACCATGACAACCGTTTACTTTGTTACTCGGCGCGGCCTACTATCTACTAAGTGGGTATTTTAAGAAAAATCTGAAATGTTGAGGTTAATAGTGAAAATAAATATAGAGTGTTATATATTTTCGAGAAGCCCATGCCAAGCTGAATTAGAAAATTTAAAAATATACAGGGGGTTCTATTTAAAAAAACATAAGTATAGTTAATATCTCAAAAAATATTTTTTTCGATAAAAGTCTGACTACGCCATTGCATTCTACACAGAAAAGTGCCTTTAGAATGTATAATTCATTTTTCCGTGGTTGCTGAAATAAACAAACTATCGAACATCTTCAAAAAGTAAAAAATTTGAGAATCACCCTGTAGCTTCGAAACCGATCAAGATAGCCACGATCCGTTCGCGCCATTGTAATTTTTTCAAAAAAAGAACCCGAGACTGCAGTATCAAAATTTGAATATTTCTCACGGTTTCCTAGATACCCTATAGAAACAACCAAAATGGTCCACCCTGTACATCAATAAATAAATAAATAATCCATAATAACGCTTAGAATAATCTTCATAATGGACTAGTTTTTGTCAATATGTAATCAGTAAAATAAGCTATAAAACAAATAAATCCAATAATTACTAAAATATTAGTTATTAAATCAAAAATAAAAGGTAAAAATTTTTAAAAAATGATATAATAAATATATTGTTTGTCATTTTTAAATTAAGATTTATCTCATAAATCCATCACAGTCTGGCAGCGCTGTCGCCACCGCTTGTCACTCAAAGTTGACCACGTGCATCGGAAATTGTGTTTTTGAAATCCTCTACTACACTCTAAATAACTACATGCAATGACGTCACGCTTTAACCGACAGAGGCCTTCTTTTTTCGATGAAGATGGTTCAATTGATATTGTGAAATTTGGTCACATTTGCTGTCCTCCTTTCACGCAGTTGAGTAGCTCTGAAGTGTTCAAGAACGCGATACTCTTACTCCATTCAATTGAGTCATTGAGTCATAAAGAACCCCGAGAACTGTTCCGCGCCATATGGAGGTACCAGGCTATCGAGCACCGCTCCTTTCAGAACCGTTCTCGACTAGCCCCAGGGCGTGAAGCCCGGAACTCGAAGTTCGCGAATGGAGGACAGCAATTACAAGACTTTAACAAAACAGTGACGGTTATACAGGGTGTACCAAAAGTTTATACAGATTTAATTCAGCACACCTTAATATTTATTTGTATATTATTCTTACCTTATGAGGATGAAAATTAAGGCAACCTACTGGTCCTATCCTCTGTCCTAAAATGCCTTCGTACGACCTTACGGTACTCAGCAAGTTACCGTCAAGCGTAAAAATATTGATAAACTGGTTCTGAGATCCACTGAAAGAAAAAAAATTGTAATAATAATAATACCGATATTAAAACAGCGAAATATTACCAAACATATATGTTAGCGCTCCTATGAAACGCCATACAGGACATGTCGCTGTTCTGAGTCGGTTTGTTCGTGTGCAGCGACTCGTTTCTTCTGATGTCGTACAGTTTGACGTCACCTTCTGAGCTACCGCTCACTACCAGGTTGTCTTTGAGCTGGACAGACAAAACGGACTTGCTGTGTTCCATCCATACCTTAACCCTTGCTTCCTGAGGTCCACATCTTCTGTCGAATAACCTAGAGCAGGAAAAAATATCAACAAATGCTCATATTCTGCGTCTGAGTCATATAAGTATAACCGAGAAAAATCAAGGTGTTTTTTGATTTAAGTAAAAATAATCTTCGAAGTCACGGAGTTTTTAACAGGATATCCTAGATCATATTTATACTTACGTGGATAAATCAACCCAAATAAGTTTAGCATTAAAAAATACGTCTCTAATAATAATAATAAAGCACTAAATAGGTAAATTTCTGAAATGACAACTTCATTTGACAGTTTTCTTTTACCTTGACTGGTGCTCACAAGTAAATACAGGGCCATAAGAAAGGAGAAATATTTAAAAAGAAATCGGCGATAACTCGTAAACGAGCTAATCAAAAATATCTAAAGTTATTCTTTTGAATGTGGGTTTCAGTGCTCTTCAATAAACCTAAATAGAATTATTCTCTAAAATAATTAGGGAAGCCAATAATTGACCCCATTAAAATTTACATGGTATTTCCTATGTCCCGTCCGCCGATGCAACACCCGGTATATGATCTAGGGATAGTATGCATACCTTACTGAACCATCTGTACAACCTATAACTACGAGGCCTGACCTCGGACCATTAGGAGAAGATTCTTCTTCTTCTAAAAGCCCGTCATCGGCTACAGATCTTTTCTTCTTCAACAACGAAGGTGTGAAGTCGAAGCTCGGGCCTGCGTAGGACGAGTCTATACACGTCACTGAAGCGTCAGTACCTGAAATTAATCTATGGTCAATGACTGAGGAGCACTAATACAGCCTTCTTATAAAGCTTTAATAAAAAGATTAATGACGGAGCAGTTCAAAAAACTTATGGAACACCCTATATATTAATTGATTTTCGGATTCTAGAAAAAAAATCAAAAGGAGTTTTATTAAAGAAGCCTATACCTAAAATCTAAGGATTTTGAAATATTTCACATTTTGTGAAAATGAAGAGTAAATTTTAACTTTCGATTACAGCTACCTAAATTTTAGTTGATCTTGTATTGATAGCTCTGATATTTAATTACAGTAACCATTGTACGTTAATCCAAATTGAAATTTGACCCGAAAAGTTATAGAGGGTGAGACAAAATTAATATGGAACATTAGTCACATTTAAAAGCAAGTTACTCCTTTATTTTAAATGAAACACGCAGTATATTTTTTCGGTGTTCAATGGGGAATTTATATATCTTCAAAATATTATTAAGGTTGCCTACCCCTCAGACAAAGAATTTTCCAGATATTTTAATTTTTATGATTTTGCTCCAGTAAATATTTATTATTTCAAAAAATCTTGGTGGCTGTGTGATATACCTTTTGTTAATTTAACAAAAATTAAAGATTGTAGAGTAAAATACTCAAGGGTAATAAAAAGATACACGTTTAAAACATATTTCAGAATTAAAACTGGATATAAACCTATAATTATGCGACAAAAATTAGCTAAATGAAATCAAATACTCAAAATGCTTCCTTTCCTGTTAACTGCATAAAATTATTTTCTTTTCAAAATTATATTTTCATTTTAAATGGCATATGTGGAGTTTTACTTCGAAAAGCAGCTACAATAATTTTTCTCATGTTGTCGACACTAGTTGGTCGAGTTTTGTAAACAATACTGTCTGGGAATATGTTAATTCCCATAAGAAAACCAAGACTAGATAAAATATTCTATTAATTGGTGAATGCATACTGCATTCACCAACTAACAGAATCATATCAATTCTCTCTGATGTAGGATAAGTTTGCATTTTCGGTAAATTTCTGAGAATTTTTTTTGCTTAAAAAAATTCACACAAAATTGTTGAAAAGTTGTTAAAGTTGGACTAATTATTAGACATGTTGAAGTAACGTCAGACATATCACAACCTAGAGATGGGGACATTCCGGGAATCTTATTTTGACGGCATGTTCCTGGGAACGTTCCCAGGAACGTTCCCCAAATCGGGATAGCGGTAGGAATGGAATTTTTTTTAATATTATGAAAAATTGGAAACTTTCCGGGAAGGTTCCCGGAAATATTCCCCAAAGGCAGAAAAGTGATAAGACCAAACAACAGAAGCAACACAAGTCGATAAAAGAAACAAATTTAGGTTATGTTTATAACCTAGTTTCTCTTCTTCTTTTTACTTGTGGCGTGGCCTGTTCACAACTTTTCCAATGTTTTGATTACTTTCCCTAAATGTAAGAAAAGTTCCCGAAAAGTGGGGAATGTTCCGAGGAATATTCCAACTCGCATCAGAATACAACTTTCCCGAATTTCAGTCACTTTCCCGACCTTAGAGGAACGTTCCCGGAACATGGGCACGTTCCCTGAGGCACGTTCCGACCTGCACATCACTATCACAGCCACCTAGATTTTATCAAATAATAAAGATCTACTCAGATCGAATCATGTAAATGAAAATATCTAGAAAAATCTTTGTTTGAGGGGTAGGCAACCTTAATAGTATTTTGAAGAGACATGAATTCTCCATTGTATCTTTTTATTCTAAGTAAACTCAATAAAGAAAAATACTATTTTTATAAAAGGACCAACATAATATTACCTGTGGGTATATCAAAAGCCTTCATTTCCTTCTTTGTATCCCATAACCTTATAATCCTAGTATCACCCGTAGTTAAAACAGTCTCTGTATATTGCTCCCAGGCCAACAACACCCCTGAAAAAATACAGGGTAAACAAAAACATAACCTGGAAAAATTCTCGGTAGCTAATGTTGGCTTACCTGTTTGCTTAAACCTAAAATCACTAAATGCTTGCCAAGCGGTCACCAATGAAGGTTCCCTGCTAGTCCCCACGTTGGGTTTCCACAGCCTTATACTACCGTCGTCTGCAGCAGACATTAACAAAGACAAATCGTGTCCATTTACCCATTCTAATGCCGTTATTTTTGATGTCCGGCCTTTAAACGCCGATTTCTGTTGTAAGGCTGTCGTTTTGGCTCCCGTACCCCAGTCCCAAATGCTACAAAAAATATACAAGGTGTTTGTTGAGAGTCCATTTCACTTAGTCCGAAAAAGTAGAAAAATAAACGTTCGGAATTTTTAACGTTTTATGTAAAACTGTCTAGGTATTTTTACACAAATGAAGAAGGAAATTAAAGATAAAGGATTATACTATGTCCGTATTATTGTAGCACATTTTTAGACAACTTCTTTATTTTTAAGATTTTGATGGTTAAACATCAAAAAAATATTTCTTATGTTTGGACTAAATTTTCTCGAAAATAAAGACATAATTTAAAATTCCGTTACAATACGGAAATAGATAGAAGTTTTGTGATTATAGTGATATATAATTTATATTGTTTTGTAACAAATTGCTCGATATTTTATGGCAAATGCTGAAGCTCTGCAAACCTTAATCAAAGTACGTGTGTTTGGAATTTTGGGTGTGACTTGGGATCTTTTACAAGATGTTTAAATAAAAAAAAATTCGATAGGTTTGTTTTTTTTTCGTCCAAATATTTAAAAAAACCCATCCATTTACTTTTAGTGCATTGCAGTTTTCAGCAATCGTGTGTAACTTTTTTATTTATGAAGATTTTCACATACTGTCTGCTAAGAAAATATAGCAGAAATAATAAGAATTTTTGAAAAAACTACAATTTATTTCTAATGGGTTTTTATATTCAGAATTCTAATAGCGCGACCACTGTCAAACACCTACTCAATTCCACTTATTTTTACCAAAAGTGCGAGTGTTTTTAACTTGCACTTAAAAATTTACAGGCTATAGGAAAAATTACAACGACTCGTTAATAAATAAACAAACAAAGTATCACGTGCAAAGTTTCCCGGTTTATTTCGTACGTTCGGCAACGTTTTTACTGTTCTCTCTATGTTCAGTACATTACAACTAACCTTTGCCAGCCCTGAGTATAGTATAGGCTGACAGGTAAAATGTTAAGTGTGGACGAGGCTTTATACTTACGAAAATAAGTCGCTGCCGGCCACAGCAATTTGCTGATTGAACGGGTGCAGTTGTATCAAACTTGGAGGTAACGACGTCCTGGTATGGAACACTTGCGTCTCTATTTTGGACTTAATGGCTCTTTGTTGTTCCTCGGCAGCTTCTAGCCTTATGGCCGCATTTCTGCAATAAACACACAGATAAAAAAATAAATAAATAGAAAACTGAGAATAAAAACCATACAAGTTTAATGTCAATTTTAATAAAACCACCTCGCCAAAAATCATCGATAGTCATTCCTCAGCCCTCTTTGACGCCGTTTTTTTTCGATTATACGGTACTAACTCACCTCATTCTTCTCCAATCTCTTTCGTAGTACTCTTGCGACTCGATATCGCTGTAATCCACGTCTTTTTTCGTTTTGACAAACTTTTTTGACGACCACGTGACGAAATTCGTCGAAACCAACGGTTTTCTCATAATCTGCGACTTCTGATCCCCTGTCTCGTCCACCGAGTTCTTTTTCTTCCTTGTTCTATTCGCCATTGCCGACCTAAATACATTTTTTTATCGTTAAATCAACTTATTTTTCACTGCCACAGATCTTTAAAAATTACCTGGTTAATTTAGTGTGAAAATCCCCGCTAGAATGCAGGGTTGGCGGACTTTCCCCTGATAAATACATGCCCCTGTTAGGGCTGGGCGGTAGGCTCATGCTGGAATGTCTACTGTCGGCCATTTCACGCTGCTCCTAATATTATTAAAAATAATAAAAAATATGAATATTTCAATTTTGAAGTAAACATTTATAACACAGAAAAAAACATCATCAATAAAAAATCGACCATTTTACACTGTACTGGTGCACTTAGATAACAGTATTTGATCTATAATTCTTAATATCTATGGGCGAGGTAGTTTAAATGTTCAAAGAAGACAGTGGCGCACCTGTGTACAAAAATACTAAATAAAAATATAGTGTCATTTTTTCCGTCATTTAATCTATAATTTTTAATGTCTGTGACCGAGATAGTTCAAATGCTCAAAGCAAAAATACTGGATTAAAATATACAGAAATAATGTAATGTACGAAAATAGTAAATAAAAATATAGTGTCATTTTTTTTCCGTATCAGTACTCAATCTATAATTTTTAATGTCTATGGTCAAGGTAGTTTAAATGTTCACAACATACTGTGGCGTACCTACGTAAAAAAATACTAAATAAAAACATACAGTATCATTTTTTTCCGTATTAGTACTCAATCTATAATTTTTAATGTCGATGGCCGAGGTAGTTCAAATGTTCAAAGCAAAAATGCTAAATTAAAATATACAGTGTAATTTTTTTTACGTATATCAGTACTTATTCTATAATTTTTAATGTCTATGGTCAAAGTAGTTTAAATGTTCACAGCATACAGTGACGCACCTACGTAAAAAATACTAAATAAAAATATACAGTATCATTTTTTTTCCGTATTAGTACTAAATTTATAATTTTTTGTCTATGGCTGAGGTAGTTGAAATATTAAGTATCAGTACTTATTCTACAATTTTTAATGTCTATGGTCAAAGTAGTTCAAATGTCCAAAGCAGACAGTGACGAAAATACTAAAAAAATATTATTATCAATAAAAAAAATCGATAATTCCACACTAAAATGTATTGATGACACTTGAGAAATAAGTAATCATAGAGGAAACATAAATATAAAAAACTACTCACCCTAGCCAAAGAGCGAATATGTTCGGTGATAGTAAGGCACATGTTAGCTACTTCTGGATAAGGATCGGTCTCCAAAAGACACAGCGCTATCCATATCTTCATGTAGACAGAACCGTAGCCCAACCCTGGTAAAGTACCCAAGCTACCGCTGTAGCTGTTGGTCATGGATGGGCTGTTTATGTTGTTGATGGTGGGACTTGAAGGTATTCTTCTAAATGTGCCACTGTCTGGTTGTCCTAACCTGTCTCTGCTGGTTATTCTCGGTAGGGTGTTGCTGTTTTGAGTTTCGTTGGCATTTTGACCTTCTTTTGACGCTACAGCTGCAAAGGCTACGTCAAATGCTAGTAACAGCCATTGCAGGGCTCCTACCAGTTCCTATAAAGATTATTTTGTGTAAACATATACCTAAATTTCCCTGTATACATCTGTATTTTTTTTTTTAAATATTGAGTAAAAAATCATAAGCTACGGAGCTTTTTCGCAACATTGCATATCACCCGGTATATTTATTTTACAAATTTCTTTATTTGAAATTGGTTCTAGTAAAAAAAATAGTAAATAAGGCTGTATAGTGTCAGTTTTTTATATATCTGATTATTGAATCTATAATTTTGAATATCTATGGTCGAGATAGATTAAATTAATGTTCGAGGCAGACACAGTGGCGTACTTATGTACGAAAATACGAAATAAAATTATAAACAGTGTTATTCTTTAAATATCAGTACTTATATAATACTATCTATAGTTTTTAATATCTATAGGAGAAGTAATTCAAATGTTCAGGCAGTGGCGCACATATATATGTACGTAAATACTCGAAAAATATAGTTATATTTTTTAGGAATGATTATTTAATCTATAATTTTAAATATTAATGGCCGAGGTAGTTCAAATGTTTAAAGCACTTATGAACGAAGAGACTATATAAAAATATACACTCAATTTTAGATACCAGTATTTAATCTATAATTTTTAATATCTATGATCAAGGTAGTTTAAATGTCTAAAAAAAATACTAAATAAAGTTAAACAGTCTCTCATTTTTTAGATATCACTATTTAATCTGTTGTTTTTAATATCTATAGCTAAGACAATTCAAACGTTCGAAGCAAACAGTGACGTACAAAAATAACAAATAAAAATATTAAAGTGTCATTTTTTTCAGGTATTCAATCTATGATTTTTGGTATCTATGGACGAAGTAGTGCAAATGTCCAAAATAGACAGTGATTAAATAAGAATATAGTGTTTTTTTAGATTCCAATATAAAATCTATAATTTTTAATGTCTATAGCACAGGTAGTTCAAATGTCCAATGCAGACAGTGGCGCATCCTACGTATGAAAATACGAAATAAAACTATACAGTCTCATTTTTTAGATCAGTATTAAGTCTGTAATGTTTTATATCGATGGCCGAAATAGTTCAAATGCTCCAAGAAGACAGTGGCGCACATTAAAATACAAAAAAATGTTTTTTTAAATGATTATTTTACTTACCTTTCTGACTAACGGACTAGCATCGCTTCCGGCATGATTGACAAGCGTCATTGCCACGGCATGATCGATATTGTTGGCATGCTCTGACCTCTTTGATACTGAGTTGATAAAAGTTCCCAAAGCGTAGACAGCGGCGGCTCGTACTTCCGGACAAGCATCCGTCAATAATTTTGATAATTTTTCATGAGCTGTATCTCTAACACCTGTCCACCTAAAAGACACAACAAAACAATAATTTATATTTTTTTGTCGAAATGTAAAAAAGAATAAATTTATTTTTCAGAGTAAAAAAAAATATGATTATACCTTGCACTTTCATAGTGATCCCATAATCTTCCTAAACATATTGCTACCCATCTGCGTAGATTGGGGTTTCTATCCCCTAAAAATTGTGTAATATAAGAGAAAAATATGAATAAAAAAACAAAAAAAAGCTTACCTAATTGTTCTAAGCATACACTGACCAAAGACCCTTGTAACGCTGCTTCTTGACCATCTCTATTGTTGCTTACCAGACAAGACAGTACAAAAGTAGCTTGTGTACGGGTCTCAGACTAAAAAACATAGTTTCATTGATGTTATTACTATGAATAGTAAAAATGACAACAACTTTTGATGGATGCATTCAAATTTTGTTTAACAGTGTCTAAAAGTGTGAACTTTTGTGTTCATCAAGTAATTTTGACTCTTTTTTTACTTTGCATAAGAACTGTTTAGTATTTTTAAATATCTAAGATGGTTCTTCAGTGCTCAGTTTGAAAAAAGGTGGACTAAAACAGAGGAATATTACTTACCGACATTGCTGGGTCTACTAATATTGACAGAAAATACTTGTGACCTTGTTCTCTTATTAAATCTGCTTGACATGTCTAAAAAAACGTTTTTTAAGCTAACATTTTTGATTAAAAAAATGAATTTTCTTACGTTATCCACTGCTAGTATTTTCGCCCATATGTAAACCAACAACGGTCTCAATTCTTTCGCAAAACTCTGCAGAAGTTTCAAAACATACGGAAATATTCCTACAGAGAGTGCTAAGTTTACCGCCCATGGACCTTGAAAAGAAACAAAAAATCAGAAAAAATAGTAAGATTTTTTTTTGAACTACAGTAGGTACTTAAATCTATAATTTTTAATATCTATGGCCGAGGTGTTTCAAATGTTCAAAGCAGACAGTGGCACGTGGAAAAGAAACAACAAAAAATATTTTAGAACTGCGGTACTTAATCTATAATTTTTAATATCTATGGTCGAGGTAGTTCAAATGTTCAAAGGAGACAGTAGCGTATTGAAATGGAAAAAAAACAGAAAAAAACGTTAATATTTAATGTTTTAGAATTGCAGAAATTAATCTATAATTTTTAATGTCTATGAACTGAGGTAGTTCAAATGTTCAAAGCAGACAGCGGCTCTTTCAAAAGAAAAAACCTAATATTTAATGTTTTAGAATTGTCAATAATTTTTAATATCTATGACGGAAGTAGTTTAAATGTCCAAAGTGGACAGCGGCACGTTGAAAAGATACAACAAAAAAATATTTTAGAACTGCGGTACTTAATCTATAACTTTTAATAAATATGGCCGAGGTAGTTCAAATGTTTTAAGCAGACAGTGGCGGGTTGGAAAGAAAAAAAAAAATAATGTCTTAGAACGGCAGTACTTATTCTAAATTTTTTACTATCTATAGAAGAGGTACTCGTAGTTCAAATGTTCAAAACAGGTAGTGGCACTTTGAACACAGAAAAAAAATACTGTTTTAGAACTGCAGTATTTATTCTATAACTTTTAATATCTATGATCGAGGTAGTTCAAATGTTCAAAGCGGACAGTGGCGCGTTGAAAAGAAAAAAAAAACAGAAAAAACGTTAATATTTAATGTTTTAGAATTGCAGAAATTAATCTATAATTTTGAATGTCTATGAACTAAGGTAGTTCAAATGTTCAAAGCAGACAGCGGCTCTTTCAAAAGAAAAAACCTAATATTTAATGTTTTAGAATTGTCTATAATTCTTAATATCTATGGCAGAAGTAGTTCAAATGTCTCAAGCGAACAGTAGGGTGTTGAAAAGAAAAAAAAAATCTTAATATTTTCACTTATTTTACGTTTAAAATTGTATCTAAAAAAGACAGTCATACTAACCTAGGTCTAGGAATTTGCCGAGCAGTTCCAGTGCCCTAGTTCTATGGACTTGGCTGAGAAGAACTTGCAGAACTATGGGTAGCTGTTCTGGAGGACGTCTGTGTTCGGAACCTATAAAAAATAAATCGTTAAAATTAAAAAAAAAATCCTTGGGAAAATATATTTTTTGGAAAATTTACCTAACTGTAACCAAACTTGGAATGCAGTGAGTTGGTCTTCAAAAAAGGCCAGGTTTTTGTATGTGGCTTTACCGGCTAGTATCTTAGGCAACTGACCTAAAATTCACAACATTAAATACTGTTTACTGTGAAGAGATATCTTATAAACAATCAACTAGTATCCACAGACAACCTTTTTAGTTTAATGACATTGGTATATTAACCCACCTAGACTCAGGTCTAAGACAAGATCCCACGCATCCCACATGGCATGCTGAAACGTCACAGGCAAGGCAGGTGACGATATAGGAGTGCAATCGCATGATCTCATTATTCTTTCGGCTAATAAATAGTTACGGAAAAGACTAGCCACCAATAGGTCTTGTCGAAATAATTTCTGAAATAATTCTGGAAAAAAACACGTGAACCATTACTAAAAATTTTAATATTTATTAAAAACAGATTTTTTAAGTAAAACTTCAAAAATTCCATTAGAGTTCCATTTAAAAAAATGAAGAAAAATTATTTTATTTTTTATATTTTAGAGAAAGTTTGGCGTAGAATTTTGAACATCCTGTATGATTTAAGATTCCGATATTTATAGTAAAGTATGTACAGACCATCTAAAGTAAATACCTAAGATAGTTTTGATTTCAGGACAGTTCTTGTATTTTTAATACTATCTTTAGTTTTTAATATCTATGAAAGAGGTAATTCGAATGTTCAGACAGTGGCGCACATATATACGTACGTAAATACTCAAAAAATATAGTGATATTTTTTAGGAATCATTATATAATCTATAATTTTTAATATCTATGGCTGAGGTAGTTCAAATGTTTAAACCAGACAATGTCGCACTTATAAACAAAAACGCTATCTAAAAATATACAGACACATTTTTAGATACCAGTATTTAATTTATAATGTTTAATATCTATGGCCAAAGTAGTTCAAATGACGAAAGTAGACAGTAGCGCAGTTATGTACGAAAATAACAAATTAAAAAAGTGTAAATTTTTTTTGGTATCAGTATTCAATCTATAATTTGTAACATCTATGGACGAAATAGTTCAAATGTCCAAAGTAGACAGAAGAATTTTGAACACCCTGTATGATTTAAGATTCCGATATTTATAGTAAAGTAAGTACAGATCATCTAAAGTGGATTATGTAAAGTGGTCAGAAAGGAAGCTAAAAATGCAATAATATACAGGGTGTTCCATTAAAAAAATCACCCCGATAAACTCACACTTTTTTGAGCCACCCTGTAGAACTTAATTTTTTTTCCTGATCTATCTATAATTTTTAATATTAATGGCCGAGGTAGTTCAAATGTTTAAAGCACTTATGAACGACGAGACTATATAAAAATATACACCCAATTTTAGATTCCAATATAAAATCTATAATTTTTAATGTCTATAGCACACCGAAATACATACAAGTTTTTTTTATTCTCGTATTCTGTATAGGGTGTTCCATTACAAAGAGCACAACTTTGATGTGTAACATTTTTTAGGGACACCTTGTAGAACTCTACATATTTTTTAAAAATGCTTTAAATTAACCTACATATAATGTCGTTCGCCTTGGAACCTCCGCACCCTGTATAAAATTAAATATAAAAAATCTTACCTTTTGGCAAAGTATTCCAAGCAATCGTATCAGTAATCGCTGTAAAAATCCAGTTTAACTCGCCGAACATTGACTTCCTATCCGAAATATTACCCGGAACCCTAAGGAAAACACAATTACATAACCTAAAAACCCCAACAAAAAACACCAAAATAACTTACTTATCCACCATATCCAGTGTAACGTTGGGAATTAGCTTGGCAGTTGGTTGTAACACGCACCATCTTAACGCTATTTTTATTGGCGTGGTTAGACATGAAGTGAATAAATCAGCTGGTAGATCGGGGTTCATTGGTAGTTGTTGATTGGCAGCGCAAGCAGCGAGCTGAATGCATTCTTTGAAAGATGGCGGGCCTGCAGCTGGGCTAGACCTTGATTGTGACGAACTAGCTAACGATTGCTAGAAAAAAAAAACATCAGAATTTTAATCTGTATGTTTATTACTGGCAAAGATGTATTTTTAATGAAAAAATATTTTCTACTCACTTTTTTAAACTAAACAAAAATATGAGTTAGTTAAAACAGAAGATTTTAGAAAAAAAAATGAGTTTTTAATTTTTTTCATATTGTTCCACCACTTCAAAAAGTTCTAAAAAATTCCTGAGTGTAAAGAAGCATAACAGACATTTTCTGACGATTTTTAGTGAGTGACAGATTTAACAAAATGTTAAAAAAATGAAGATTTTCTTTCCTCCGCTAAAAATCGGCTTTTCGTTTAAGAATCAAGATAATATTATTTTTTCATGTTTTAGACTTCTAAAAATTAGAAAAAAATCATCAAAAATTAGTTTTTAATTTTACTATAAAAATAAAAATAAAATTGTAAAAACAGGGTTTTTTGAAAATCTCGAATATATTTTTTTTTACCCAGGAATATATATAATAATATACCCAGTAATAAATACAGGGTAGAACGAATTTGGGTGAATACCATTACACTCGGTATTTACTCAAGTACACTTACTTTGGTAATTTAAGGTACTCTTAGGTACTTAATCAATTTTAACAATACAAATACCCGGTATAATACCAGGAATATATCTACAATATTTCATCAATGGGTATATACCCTACACCACCTGGGTATATACCCAATTTTCTTTACGCGCGGTGGGAGTAAAAATTCAAGGTCGTGACACACGGGCTAGCGAGACGAAAAGCGGCAAGGTATTATAAAACTATTTGTTACACGTAAAAAAATATTTTTTATGCATAATTTTTTTTTAATTTGTTTAGTTTTGTTTTTCAACATTTCAAACTTCGACTTCGAGTATAAACTTTGATTTTTACCCAAAACAAACAAAAAAAATCAACAAAAAGACCAAATTTGGAGAAGTACAAATAACAATCATCGGTAAACTTACCTGATATTCAGACTCATGCTGTGCAGCAAATGTTTTGAAGGATTCCACTATTATTCCCGCATTGGAACAGTCATATACATATATTGATGGAGCACCCATCCACGTTTGTAAGTCGTAAATCGATAATGGAATGTACTGGGTGTAAGTCTGTATAAAAAACAAATTTTAAAACAATTTTTTTTTGTTTATGCACAAAATTTACCCTATTAAAAACCCAAATTTCTCCATTTGTCGTGGGTTTAGGAACACCGTGTCCATTATAATGGAACAGCACCCTCTCCTCTTTGGCATTGCGCCTCAATGATAAACATAATTTCTTTACTTCGTCCGAAGTAGGGTCCAAAGACTAAAAATCAGTATAAATACATTCTTAGTTTATAAAAAAAAACTTTTCTTACTAGTTTATATCTGGCTCGGGGCTGCCATCTTTCATACTGTGTTTGTAAAGCTTGCCCTACAGTTTCTAGGGCTTTTGGACCTGACATAGTCATCGGATCTATAAGATTTTAATGTTAAAATACATTCCTAAGCTGTAGGTATATTTTTTCTTACCTATCCAACACTCTAATCTTGCACAGGGTTGGGTTTTTACTACATCGGGCGGATCGACTCCAACATTTAAACACAAAACTAAAGCTACACTTACAGTTTTCATCTAAAATAATCAAAAAAATATTGTAAATATATATAAAAGTAATTTGTTTCAGTGTAATAAATATTGAACACTTAGAGCTGGTATATTTATGAATCTTTTATTAATATACTGATAAAAAAACACAGAGGAATAATGTGTATAAAAAAGGTGATTTGTGTCCAGCATTGATGAAACCTTCGCCATAAAAACAAAAATACATAAAAACCCGTAAAATTAAATTATAAATAAAATATTAATTACCCTTTCTTTCATTCTCCACGTGTGCGTTTTCCAATCGACTCCTTGTATTTTTTCCATGTGCCTATCCTCGTTAAAAGCCATAGGTAAATCGTTATCTGAAATTTCGAGTTTTTGCAGTTCTTGGCATAAACCCGCATCGTTCTCCGTAGATTCCCAAGCTTCTTCGGCCACTTCCTGCATTTTCGGTCCTTTTCCGGTTACGTTCGTCTTAAAAACTGTACAATTTTATTAACAACATTCAGAAATTTAGTTAAAACGCATTTAAAAAACTTTAAAAACACATGGCACGAAGGACGACAACAAAAACCAAACTGTCTCAGTGTGTCAATGTCACATGTCAGGGAAGTTCAAAATGGGCATGGCGCAACTAGGAATGGGAATATTATCGATATAATCATGATTATTAATTCAATTTTATTTCCAGTACAGTTTATTGACATAAAGTTTGTTCAGCAAAGGAATATTTGATAGTAAATGATAGCTAGAGTTGTTGTACATTAATTTAATTCAAAAGTAAGTTGTATTTCCAGTATTTTTTAAATGTATCGAGACATTTAATATATCGATATATTGTCACATCCCTAGGGACAACCGGACAACTGATTTAAGCGATTTCAATTGGAAATTTGTTAATTTTCGTTTTAGTTTTTTTTAAGATTTAAAATTTATCAGTTATAAAAGGTTATAAAGTAGAGGTAGCATTATTTCTCTTTTTAGTAATTGTAGAACTTGACTAAATCACAAAATTATGTATAACTACTCAGAATTCTTAATGAGACAAACATTAACGAAAATACAAAAGTGAGGTTATAGCTCTTAGATATTTAAGGCCTATTTTCTGCTAAAACCGCATTAAAACGTTGATAATTCCAAGCGAAAATGGACGATTTTGCTTGTCCAAGATGCAGAACAACAAAATTTCAAAATCCCTCCTTAAAAATGATGGTAAATGTATGTGGACACGGTCTGTGCGAAAGTTGTGTAGATCTCCTATTTCTCAAAGGTATTTACTCACATTTTCCCACTATTTTTGCTATTATATCCTTTTTACAGGCTCTGGGAGTTGTCCAGATTGTAAGATCCCTCTAAGAAGAAACAATTTCCGTGTCCAACTGTTTGAAGATGCATCTGTAGAGAAAGAAGTCGATATACGAAGAAGAGTCTTAAAAGACTACAACAAAAAAGAGGAAGACTTTAGTTCTTTAGCTGAATACAACGATTACCTAGAAGAAGTCGAAACAATAATCTACAATTTAGCAAATAACATAGACGTAATAAACACAAACAAGAAAATCGAACAGTACAAAAAAGAAAACAAAGACCAAATACAGAAAAGTAAAGGAAGACTGGGCAAAGACGAATTTGAGCTAGAAGAATTGCTTGAACTAGAGAAGCAGATGAACGAAGCGAGAAAACAAGAGATTCTGTTAGAAGAGTCCCAAGCCAAGAAGAAGAAAGTCCAAAGAAAGGAAGCTTTGATAGATGAACTGATGTTCTCCAATACCGACGCTAAGAATATAGTACAGAGTTTCGCGCAGCAAGCCAAGGAAGAACAGGAGGAGGAAGCAAAAAAACCGCCTCAAAAAAAGACGAAATTCTCTACGGGAATAGAGTTTGGGAGGAAATCACAAGTCTCATTCCTTCCAGTACCTACGGATGATGGGCCACTGTATCAATACACTCCAGTTACTTTGGAACCCGATGGACCTCAGCCCCCAGCAGAAAACGATGTAATAACCAAAGGTTTTATGAACCATGTTAGAACTGAGACAGAACAAGAAAGAGCTGGTGGTTTCCAAACGAATATCGCTTGTATGCGAGCACTACAAGAAGCCATGATGGGTTTATATCACACAAAGAAAGTTCAGTGTTAATTTTATAATGTTTTTTTTAAGTTGTTTAACGTATTCAGTTGTTAATTTATTCTTAAATACAGTTTATATAATAAGGAAAATATTGGTAGATTTAATTTTTGTTGATAAGTTTTTTGAACTGCTGGTTTAAATTTAAAATCAGTTTAGCCAACCTTACAACCGGGCAACGTAAAAATCCCCACGTCAAATCTAGTGGGAACGAGAATCATCAGGTTTATTTGACATTTGTCATGTTTATCAATTGTAGGTGGATCGGATTTAAGTTATTTGAATAATTCTACCTCGTTTTCTTTGTTATTTTTCGTAGTTAGAGCTTTATCTTAGTGTAGAGAAATAGGAAAATGTCTAAGCTGAACGATAGAGCTCCTAGTCACCAAACCTACAAGTTAGTTATAGTCGGAGGTGGTGGAGTTGGTAAATCAGCTATAACTTTGCAGTTTATTCAGGTATAACTCAATTTTTTACTTATTTTGATAGTTATAGAGCCCTCGTATGTATATAAATCGAAATTATTAGTATCATCTGTGAAAACGCCTTTCATTTTAAGGCAATTAAAAACTTTAACCTTGTATCAGTCCTACACTACCCTGTCTGAAACAATCTGTTTTTTTAAACAAATTTTTCGTGTTTTAGAGTTATTTTGTGACTGATTACGATCCGACAATAGAAGACTCGTACACTAAACAATGCGTAATCGACGATATCCCCGCGAAATTGGACAGTAAGTATGAAATATTTGCTAGTTAACTTTTATGTCGAAATACCCAATTAACTCTTTATAGTTTATTTATGAATGCTAGGAATGTGGTCTGTAAACAGTAATAAAACCTAATTTTTACGTTCTATTCTGTAGTTAATTAAACAAATTATATATTGTGCTTGTTATTTTTAATTTTCTTTATTTAGTTTTGGATACAGCAGGACAGGAAGAGTTCAGTGCAATGAGGGAACAATATATGAGATCCGGAGAAGGGTTTTTACTGGTGTTTTCAGTGACTGAAAGGCCAAGTTTTGATGAAATATTCAAATTTCATCGGCAAATTTTAAGAGTCAAAGACAGAGACGAATTTCCTATGCTAATGGTTGGAAATAAGGTACCCAATACTATTTTAATTGTTTGCGAAAATAATAAATTGTATTTATTTTGGGTTTATTGGGTGTGGAGTTCAATATTTATTTTTAATAGATAGCAAAATTAATGGGTGTGTTATTTTTGTTTAATATAGTAATTTGTCAGATATTTTTTGAATTGGCCTTGGGCATGTTTAAATTTATTGGTTTTATATTGTGATATTGAGATGTTGGCATGTGTTCAAAAGTTATGAAACTACTCCAAATCAAATTTATGCATTTTGAATTAAAATAGATTTTTATTTGCCTCAATAATCAAATGATTTGATTTTTAGGTGGACTTAGAACAACAAAGAGTAGTGTGGCAGGAAGAAGCTCAACAATTGGCGCGTAATTTAAAAATACCCTATATAGAATGCAGTGCCAAAATGCGTATGAACGTTGATAACGCCTTCTATGAACTCGTAAGGGTAGTTAGAAAATTCCAACTATCAGAGAGACCGCCTTTAAAAACAAGCTACATGAAAAGAGACAAGAAGAAGTGCTGTATAATATAATAAACCAATAAAACTTATATGGAAAAAACCGGAAATATATAGAGTATTCCGTGGTAAAGTGTCAGATAAGGAGGAACTCTGTTTCTCCATATTTTTGTAAATTTTTAATGTCATAAACTCGATATTTGTGATTTGTGGAAAAATCAAAAAAGTAATGGACTATTTCTACATATCTGTGTATTTTAAACAGTGTGCAATATTTCTTTTGTGCGATATTTTTTAATAGTAACAATTTTCTGTATTAGACCATATTATACCTAGACACCGTTTTTTCGTCGGACATTTTGAAGCCAACATAAAATTTTACGTCAGTTTAGGGCAAAAAATCGTTTAATTATAACAACAGTTTATGATGTTTAATTTGTACGATTTTTTTAATATGAACATTTTCTGTATTAGACCATAATATATGTAGACACCGTTTTTTGTCGCACATCTTGAAGCGAACATAAACTTTTGTGACGTTACTTCAGGGCGAATATAATCATTAAATTTAGCGATTTTTTTTATTAGAAATATTTCTAGCATGAAAACATGTAATACCTAGATACTGTTTTGTCAGGGAATCTTGAAGCCAGCATAAAACTCTGTGACGTCACTGGAGGGCAATTAGATCATCATATTTCTGTCTCTCTTGTTTATTGAGTAATATTTTCTCTCTTAGAGTATTTAATGCATAGAGACCTTTTTCCATGGGACATTATGAAGCCAAGATAAGGTTACATGACGTCATTCTAGGGCAAAAATACTGGGATCAGTTTAGTTTTAACTAAAAGTTTGCGTGTTTTGTGTATTTAGCCATGTTTTTGTTGGAAAGAATTTTTTACATTTTATATGTAAGATTATGTTATGGCGAATGACATTGATCGTTATTTTTAAGGTAACTTGACGCCGTTTTTTTCACTGTTGTATTTTTAACATATTTTTAACATTTTTTTGCATTAGACCATGTAACACCTAGACTTTTGTTTTATCGGACATCATGAAGCCAACATCAAACTTTCATGACGTCACACGGGGGCGAAAATAATACGATTTGTCTAGACTTGACCAAAAAAATGACAGAAAATTCAATTTGCGTGTGAATTAAAATGACAGACACGACTGTCACTGTTAGTAATCCCCTCTTTGGAGATATATTATTAAGTTTTATGTGAATAACAAAAAAATACATGTCATTCTTTTCTCAAATCTTATTGATGGTTGTATACAAGGGGTATTTTGACTGGTATGACATATTTATGTTTTTTTCTATTAAATAAAAGCTGAAACATCACAACACTATGTTGGTTTCAAATTGAAAAACTCAAGTGGGGTGTCTAGTTATATAATAGTTTATGTTCTACATATTTTTATTCAAAAATTGTGGATTTTTTAAGTATATATAGTTTTTTTAGTGATTTTATTTTAATTCAGTAAATTCTATTTTTTTTATTAGTTTAAAAAATACATTTTTTTGACATTAAATTGTGTCAAAACTACAAAAAACACGAAATAAAGTGTATTATATTTCTACAACGTTACATCTATGTGATATCCAGTGTAGCTGTTTGAAAAAACTGTACCTATCGATATTTTTGCATAAACTATGTACAGGGTGACCCAATATTCTGATAATAAGTTTCACATCAGGCGTTCCTATTTCATATTTTCACTCACCAAGTTTTACAAAGCAAAGTTGTACTTTGAAAATTAAAAATAAGCTTGTTATGGAGCTTATTCCGAACATTGGACCGCCCTGTATATTCTGTAGCTTTTTATCTAGTATAATTAATGAAGAAAACCTTATGACGTGAAATATAGAGTGAGAACACCGTTTAAGGTTATTTTTGTATGATATATAAACAAATTAGCTTTAACTATACAGGTTGTCCGGAATTCGAAAGCGAAAACCTATTACAGGTACGGTAAAATGAGTGGAATTATATTGGACGGACGGCCTGTATATTATTTACACTCTGTTTTAATTCTTTTGTAAAAAAAATGTTTGTGTAAATAGTTATATTCTGCTTTCTCATTTACAAGTTCTTTACGAAAAACTATAGAAGACTATAAACAATTACTTTTTCTGTTGTACAGTGTGTCTATTTTTTTTGGACGTACTGTATACTTTTAGCGAGATATTTTTTAATCTCTTTTTTTTGTCAATATTTTTAATTGTATAAATATCTTTGGCTTGATATTAGTACATTTATTTATGCATCCAAAAATATAGAAAAAAAATGTTAGAGCACCTTTTTTGATTTACACATGTTTATATTATATATATTTTATGATCACTGCCAGAGTTTATAAAAGAAACGTTCTCTTTTTATCTACAGGGTGAGTCTAAAATATTTCAGGTAAATATAGCTTGTGTTTAGTGAATTTGAAAAGAAAATATCTGTAAACAATTTTGTAAGGTTATATTATTTTGTGAAACTATTTCAGAATATTTTATTTTCTATGAAAAACACTCTGTAGGTAAAAAGAAAAAAATGAGGCACTTTTTCATTCACATTCCGGGTGCCGAAGTATCTTATTATAAAGAAAATGATATTTTTTACTAAACGTTTATTCGAAAAATGTTAAGCATATTATATATAGCCTATGATCGAAAAAAAAACGGCGCCAAAAACGGCTGGGCAATGACAATCGATGATAATTTTGACGAAGGTTTCAAAGGTATATCTTTCAATGAAATTCACACAGCTTTAACATGTTTCAGGTATTAGGGTTTTAAGATTTACTTCAACTTTTGTTAAAATATATTTTGTTACACAACGGTAAAATAACATGATATTGGCAATACAAATATTTATTTACCCGTTATTGAAATTTTCAGTACGGGCCAAGTAAACGACATCTAGGGCTTGACCTCGGCAAAATTATCATCGATTTTCATCGCCCAGCCTTCTTTGATGCCGTTTTTTTTTCCCGATCGTATGGTAGCTTTCGTTGTAATGTATTAACGTAATGTTTTACTAATATATTGTATTGTTAAAAATATATATTTGATTTTTTCAAGTAGAGCCTTACATAATAATTTCATTTTTAACATCTATATGTAATTTCGTTTTTAAAAATACCAACAGTAAAATTAACAAAGAATAAATAATTTTAATCAATCTCAAAAATGTAATATTCATGTTCAGTGTTAATAAAATCATTGTAAACTGCGAATATCGTCCGATTGAAAAAAAACAGCGTCACGGTAACCATATTTTAATCCTTTTCATGTTTTTAAAGGTCAATTTTTAATTAAAGATCATTGATTGTTATTTAGACGGCTACTGCGACGTTCTTTTTTCTCACGATCGAATGATCATAAAAGCGTCACAATTTCGACAATAAATTCAAAGAAAATTTGTGGCAGCTGATCAAAGTACATCACATTAATGAGTAATTAATATTAAAGTTTTTACATAATAATTTTACATGTCTTGGATTGATTTCTTTACATAACTCTGTGTAAACAATTACCTAGAATCTAATCGAGCTTTAATATAAATATACAGGGTGTCTCCTAAATAAGTGCAAGTAATATTTTGCAAAAAACTATTGAATTTTTTTTATAGTTTTCTTGATATTTTTTGGGAAAATAATAAAAAACTTTTCGGTATAAATATGTCTCTTTTATCTTGATCTAGCAGCTCTTATAAAATAGTTACACTTATTTAAGAGTTTCCCTGTATAATTTTACCTTCCTACAGGAGAAATAATGCTTTTTGATTTGTTGTTCATATTTATTAATTATTAACAATTAAATTTTGTAAAATTTGTAACATGCTGAGAGCTTTAAGTGTAAAGTTGTTGTAATATACAGGGTGTCCCATTTAAAAAAAAACCTTTTTTTGTATCTTTGTATCTATACTCATAAACGATAAACCTTGTAAAACACACGAAAATGAGACACCCTGTAAGTAAACAACTATTTTTTTTTCATTATCTATAACATATTTAAAAAAAAACATTATCAATTTTCAGGTTGTTACTTATTATAGACTTATTTTTATATTAAAGCTACACACTTACATAGAGCCACCCTGTATAATGACATAAAATCTAGACTTGCTTCGCACAAATTTTAAATTTAAACTATAGTATCAAAAAATATTTTATATTGTCTGTCAGGATACAACATAATATGGGTTACATTTAATAATTTATTTTATAAAACTTTTGTAGGAAAATTTCTTGATGAATTGTTTTTTTTTCTATATAATTTATCGTGATTGTGACCTATATATGTTATAGATCACTATAGTGATTGTACCCTGCAGTTCAATAAGGAAGTAAACAAGAAGGAGATTGCTATTTGTCCGGTGCTATTTTTTGTAGGTGATGAAAAATCTTACAGAAAAATACTAGTTTTATTTATATATATATCGATTTTTGTGTTCTATGATTATATCTTTTCGATATGGTGTACCATTACCTATTAATGAAAACAAAAAATAAATGTTTAATGTATATAATACTCGCTGTGTTTTATTTATTTTAACAAAATAAACGTATATACTTTGTATATTTCCTCCAAAAAATAATAGAAACATTAAGAAAACAAAGTGGAATTACGAAACAATTCTGTTTTCTCGACAAAATGGTGAATGCGCCTGAAAAATATTGCAGTTAAATAATATATTTATTTACAAAGTTAGCTATCTAGAATTCGCTGATGACACAGTCCTAATTGCCAATGGTCCCGAAGAAATACAAACACAAATTAACGAACTGAATACAGCCAGCAATAAAGTAGGTATCAACATTAATTTAGCAAAAACTAAAGTAATATACAACGAACTAGTAGCCATAAAAGACATTCTAATAAATAAAGCCAACACGGGAAATAGTAGAAGAATATATCGAGCGGGACATAGGAAATCCCATATAAATTTTAATGGGGTCAATTATTGGCTTCCCTAATTATTTTAGAGAATAATTCTATTTAGGTTTATTGAAGAGCACTAAAACCCACATTCAAAAGAATAACTTTAGATATTTTTGATTAGCTCGTTTACGAGTTATCGCCGATTTCTTTTTGAAAATATGAAAAGCACCAAGAGCTACGAGATGGGGACGAAATACGGCGGCAGGCGTTTTGTTTCGATATGATGGAAAGAGCAAACACGGATAGGGAATTTTTAAAAAACATATGTTTCACTGATGAATGCACGTTTACCTTAAATCACAACCCAATGTTCAAAATTATCGATATTGGAACAAAGAAAACCAACACAGGTTTGTCGAATAACGCAACGGACGCAATATCCACAGAAAGTAAATGTTTGGGCAGGGATATTCGGACACAATATTATCGGGCCATTATTTTTTACGCGAAATTTAAATGCAGAATATTATTTGGAACTACTCGAAAATCATATTTTACCTGCTTTACATGATGCCGCTAGGGAAAATCAGGAAGTTTGGTACCAAATGGATGGCTGCCCGGCTGTTCGGGAATATTTAGACAATAGTTTTAACGGAAACGTTATTGGCCTAAATCATACAGTAAATTGGCCAGCAAGGTCTCCTGATATTTTGCCAAATGATTTCTTTCTCTGGGGCCATTTAAAAAACAGGATATACAAGGATAAAAAAAACCCAAATCTAGAAGAGTTAAAAAATGCTATTTCTGCCGAATGCAATAGAATTTCAGTTTACCAACTGGCGAATGTAAGAAGAGAATTTTATGATCGCGTGGGTTATTGTCTAGCAGTCGATGGAAGAATATTTGAACATCTTCTTAAATCCTAAAGTTCTAACAATTTAATAGTACCTAAATTAATAAGTCATTGAATATTGTAATAATACTATAATTAACCTTGAAATTGATTACTTTATTTTACTTTAATTCATATTAATTTGTATTTATAAATACATCATTAAAGATTTCCGATGTAGGAATGAGTTTTCAATAATAATAAAGCACTAAATAGGTAAATTTCTGAAATGACAACTTCATTTGACAGTTATCTTTTACCTTGACTGGTGCTCATAAGTAAATACAGGGCCATAAGAAAGGAGAAATATTTAAAAAGAAATCGGCGATAACTTCTAAACGAGCTAATCAAAAATATCTAAAGTTCTTCTTTTTTTTTGAATGTGGGTTTTAGTGCTCTTCAATAAACTTAAATAGGATTATTCTCTAAAATAATTAGGGAAGCTAAATAATTGACCCCATTAAAATTTACATGGGATTTCCTATGTCCCGCTCGACGATGCAACACCCAGTATATGTCACTTGAAAAAATTAGCCTTAATTAACATTTCCCAGCGTGACTTATATGTAAGATAACACACTAGTACCATAAATAACTATATTTTCTACAAACGTCAACAAATGACAAGGTTCGCGAATTGATAGCAATGTGCGAAGTGACTTTTTTTCATTTTCCTACGTTACCATGACACGGTGCGCGAAGTAATGCGCGAAATGCCTATTTCGCACAAGTATTAAAACGACCTAAAAGGAAATCGATGACGATGTTCAGTAATAAATAAAACATACATTCCAAGCTCACGCTTTTTTTTCGAAGCAATAATATAATAATAATAATTTTAGTTTTATCCCGATTTTAATGTTTGTAGAAAAAATGTTTTTTGCAACTCGTGCGCGAACTAGTTTGGTGATCTCGAAAAAAAAGTATTTAACTATTTACTATTCCTCTACTTATTTCTAGATTACGCTCATTCTAGTCGCATTGCATAAAAAAATCATTTCTCCTAGCACTCCTAGCTCGATACGCTTAAACCCTTACTCCTGTACTTTTTGCGGTACTTTTAAAACAAACCAAAAACTCCAAAAGTTATAACGAACACAAATGCAATGAAACAATCTCGAAATTCTGTTTGCCCTCCCTCGCTTATCCCTTACTACTTCTCCAACAATTCCCTCCCAACCCTCTGACGTTTCTCCATCTCTTCTCAGCCTCTCCATCACCATCCTCAGCTCCCGCGATTCTTAAAACGAAATAAATATTCAGCGCCCGTCCGAGCATTAATGGCATCATCGAGCCATAGAGCCGGTCTCGGCATTTCCCTAATTCGATGAAACAAATTGGCAACGAGCTGGATGCCCGCGGCTTCGAGGGGGGGAGGCGGGGGGCCGTCTTCCGACCCCGCTGATTGGTAATTGGGACGACGGCAGCGGCCCCAATCAGCGGCGCGGAAAACGGCGCTCAAACGGGCGACGGATACGGAATAACAATGATGACCGGGTTTTGAGGGTAGTTTTTGTTTGGGGGGACTACGTAAGATGTACTGTGTACGGGGGGTTCAGGGATATTCTGTGTGATACCCCTAGATCATATACCGAGTGTTGCATCGTCGGACGGGACATAGGAAATCCCATGTAAATTTTAATGGGGTCAATTATTGGCTTCCCTAATTATTTTAGAGAATAATTCTATTTAGGTTTATCGAAGAGCAACTAAAACCCACATTCAAAAGAATAACTTTAGATATTTTTGATTAGCCCGTTTACGAGTTATTGCCGATTTCTTTTTAAATATTTCTCCTTTCTTATGGCCCTGTATCACACATAACACATAATTATGTGTTATCTGTGCCTGTATTTACTTATGGGCACCAGTCAAGGTAAAAGATAACTGTCAAATAAAGTTGTCATTTCAGAAATTTACCTATTTAGTGCTTTATTATTCTTGAAAACTCATTCCTACATCGGAAATCTTAAAAGTGTATTTATAAATACAAATTAATATGAACTAAAGTAAAATAAAGTAATCAATTACAAGGTTAATTATAGTATTATTACAATATTCAATAACTTATTAATTTAGGTACTATTAAATTGTTAGAACTTTAGGATTTAAGAAGATGTTCAAATATTCCTCCATCGACTGCTAGACAATAACCCAGGCGATCATAAAATTCTCCTCTTACATTCGCTAGTTGGTAAACTGTAATTCTATTGCATTCGGTAGAAATAGCATTTTTTAACTCGTCTAAAATAATGCATCCCGAAATTAATTCAAAATGCATCCCGAAATTAATTTGAATGAATTAATCTTTTCGGTCGACGAGAAAATACCATTTTATCGTCTTGTATAAAGAATAACTATTATTAAGTATATATTTTTTTAAACGTTTCTTGTCCTGTCAAAAGTGTAATTCAACAAAAAATCAATTATTTTGAACGTGCTTTCTCGTCCAATTAAAGCTGGAAATAACGAAAGTTTGAAAACAGAAAGACCAAACGATCATCCGCAAAGGTGAAATAAAAATCGTCTCTTCTACAACCGCCTACACTGAAAAAAATCTTGGCTTTGAGCTGAACAGTGAATTCAAACTCAAGTACGAGAACGTATTTTTTTGTTTAGTCTTGCAAAGTTGAACAAATTAGGAAAAGAAAATACAGCCCTCCTACTCTGGCACCAAGGAAAAAGCGTACACTCCTACTAACTGAACCAGAACCGTTCTGCTTCCTAAGCGGAAACCAACTTAAAACAGAACTCATGAACTTGGAATACTCCATTCGTAACCTGGAAGGGGAATCCCCAACGGTCTAAGACACTCGAAGAAATTTCTCAGAACTTAGGACTCAAAGGAAAATCAAAAATTTTTCTTGATTTAAGTAAGATCAATCTTCGGATTGTCACGGGGTTAATGAACACTGTTGAACACTTAATGAAACGCATGAAGCACCCTTCAATTCAGAAAGATAGGAAAGCGTTTCTCCGAGTGTACACTACTCGGTGGCTCAATTAAAGCGACGACAGGGGTCGCTGCATCCGGGACCCATTACTTTTAACGAGCCGGCTAATGAAACAATCCTGGAGGACAATTAGGAGGAACGACACATCGGGAGAACCATCCGCCTCCTCACTCCCTCCCCTCCTCACTCCGCTGCCCTCCTCACCACCCTCCGGGTCTCCGGGGAGCGCTATTTCAGCGAGTTTTCAGCATTTTTCCGCTGGCTATGGAGAGACACTGTGGATTATTTTTGAAGTTGTTTTTATTAAATCGCGTCAAGGCATGTTTTAGTTTTTTTTTTGTTATTATAATATCACTGTAATATAACAATAACAATATACATAACAATTATTAAAAGAATTGTAGAAAAAAAGATTTGTAGAAAAAAATATAATAAACTTTATGGATTTTTCATAGATTTTTTTAATAAATAAAACAGTAGACCCAATGTAAAATTTATTACGTTTATTTCATGCGATAAATTTTAGATTGGTGAAACATCTACACTTTTAAATGTTTGAATTAAAGAAAAATTCCACAAATCTAAGATTTGTCAGCATTCATGGAACACAGGGCACAGAATAAACTTTTACAACGCCAAAATTATAATGAAAGAGGCGATAGCCTCTAAAATAAAAATAAAAAAGACTTTTTTAATACAATCTAATAAAAATAAATGTATTGCTCACGCGTCTGTAGATGTTAGGTTAGGTTAGTTAAAGAACATAACATAAATAAACATAACATACGTAAAAATTAAAAACAAATTTTACATAATCATAACTAATACAATAATCAATACTAATCACCATTGTAATAAAGTTTATACAAAGTTTACTACACACAAACTATTAAAAATCGCTAAAATTGTCGCTGGTGACCTAATAATGACTCATTGTTTGCCATCAAAAGAATGGCCTCTAAGGTCACAAATTCTGGTTCAGCCCGTATATGGGCGTTACATGTCCTTATATTATTTAGTCATTGGTTGGTTGACTGCAGCTCGAGTCAGAAAGATGACAAAATTCTTGAAAATCTGTAGATTGTTCTTACTTAAATCGAGGAGAATCTTTGATTTTTCCTCTGTAGTAAGTGTTGAGAAATTTCTTGGAGTATCTATTTTGTAAAGCTCTGTATAATGAGCGAAGCTGATGGTACTTTCTGGAATAAATAGCTATCCACATATCCTTCTCGTGTTGCGCCTTTTTCTGCCACTCTGGCCAATTTACTAAAAGCTTTTGTCTGGCGCGAGCAGAGCCCGATTTCGCGCTTAACTTAACAACTGATTCGATATCATGTTTATATGTATGAAGAAGCAGACTTGGGAATCGCCAGGGTTGTGTTCATAAGACTCGTTCTCAATTTATTACGTTAAATATTACATGCACGTAAAAAATAATTTTGAAATCTAGTTCTCTAGGAATTTTCTTACGGCACCACTTTCTGTACAGGGTGTCCCATTTTAGTTGAAATCATACGGTATCTCCGTTTTTATGGAAAGCACTGTTCATTATAATGTTGTATCCTATGTAACAGGGCTTGTTTCTCTCTACAGTTTCCTGTCTCACAATGTACCGTTTGTGTTGGGGAAGGGTTCATAGTTTCATAGTTGTCGATTTTCGAAAGAAATCAGTACAAATATATTATTTCGTATATTTTTCATTTTATTGATTTTATTGAAAGAACTGATCAATAATATGTTGTATCCTGTGTTATAGGGCTTGTTTCTTTCTACAATTTCTTGTCTCACAATGTACCTTTTGTGTCCGGGAAGGGTTTATAGTTTCATAGTTGTCGATTTTCAAAAGAAATCAGTACATGTAATTTATTTTGTATATTTTTCATTTTATTGATATTATGGAAAGCACTGTTCATTAAAATGTTGTATCCTATATTACAGGGCTTGTTTCTATCTACAATTTCCTGTCTCACAATGTACCGTTTGTGTCCGGGAAAAGTTCATAGTTTCATAGTTGTCGATTTTCGAAAGAAATCAGTACATGTATATTATTTCGTATATGTTTCATTTATAATTTTTTTTCATACAAACTTTTTTACTCATTTTTATCTGCAGAAATTTTGAAATACAGTTCAGACCACCCAGTATATAAATTTATATATCTAAAATTAAGTTGGACTAATTATTGACATCAGTTTGACTGGCAGGTTATGTTATAACGCTCTTTAAAGCAAAAAAAGCAGGAAAATTGTACCCAACGTAATAAACTCAAGACCCCTGACTTTACACATCCCTGAAGACCTCCCATATCCCCACTGCACCCTTCTATATACCAAGAACAAGGAGCAAAACCGTAAGATGAAGGGGGGAGGCATCTATATAAGGAGTAAACTAGGGGAAGGGGGGGAAGTCGTACACTGCAATTTGATAGGCGATACGCTTGAGGATATTGAGGATGAAACGAACAAAACGAGGGGCTAAGAGTGAGGGAATGCCCGTGTGAGAGTGTGTGGGAGCGTTGTTATTTTCGATTTTGAATGTCTTGTAATAGGATTTGTTCCATTCCAGTCGGTTTTTTATTGGAACTATTTCGGTTCGATTCCGAGTAGATAGAATGGACTTAGGAACGTTAAAATGTCACTTTTAATCTGGATGAGACCGTAATTTGGAAAAATAAAGAAAAAACCCCGTTTTTTTTATTAGTATTTTTGTATTAAGTTATCGAAAATATATACATAATAATAGTAATAATCATAATTTTGTCAAAATTGTTAAAGAATTTAGGGATTTACTGAGTGGTTAACTTTAACCGTGAATAACTTTTGAAGGAATAGGTTTATCGAAAAATTGTAAGATACCTTTTGTGTACAGCGTTCAATTCTGTACAAGAATATGTAATTGTTATGGCTACTAGAGAACAAGATCGAGAAAAAAAAATATTTGCAAAAAGTGGCAAATTCCCATGTAATTTAATTGGGAAATAAATCGTCTTTGGGGCAAGGTTTATTGTGAACATTCAAAGTTCAAGGCAAGAATCTGATGTAATTTATTATATACCTATACTGCAAGAAATTTGTGTTTTATTTTATAATTACATAACTTAACTGAATATGATAAGCATTTTGTAATATTAAAACTAACTGTTAAGAGAATCAAGAGGTATTATTCAGGACAATTATTAAAAGAATTGCGAAGATTTATAGAAAAAATTATGTTAACATTTATGGATTTTTCACTGATTTTCTTTAAATAAATAAAACAACAATTTTAAAAACTCATAAAATTTATTCTTGCCAATTTACAACTTATCCTTATCAACTATCATTTATAGGAACTCGAATTATTTACAAATCTATTGCTCTAACCTTCTCTTTTTCATTTTATCTTCATCTCTTTTAGATTTAAACAATGAGGTAGAGACACAACTAAACTAGAACGTCTTTGAGAACAAAACTGTCTTGAGATCATACGTCACATCATGTAACTGTTTTTTCCTTGTTTTATATACAATATATTACAAATTAATTCTTAAATCTAATTTACAAAGTTTTTCGTTCGATATAACCACGACACTGCACTTTTTAACATCACAAAATTTTCACCTAGTTATGAAACTTTAGACCATAAAACACCTAGACACTGTCATGCATTTTTTTTATTTTGTAACCAACATAAATTAAGGGCAACTTAAGGTCAAATACAGTCTCTAGTTATATTTATGGTCTTAGAATAAATAAATAGTCTTTTTAACCGACGTACAGTACGTCGTATCATGTAACTGTTTTTTTAACCTTTTTTTATTTACAATATATTACAAATTAATTCTTAAGAATAATTTACAAAGTTTTTTAGTTCGATATACACCACACTGCACTTAGAACATCACAAAATTTTTACCTAATAATGAGACATTAGACCATAAAACACCTAGACACTGTGATGGATTCTTTTATTTTGTAACCAACATCAATTAAGGGCAAAAACAGTGTCTAGTTATATTTATGGTCTTAGTATAAAGAAATATAGTCTTTTTTAACCGACATACGGCCTGTACAGTGGCTCACTGTCGGGTATTCGCTTGGGTTCTACAGGGTTTTCTTTGATAGACGCTGAACTATCGGAACTTTCTGCATTCGTGAGGGATGAGCTAGGTTTGAAGGAGTTCGAGGTGCTGTTTAGGGACTTCCCAGAGTCCTGGCTGCTTTCTTTGGCTAGTTTGGCTTCCTGTTGGGCTTTCTTGCTGCGTTTCCACTTCATTCGTCTGTTTTGGAACCATATTTTTACCTGAAAACAAAAATATAGTACTTAAAAAAGTGATATATGGTTAAAAAAATCTATGTTAAAAAAGTTTTTTAAAAAAACTCGAAAAATATTACTTATTAATACACTTATTTAAGAGATATACTCTGTATATTTTTATATCAGTATATGATTACTTATTTCCCTAACGACATTTATAATTTGTTTAATAAGATTAATATAACAATAAAATCTATAGAAATATCTGCGAAAAAACACCATAATATATCTGTTACATTTAACTCATATCAAACCCTTAACAACTGAAAAAATAAAACCAAAACCAGTGACAAATGTCAACGTAATATTTCCAACAGGATTCCCCGTTTCTCCACATCCCTCTCCCCTCTTCTTTGTCCCCCTTAACCCCCTCAAATCCTAAATTATGACTGCGCTGTCTGACTGTTTGATTTTGTCTTTAACGGGAGCGCCATAACTCTTAGATACAAGAAAACAGTTTTTGGACGGTTTCGGCAACCAGTAAAACGGCAAACAATTTTTTTCCCTGCGGGACACGGTTGACAGATCGGTTCGCATTTATTTCGGACAAGGATTCCGGTGTTGACACGCTTTTTTGACGTTTGTCAACGTCAAAAAGGGAGGAAGAGGATGAAAGAGTAAGAGAGAGACTTTGAGGGTTGAAAATAAAGAGCAGAGAGAGAAAAATGTGTATCGGATGCGTAAACAGTATTGATCATAGACTTAAAATAAAATATAGACTGAGCATCTCATTCATAAATAGCTGGAACATGCGGTCAGACACTGTCTTGTTATTGTTGTGTTATTGTTTTAGGTTATAACGAGTGCGACACGAGCGATAGATAGGTTGTCTCTGTTGTAACGGTCGTTCCCTGACGACTCTGCCGAGAAACACAACACTGTCTTTCGTTTCTCAAGTACACCTGAACTCTCCGTATCATAGCCGGGTAATTTTTTTATTTTAATGAAGCTATAATTAAATTAAAAAAATATCGTATTTAAACTTTTTTATATTTTATTAAGATTTAGGACAGGTTTTTCAAAATAAAAGTTTAGAAAAAACAATTTAGAGTCCAAAAAGGATAAAAATAATAAAATACACGTTATAGAAGAAATGTTATAATCGAAATTAGGTAATTTTTGAAATTAATAATAAATTATTAATTTTAGTCAAACATTTACAACCCCTAATATTAATCAAAACAGGATCTATTCCACAGATATAATAGAATCGGCGACAGGGAGAGAAAAAAAAATATGATTCTTGTAATTTTTTTTCTGGTTAAGTGATGTCTTATTATGTAAATTAGAGAAAACATAAATCTGTTCCATTAAAGCAAGGAAGGTGATAGGAAGTGGATAAAATAAAAACTACATTTATTTAACTCGGTACTGTCTTTAATATACCGGGTGCGTCTCAAAAGTGGCTCATCCCCATAATTTTTTTATATTTTCAAATAAAAAAACAAGATTTAGTATGTTAGTATATGAAATAAATTAGGATTGATTGACGCATTCAATTGTTTTTGGTCACTTCCTGTTTCACCGGAAATGACTACTAATGTTGATTTTTACTACTACTAAATGTTGATTTTTAAAATTTTTTTAATTTAATCGATAGAAAATGACATTCTGAATAGAATGAAACTTTTGACATTTTTGTTTAAAACAAAATTGAATTTTAAATTTCAACCTAGAGTGTCATGGGTATGTTAAAAACACTAATTCTTAATCAAGGAGCCTTGGAAAAATAACTTTTAATTTTTAAACGGCACCCACCACATATTTCTACTTTATTCGATAGAAAATGACACTCTGAATAGAATGACATATCATATGTCAACTTTTGACATTTTCGCATATGGTTTAATTGTAATTGTAACACGCGGTTCATAACGACAATTTGACTCGAAATACCAAGTGTGTGGTATCAATATATTCATAAAAAAATGCTTTTTCCAAATATGCTAATGAGTCACCCTTGTTCCATTTGAAAAAATTGACATATGTATGATTAAAAATACGATTTGTACATCTTTTAACCGGCCTAGACAAGACACGAAACCTATTAGACGATCAAAACTATTTTTCCAAGGCTCCTTGATTAAAACTTAGTGGATTGAAAAAAAATGGATTGAAATTTAAAATAGGATATGTTTTTAAGCGAAAATGTCAAAAGTTGACATATGATATGTCATTCTATTCAGAGTGTCATTTTTTATCGAATAAAGTAGCAATATACCGAGGGTGCCTTTAAAAATAAAAAGATGTAATCATTTCGGTAAAACAGGAAGAGACCAAAAACAATTGAATACGTCAATAAATCCTAATTTATGTCATATACCTACTAACATACAAATCTGTTTTTTATCTGAAAAAATAAAAAAAGTTATAGGGTTGAGCCACTTTTGAGACGACCCGGTATATTAAAAAATATTGTTTCATAATGTAATATCATTTTAAAATTCTTGTACGTTATTTTAGATTCTGAAGATAATTTTAGAATAAACCGGAATATATTTTTAATAAAAACATTATTAATTTTAACAGGGTTATAATTATGATTTTGTTACAATGTAAGTAAGTAAATAATGTAATGTAAAAGAAAAAATTCAGATTTTACATTTTACTAAAATATTATCTAAATAAGCGCCTTTCTACAACAACGCCACTGACTGCCAATGGGTAAATTGAGAGTTGCCTACCGGTCCAAAGTCGTTTCAAGACTTAAATGGATTATTTAAGTCAAATTTCTTGCAAATTTGGCACTGGCGAACCATATTTTATAGTTCCTGAACAGAAAAAGTCAATAAAATAAACACTTAAGGACTACAAGCTAAGAGAATGCGTTAATACAGCCGGGGAGATAGCGGCAACAAAGCTTTACCGCACACGTGCGACACGTACTACAAGGTAATAAATGAATGAATAGGCTCCCTCGCCTCTAATCGGTGTTGTCATATTGTAAGAACTTATCCTTATTAAACAGTATCCGACTTATAATTTAGTAGTATAAGGACTATTTAATACATCTATGGAATATTAAAACCTACTTTATTAAACTGTAGTATTAATATCTCAATATATGTGTATAACAAGAAAAAAAATATTGATAATATTAAAGACGTGACAACATAGACTGGATGAGGAAGGCTCGGTCGACTGTACCCGGAAGTAAACATGTGTACAAAAAAGGTTGTTTGTCCGCGTTAAGATGTAAATAGTGTAGTCTATATTTTATTTTAAGTCTATGGTATTGATAGAATGGTGTGCAATTTATCTATTGTGAATTTTTTAATTTTATTCTCTTGTCTGGCTATTTCATCTATTTCTAGTTTTTTTATTTCATTTTCTTCATAGAGAAAGGAAGAAATATAGATGGAAGACTTTCAATTTCCCGCCTATTTGAACGACACTAGCGCCTCCTGCCAGTGTTGCCAACTCAGTAGGAATCCTACTAAATCTAGTAATCTATTAATTGAAAATTATTGCCTTAAAAAAATTACCAAACGAAGCTTAAAAATTCATTAAAGAAACAGAAAATGATTTACCTGTGTCTCTGTTAACATTAGATTGGTAGCTACTTCGAATCTCTTTGGCCTGGACAGGTACTTGTTCTGCCTGAACTGCTTTTCCAGTTCTAGCAGTTGTTGTGAGGTAAACGCTGTCCTGGGTCGCCTTGTTTTGCCTAGAAGAGCATGCCCAGCAGGTCCACAAGCTGTAACAAAAATTGAAACTATTAAATAGTGCATCTAAATATATTTATTTTAATTATTTTGTTATTTTTTGATAACCTCTTTTAGTACAAGTGTAATAAACTCATCGCAACTTCTTTTATTATATTTTGAACGGGAAAGCAGCAGTAACGGGCCTTTATGTCCCTTAAGAAGGTGAGTTTTTTTGATGTAAATAATAACTGTTTATATATTTATAATTAATTTATTTTTGTTTCCTAAATATTTTGATTAAAAGGAAATATGTAAGCTTAATCACGTGACTAAAAGCTTATTTGGTATGAATTATACATTTGCGTGTGTACCTTGAACATAAAATATACTCTATAAACGCAGAATAAAAATAAACATAAATCTCACAAACATTTTCAATGCTCCTAAATGAAATTTTAATGGTTTTACAGAGATATAAATAAAAAAAATAAGAAAATAGTTTGACGGGTAAAACGATCGAAAATAAATTATTATCTCTATTCTACGTGTCCAAAAAAATTAGTTTAATGCTTCACAAACCATAAAACCTTAAAATCACCTAATTTAATACTCTGGGGCAATTTACTATAAACTTTTAGCACAAAACTTTTTCCCAATCACTTTATCGACTATATGGACTAAAGGAGAGCGAAAAAAAGAGTATAATAACAACCCTCGGCTTGAAAAATCCCATAAAACTGATTGCAGCATTAGGCAAACATATGGCCGGTATTAATTTAAACTCTCAGCCCTCAGTCTCAACATCCCTTTCCCTTCGGTCTAATCCCTCGCCTCGATGTCCAAACACGAAAACATTCGTAACTAACTTAATTTCGATAATTGCATCACGCATATAAAACTAACTGGCTTTATTTTTTCCGGGTTTTCGGAGCTGTTGTCTGTTCTTAGTGTCCCCTCGTGCGCCGGCACTGGCTAATGGCGCGGAAAACCATCGGCTAATTGGTCATAAGGTTCGTCTGAGAGCGGCGGCGGCGTGTCGACTTTGTGGGTGTATTTCCCGGAGTTTTTTCGAATAGCCGAAATCAGTTACATGAAAAATGAACTTATATTTGTTTTATACGAGCCTTTACGAGCAAAGAAATGCAAAAAAATTCCTGCGGAAATGTGTCAATGTCATTTTGTGCACTTTGTTTTTCATACATTTTTCAGTTTAGAAGCTTACGGGACACGGGAGCGAATAGGGGTGCTGGGTGGGGAAAAACATCTTTCGGAGGATTAACAATTCTTGTAGAATAGATAATATAGGTTCTTCTAAACTATAAGTATCTCGGAATGTTGCACTTATTCTTGTTTTTTATTAAAGCTTTACATAAATAGGGCTGAGTCAAAACAAAAAATCATTGGATCATGCAGTTTTCTTTTATATTTTATTAATTAACTGTGATTTTGCAAAAATATTATATTGGTTAGCATTTGGGTTGCTTTGGTTAGCTTTTCTTTGTGGAGGGTGTTAAGCTGTGGTTTTTATATTTTAATAATTAACTGGGATTTTGTAAAAATATTATTAGATTTATTATTAGATTGGTTAGCATTTTAGACACTTTTAAATTATTTTTTTTTGGTTCAAAAGTGCTTCATCCAAAGATTTTTTTTTCTTTTAAACTGTTCTATAAGCGTAGGACTTTCTGCCAAAAAAAATGCTAAATTCGTGGGTACTTACACTTTACAAGACCCGATAATATAATAAGGAACAAATGGAAAATAAAAATCAAGCATTTCCGCAGGAAATTTTTTATTTTCCTGAGTTTGTAAACGCTTCAAAAAGGCAAAAATATATTTATTTTTTATATAACTGATTTCAACTATTCTAAAGTCTATTAAATTTCCTCAGAAAATGGATACAGTTTATTTCCGCAGGAAAATTTTTATTTTCCTCAATTCGTGAATGCTTCTAAAAGGCAAAAATATATTTACATTTTATATAACTGATTTCCGCTATTCTGAAGTCTAATAAATTTCCTCAGAAAATGAAAACAGCTTATTTCCACAGGACTATTTTTGTGTTTATATGTTCAGAAAAATATTAAAAATAAAACGCTAAATAGCAGATTTCAGTTATTCTAAAGTGCGAAATTTGGAAATTACGCATTTCCGCACGGAAATTTGTGTTTTCCGTGATTCACAGTAGCTTTTTAAAGACAAAAATGTATTTTTTTTTCTAATAACTGAACCCAAATTAGCTTGAATCAGACTGTCAAACACAACCAACAAAAAACGACTAATACATCTATAAAAGCTCCCAAAACAACCCCCAAATTAGAAAAATCAACACTTCCACAAACTTTTTCATCCCACCCCCATTCGAGGTACTCCCCACAGACTTATCTTCAAAACAACGCGTCACTCTCCATTGTTTATCTAATTATTCATTGCCCTTGCAGCGCGAATACTTAACGCATATTGCAGCCCTTACAGCGTTTTCGGCCGTATGTTTGTCCCTTTATTTATTTCACCAGTCTCGAACGTCACCACCCGGCACCCTGATTGCCCTCCATTGTCATGATAATTTAATATCGTAATACGGTTAACGATGGCCTAATGCCAGCCGGAACGAGGAAAGAAGAAGAAGAAGAACGAGCGGGAAAGAGACGGGGATAGATAGCGCCTAACTTCGCGATGTTATTAAGGACCCCTCTGTCTGGTTTATGGATGTTGTTTTGCTAATTGCTGCGGGGAATAGAGGGGTGTATGGGGGTGTCAGGGGAGTGTAGGGTAGTGTGGCGTTAGAAAAAAAGAATGATAGTACAGTAAAATTTGCTAATAAGGAACATCAAAATAATAGAAATGTTGAAAAAGTAATATCTAGGTAACAGAATCTTTGAATGTATTCTTGTAACTGAAGAAGTTCTCTTCAGTTATTCTAAGTGACTGAAGAAAGTTCTCTTTTCGTCGTCGGAAGCAAAAAAAAATACAAAGAATAAGAAAAAAACTATTTAAAATATTTAAATTCAACTATTCGAGAATAGTTTAGTTTTTTCAAAAACAGATACGTCTACAAAAACCGTTGACGTTCTGTTAAAATGACATTTTATCAAGTTAAACTTCAAAATTAACAATTACTATCTGATAACAATTACTTAATAAGGTAAAACTAAAAAGCTTCAAACTTTCTGTATGATTATTTTTAATTTTTACGTATGTTATGTTTATTTATGTTATGTTCTTTAAAACCAAAGAAGTGATTGTCATACATTACTAACATCTACAAATACATTTATTTTTATTAGATTGTTTTAAAAAGCCTCTTTTATTTTTATTTTAGAGGCTATCGCTTCTTTCATTATAATTTTCGCGTTGTTAAAATCTATTCTGTGTCCTGTGTTCCACGAATGCTGACAAATCTTAGATCTGTGGAAATCGCACTTTCTTAAATAATTTTTATGTTGTTTAATTCGAACATTTAAAGGTCTAGATGTTTTACCAATATAAAATTGATCGCATTCACATGGTATTTTGTATATTACATTTTTTGTTTGTTGTTCAGTATTCATTGGTTTAGTGTGTGTTAAAATGGATCCAACTGTATTTTGTATTTTTATATACTAGTAATAATATAAGTTATTTGCACATTTATATCCTAAAAAAAGTAAATTTTACAAAAGCAAAACATTCCCAAAAACGTTAAAAATTTTGAAATACTAATATTCTAAAAAAAAATTTCGAAATTTTTTTAGTCTTTAGTTAAAAAATATAATTTGTTGATAATACTGCCACTATGTAAAAAAGGGTTCTTAAAATTTTAGAAAAAAATCTTCAAAGTGAAATATCTCTTTTATCGAGATCTACCAGCCCTGAAAATATTAAGCACTTATTTAAGTCTTACCCTGTATAACCCGGTATTAAAATTTTCGTTATTTTTCTTGAATTTAATCTAAAATTACAATAAATCGAAAAAATACCGCCGGAAAATACGAAAGCACTAAAAACTAAATGGCAAATAAGGGTTAATCACTCGTGCAACCCCGACAATTTAGGGGAAGAAGTGTCATTGGTTAAATGTAGGGGAGAGATATATATCTACACACGTATATGTAAGTCCAATAGGGGGATGTGGTAATTTTTTAAGGAAATCGGCGTTTACCAAAAACGAATCGCATTATTACATGTGCATTATGCATGAGCATTGAATTTATTTGCCATTCTCCTGCTTGATTCGCAATTCACTTAAGCTAATTGAATTCTTAATGAAATGTATTATAGAAAGTTACCAACTTAAAACCGACACTATTAATATAAAAGTAGATATATTTTATTTGTAATGTCGCAGGTATATAGAATAATTTCGGCAGGTATATAGAATAATAAAAGAACTAATTTTTACAAAAAGCCTATCTATTTTCAGTCACTTTCCAAAAAACCTAATCAGAATCAAGCATATTAAATAATGATTATATTTTCTGCAAAAAGACTGCCTGTTTTCAGTCATTTTACAAAATACCATATCGAGCCATATGACAAAAATGATGATAAAAAAAAGCAGATGACGTCCCATACCAATCTATTTATTTTACTAAAAAAAGTTCTAATATTTTTTAAGTTAACTAGGGATGGGTTTAAACAGGGGCGGGAAAGTGAAATAGCAAAAGCGGTTCCACCGTTTCCACGGAAATTTCAAATAAAATAGTTCCAGCCTCAGGCGCTAGGTGGTAGTGCAATTAATTTTTAGGTTAAGAAGTTGCTACTAGTTATTGCCAGATGGCGTTAAATCAGATTTTTTTTGTAGTTTCCATAGTTTCCAAAGGCCATTGTCATACTATTGTCAAATTCTCAAAAAATATTGTCGTTGTCATTTCAAACTATAATTTGTTATAGGTATGTGTTTTAATTAGACAATTCCTTTTGTTTGTGGCCCTAAAAATATAATGTAAGTCTTTTATTTTTGCCATCATTTAAGTACCTATTTATATTTACTCAATTTACAAAACTTTGGGCGTATTACGTTGGTCTTGTTTTATTATAATAAACGATGTTTAAATATTTGACTTATAAA